TTCAAATATACGAAACTCTGTTCTATTAACCATTTAAACACTCAAATACAAGTTTTTGTTTTTTGTTTCATGCAAAAAAGCGCAAAGCTGTGACTTTCGAAACGTCGTCTTTCGAAAAGTCGCGGAGCCGGAAAGAGCTGTTTCTTTCTTGTATTCCAGGAATAAGGCGGTGACATTTTCTTTTAAATTTATTAAAAGAAAATTTGAAACAATATGAATTGCATAACATTTTGAATGATAATTCAAGCTCTTGAACATCAACCGCGCAAACCGGAAGTGCAACTCTTTCAATGGAAGCGACAGACTTAAAGTTTCAGGTCCAACTTGTTTTGAGAAAATGGAGAAATACAAGAGTTCGTCAAAAATGCCGTAACCACTTCAATAGAATATTGTCGAATTAAAAAAAAACTGAGACCTGGAAAATTTCGCGTGCGGCTTCCCGGTCCATTTTCGAAGCCTTGCCTCAAAATCACTACAGTAGTAAATGAAACTTATTTCTGTGAATTCAGTGGGCTTTTCCGAACAAAATTTAGATTTCTTGGTATAAAAATGATCGCTAGCATCTCTAGAATCTGTTTTTCATCGAAAAACCGAACTTAATTGCGAAAGTAGCTCGAACGAGGCGAATGTCTGAAATATTACGTTTTTGCCGCACTTTTTCGTAGATCAAAAAGAGCTACGCCTTTCAAATTCTCATAGTGAGGTCCCACTTTTTTTAAGTCGACAATACCTCTCTCCCCCAACCGTACACTTTGAGTCAATTTGTCTCGGTTCCTGTGAAATACCGTAAAACCTCTAATAGAACGACACCCGGATCGNNCACTTTGAGCCTATATATCTCATTTCTTTTGAAAGATATCAAAAAGTGGTTAACTAGTAAAATGTTTATCAGGATATCAGCAACATTTTCCTAATTAGCCACTTTTTGATATCTTTTACAAAAAATGAGATATATAGGCTCAAAGTGGACGATCCCGGTGTCGTTCTATTAGAGGTTTTACGGTATATCAAAAATTGCCAACTGATAAAATGTTCATCATAATTCGAAAAATAGTTTGTCCATTGACCACTTTTTGGTATCTTTTACAGGAACCGAGATACATTGCCTCAAAGTTGCCGGTTTCGTACTTTTCTGTTAGTGTTTAGGGTATGTTAATTTCAAAGCGTCATAACTGGCTTCAAAATGTGTATTTTTGGAAAATACAAATTGCGGAATAAAGTGATCGAAATGATCTCCAAAATGACATAAAATACAATATAGTCGCTCCATGCCACCTCTTGTAGCCTTTGATAGAGCTCCGTATTTGCTCTAGTAGAAGCCCACCCTAGACATGCACTTTGAGCTCGATTATCTCGATTCCTCTAAGAAATATAAAAATTCTGTCAACTAACAAAACATTTTTGACATTATGATGAACATTTTATCGATGGACTACTTTTTGATATCTTTCCAAGTAACTGAGATATTTGAGCTCAAAGAGCACGTATTGGGTCGGCTTCTATTAGAGCCGCCTCCTCTCTCCCGTATTGTTTCCTCTGAACCTTGTCAAATACATATTCCTTCTGGGAAATAATTATCTTCTTCAGAACTATTAGGTTGATAAGGAAGTTTCTTTCTTTTTGGCAGTGTTGTTTTTGACGCTCAATATCTGTTTATCCAAGTGGTTTAGCGGGCCAAATTTTTTTTTGTTGGAGAGCTGTGTTCAGTGTTTATCAGGTCCTAGATTTTCAACCTTTTATCTCTATTCGTATCGGAGAAATGACGATTCTTTCGGACCTTATCCGACTTCTCATTCGCACCATGATTATATTTTAAATTTGTTTTGGTCTTCGAACGCCTGGTATTCGCATACAAGTGGTGGATGTATATAAGGGACATGTTCCGTCATCGCCTGCCATCAGCGTTTGGTTCGAAAAATTCCTCCCAGGAGAGTTCAGTTTGAAAGATGGCAACGGCCTAGTGAGCCGGATCTTTATCAATTGCCAAATGTCGTGGAGATGGATCCATTTCAAACCACTCGTAAAATGTAAAAGGCATTATCCGATAGTCAACCAAGTATGGTGAACGGTCTCTTGGCAAAACCAAAAACTGGGTTGATTCGTACCTTATGTTTTTAAAGACTACGATATGAATCGCCATGTGGACATGAGCGTGGTTCTCCTATCATGTCTTCGTATGTTCAGTTGGGTGAAGGATCTAATTATCTTAGATGATAAGTGGGTAACTTACTCTATCAATGTGCGGAAGGGTCAGTAGATTGACAAAGAAGAGCTAGCTCTGGACGCCCCGGAACCCAAATTTCCCGGAAAAATGGGTATGCTATGAGTTTGATGGTCGGTCAAAGTAATGGAGACCGGGCGCTTTTAAATGAAAATACCACTATAATTGCCGCCTTGTGGAGTTCCTAATTAGAACAATTAAGTTTGGCAGTCCAATCAAAACGAGGAGAAAAAACCAAAGTTCGCTTCCAGCACGACAGTGCGAAATGGCCTGTGACTAGAGAGATCAGCCAAAACATCATGTCGCCTGGCTGAACTATTTTTTTGCACCGGTCGTATTCTCTGGATTTTGCTATTTCGGATAAATGGTCGTTTGGAGCTCTCAAATGTCATCTTGATAGAAAAAAAAACTTCAATTAAAAAGATGACCCCAAAAAGGAGTTGGCTCACTTTTTCAATCGCAGTCCTCGTCATTCTGAGCCGATGGAACCAGGAAATTACCAGAGCATTGACAGACAACTGTTGATACTAATGGACAGCACGTTCATAGATCTAGCCCGCTCCGCATTGAGAAAACTTCGATCAAACTTTTGCCAAAAAAGAAAGAAACTTTCTTATCAACCTAATATAAATGCTGTCGTAAAGTAGACCTGTCATATCGTTAGTACCACCCCACCTAGATCTGTCTTCACCCTCTAGAATGCCACTACGATTAAGATTAATTCCATTCTTCCCCCAACATTTTTCCAGACGACCTTCTGTATGGACGTCGGAAAATATATATTTGATTTTCCTGTAAATTCTACAATTCCTATTCTAAACCATCCTATTCATCTCGCATTACCACTTCGGAAATCTCGCTCGGCCAGTGCTCTTCCTCATTCACCGCTTGCACCAATGGCCAACCTCATGCGAGAAGGAAGACCCAGGCCGATCTCTTATCCACCGTATAGCTCGAACCACAATTGTGTACAGAAGCGAAGACGACGATGAGGGATCTGGTGAGACTCGGTTTTTGCAGTATTCGATATGTGTTAATGGAATCCGACAAGCAGCGACATAAAGCGATGGTTACGTTTTCTACGAGGATGGGTGCATTCCAATCGAGGACTCTCCTGAATGTCAACTGGCTGCCGACACCGAAGAAGAGCCTTACGATAGTTTTGACTGTTCATCGAAACAGGACGGAATTTCCTCGATCGGCTGCGCAAACCAGTTTGTCAACTGTGTATCAGGACAAACCTATCACATGATACTCCAGTTTGCGAAAACGACGGATTCTTCTCGCTCAGCTAGTACTCTTCCTCATTCATCGATTGGACCAATGGACGCGAATTAGTCATGTTCTGCGTGCGCAGCCGGACTCAAGTTCTCTTATGCTAACCAGCGATGCGACTGATCTTGTGAAACAAATACATTTTATTTTTGAAAAAAAAAATTCAATAAAATTTTAAGCTTTCTTCAACATCGAACGCGCCAATCGGAAGTCCAACTCCTTCAATGGAATCAACAGAATATCGGGAATATCCGCGATCGTTCTCACTTCGTTTAGACATTTTTGCTGAAAAATATTTTCTGTTTGAGCGTTTTTTATTGGAAGTCTACAATTTACTTTCAAATCTTCGAGAAGATACTGTACAGCGAGTCTTGTTTTAGTTTTCAGTGAAATTTTTGTTGGGAAAATCATCAAATACTCTTCACATCGTCTAGTGGCAGTTGGAGTGTCGAACATGTCTGCCAGACGGAGAATCTGCTCAATGTTTTGATCTGGAAATTTGACGGAAATTCAAAAAGCTAGACATTTTCATATTTTAAGTTTCAATCTTCAATAAAAACGTGCACAATCGGAAATTTTTTGATAGTGAACACGTGGGTTCAGGCGAGGGGGTCAGAAAGCGCGCCCCAGTAAATTTTTCAAAAATTCTCATTTGGCTGCCGGCGCTTGTTGACTGACAATCATATGCATTAGGCCGACACGTTTATTTTTTCAATATTTTTCGATGTTTTCGTTCGTTTTCGCTCTTTTTTTCTCGTTTTTTTCTCGTTTTTTCCCTATTCCATTTCCCCATTTTTCCCACCACGTGAAATCCACTTGTCATTTTGAATTAGTTAATTTCGGCTGGCCTACGAGTTAGCTGGGGCGAGCTTTCTGACCCCCTCGCCTGAACCCACGTGAGTGAACCTTTTATGCATTTACCGTAAAACCTGTAATAGACATGATCTCTAACTTATTACTTTGAGCCAATTTATCTCGGTTCCTCTGAAAGATAACAAAAAGCCTTAACTGACAAAAAGTTTATCATAAAATCAACAATATTTTATCAGTTTATGACTTTTTGATATCTTTGACAGGAACCAAGAAAAATAAGCTAAAAGTTAATAGTTAGAGAACCTTTCTATTACAAGGTTTACTGTAGTTTCGAATCTTTAAAAAATCCGATTTTTTTCAAAAAGTCCATACTTGTAAAATTCCGGGCCGGACCGGGCCTGAGGAAATTTTCAAGGCCCGGGCCCGGCCCGGAAGGCCCGGTGTCAAAAATTCTGTATTTTTGAGCCAAATTTTGAGCTCTCAATATAATTTTTTCCATTTTTTTTTCGTATTTCGGATTGTTTGTCTGTCTGATCAAAAAAGATCGAAAAACTCGAAAAAAATTTTTTTGCTCGAAAAAAAATCACATAAGGGCCCCTCTTATGTGTTTTTTGGAAATTTCGAAACTAGTGAAATGACGGGCCCGCCGGGCCGGACCGTTACAAGTATGAAAAAGTCTAACCGGTGATCGATGATTCTCCGTGTAGGACTTCTAAATAGAACTGAAAAGATTCAGAATCGACGTCTTCTAAACGAATTTCCGATTTTGCGGATTCTAAGAAATTACCGAGAAATAAGGCTCGGAAATAGGAGGATTGGAAGGAGAGAAACTGAAAAAATAGAAAATTTTTTAAAAAAATTATGAATTCTCACCAATCTCGACATATAAAACTTCTTATCCTCAACAACTAAAACCACATCTGAAACATCTTGATCATCGAATTTTCTGGAACTTTTTCTTCGAATTTCTTTCAATTCTACATTGCATTCCATTCGAATCGATCCATTCACCAGAAACTTGTTTTCGACATCCTCCCAATTCATAAAATCCCATCCATATCCATCATTTCCATCTTTTAAATCCAAAATCTTGAATGACGTCTTCTTAATTTTCTCTTCTGTTCCCAATGCCGATACTAATTTCATCTCGAAGAAAACTTGAAAATTTTCAGATTTTTCAGTTTTTTTACAGCATAAAAATGCCGCAAAGTCTGGGCCAGATCGTTGGATTTTTATTCTCCTGAAATATACCATCTAACAGAACGTCACCCAACTTCAAACCCATGTATCTCATTTCCCGTAAAAGATATCAAAAACCTGTCAACTAATAAAATGTTGGTGATATTATGGTAAACATTTTGCCAGTTTATTACTTTATGATACCTTTACCAGAAAATGAGATAAATGGGCTTAAAGTTGAGGGTTTTAAAATTCTGGAAAATATCAGCTCACCATGGAATTCCAAAATGAATTTCAGCCGGACTATACCGTTTTTCCCGGTTAATCATAGTACAAAAATTTGGGAATTCATATTCTAATTTGAATTTCTTCTCCGGAAGAATCGACATTTTTATTGGGGTCAGTAGGAAAAATAGAAATTGAAAACAGTGATAAACTGATAAGAAAATCAAAAATTCGTTTCTTTAAATATGTTGACTCAAACATTTTTTCCTTTGACGTAAAATGGAAATCAGGTGGTGAACTATTGTTTTTTTTTTGAGAGGAAATTATTCATCCGGGAATTAAAATATTACGTCAATCGGCTGAAATTCTGAAATTTTGATATTCTGAAATTCTGAGATTCTGAAATTTTGATATTCTGAAATTTTGATATTCTGAAATCCTGAAATTCTGAAATTTTGATATTCTGAAATTCTGAGATTCTGATATTCTGAAATTTTGATATTCTGAAATTCTGAGATTCTGAAATCCTGAAATTCTGAAATCCTGAAATTCTGAAATTTTGATATTCTGAAATTCTGAAATCCTGAAATTCTGAGATTCTGAGATTCTGAGATTCTGAGATTCTGAGATCCTGAGATTCTGAGATTCTGAGATTCCGAAATCCTGAAATTCTGAAATCCTGAAATTCTGAAATTTTGATATTCTGAAATTTTGATATTCTGAAATTCTGAGATTCTGAAATCCTGAAATTCTGAAATCCTGAAATTCTGAAATTTTGATATTCTGAAATTCTGAGATTCTGAAATCCTGAAATTCTGAAATCCTGAAATTCTGAAATTTTGATATTCTGAATGTCTGAGATTCTGATATTCTGAAATTTTGATATTCTGAAATTCTGAGATTCTGAAATCCTGAAATTCTGAAATCCTGAAATTCTGAAATTTTGATATTCTGAAATTCTGAAATCCTGAAATTCTGAGATTCTGAGATTCTGAGATTCTGAGATTCTGAGATCCTGAGATTCTGAGATTCTGAGATTCTGAGATTCTGAGATTCTGAGATTCTGAGATTCTGAGATTCTGAGATTCTGAGATTCTGAGATTTAATTTCAGATATTCAAAATTATCCGAATATCAGAGTCTTCGAATTTCAAAATTCTATGAGAGTTTCGAAAATAAAAGAACGAAAAAAAACGAAATTCCCGAATTCAGTCTTCTCGATCCTATCCGATCCTATCCGATCCCAAATCCTACAGTAGCATACATTTAAAAAAAGAAGATGAGATAAATTAGTAAAGGTCACAGTTAACTGTCTCTTCTTTTCCCGCCCAGAGAACACTCTCTCACTCTCTACCACTCTCTCAAAAATCAACACTCTCTAAGCCCCCAGAATGTCTATTTTCTCTCTCCGCACAAATTGAAATCATCAGTTTTTCGGAGTGTCCCCCTCTGTCCCTCTGCACCCTCCCTGCGTCCATTTCGACGCTTTTTTCTCTCTTTTTCTTTTCCCTCTCCCCTATTTTCTATATTATTTCTTTCTTCAACCCCCGTGTCATGCAAAATCATTCTCCCATTTTCTCTTGTCCTTCTTCTTCTTTTTCTTTTTCTTCTTTTTCTTCCGTATCGTTTCGGACAAAACAGAATCTTCCAGGTCATTCCAATTTCCTTGTTTTTATTTCTTTTTTTTTCGTAATTTTTTTATTTAGAAACCTTTTGATCTACACAGTTTTTTGCAGTTTTTGCTCTTTTTCTCATTAAATTTGACCCATTTTTTGAGTTTTTCCTCATTTTTTTCTCACCATTTTTTTCTGCGGATTTTTTGCCTTATTTTTTCTATTTTTTTCCAATTTTGTAATAATCAAATTTTTTCAGAATTACTCCCGAATTGTGTCGTAGTTTTAGTGGAAGTAGTCGAAGGAGAAGGATGACACCGAAATCGAAAAATGAGGAGGTCAGCGCTTTTTTCTTTTTAATTTTTCTAAAAATCGTTTCTCCCATATTCTAGTAGGTCTGAATAATTTTTTTAAAAAGATGGAAAAGTCGAAAGAGTCGAAAAATCTCTGAAAATTGAAATATTTGAATTAGAAGTGAATTTGGAAACCAAAGAAAAAAATTTGATAAATGAAAACGAAAACTGAAATTTTTAGAATGAATTTCTTAAAATTCAGTTAAAAGCTGAATGATTTGAATTGCTTTTAAATAAAAAAAAGATAATTTAAAAAAATCTGAAAATGAAAATTTTCAGAGAACTTTCATTTTCAAAGAAAGATTTTCAAAAAATCTTAAAATCCCGAAAATTCGAAAATCACCAGAAATTTGAAATAATACCTCAATATTTTCTAGAGTATTTTTACTACCAAACCACTAACTTTGAGATCAATTATCTTGGCTCCTAAAAGAGATATCAAAAATTTGTCAACTGATAAAATGTTGGTGATATTATGGTAGATAATTCATTAGTTGACAACTTTTTGATATCTTTGACAGGAACCGCGATAGATTGGCTCAAAGTTGATGGTTTGGATGGGCTTCTATTAGAGAAACTACGTTTTGTTTTAACTATCTTTTTTCCAGACTCGAAAACCGGAATCTCTTCATCCGACGCATCATTCCTCACCTCCTTCCTCCCAACCTCTCCCCCAGGATCCCCCAGGACCTCCTCAACCATCATCACCTCCATCCAGGGAGAATTGTGAGTGCTGTCGGAGGTTACTTGAGCATGCAACGCCGTATGTGGCTTATGTGAATGTCAGTAAATCGGATGTAGTGTACGATAGAACACTTTGTTTGTACAAATTGGAATCACCACCACCACCTCCTCCGACGTCTTCGACATCTCATACTCCAGATTCTCAGCCTTCGTCCTCCTCGAATCCTCCGAATAATAATAACAATCCATATCCTCCACCAGTGCTGCCAAAAGTCAAACGAATATTGGATCGATTTGAAGAAGCGAAATTGTGGGATTTGATGGGATTAAATCAGCAAATGTACAAGAAATTGCCTGCCGAATTAACAAAGATCTCGCCGAAGCGAATGGTTTTTAGGAAATGTGCATATGTGAGTCTTATCCTATTTTTATGTTAGACAGAATTATTTTTTCAAAGGAAAATAGAAAACATAAAATCAAAACAAAAATCAATTTCAAAAACTGAAAAAAACTCATGCTTGCTGTAAAGTATTTTCGTTCTCTCGGTTTTTTAGATTAGATTTTTTGTTGAAAAACTTTGAATTGAAGCACTTTTGAAATCATTTTTACCGTACAAAACTCAATTTTTTAAAAGAAAAAAAATATTCGAAGTTTTGAAACTTACAATTAGGAGATTTTGGATAGCTTCGTAAATTTTTATTAATCAGGAACTCTTGAATTTCTGAAACTCTCTAAATTTGTGAAATTCCTAGAATTTCTGAATTTTCAAATTTCTCAATTATCTGGAACACTTCAGCTTCCAGATTTCTTGAAAATTTCAAAAGTTCTAGAAAGAAATTTTTACATTTTTGAATTTTCTGGACTTTCTAAGATTTTGGGATTTCAGAGTTTTCTGGAATTCTCGGAGTTTCTGAATTTTGAAATTTCTGGTATTACCGGAGTTTTCGGAACATCTGAATTTCCTGGACAATCTCAATTTTTGAATAACTGATAGTGAGTTTTCTGGAATTTCCAAGCTTTTCTAAACGTTCAAAATGTTCCGAGTTTTCTGGAAACTTTCAAAATTTTAGAAAAAATCAGAAATTCATAGATTTAGGAATTTAGAAAACTAATTTGAATGTTTAGAGTTTCTGAAGGTACTGTCTTGGAAATTTTAATCTTGGAAATTTTAGATTTTTTGAACTAGTGAAATTCTGGAATTTGAATTTTTTCGAAGTTCTTGGAATTTCCGAACTTCCAAAAATTGTGAGTTTCTGTATTTCTTGAATTTCTGAGTATTCGAGTTTTGTTTATTGTTCGAAGTTTTCCTAATAATCTGGATTTTCTGACTTTTGGAGATTTTGAGATTTTCAAGAATTTCTCTGAATTTCTAGTTTTTTTGGGAAACAAAAATATTGTATTATTTAGTGAAATCACATTTTTGTGCGGTTTATAATTTTACATTAAAAAACATCAAAACTTTAAAACAAAATAAAAGAAATCCCAATTCCAGCGCCTGCACAACACCCGACACTTTGATGTTCCGCTCAACAAAAAGTGCCGGATGACAAAAGAAGAAATTCTGAAGCAGAATTACGAGGATGATAAGAAGTTGATAAAGAAGAATCAAGCATTCAATTGTGTCTGGAACGACTGTCCCCACGCATTCCACGATCCTCAAGATATGCGAATCCATTACATGTTCGATCATGACTCCATCAAATTGTTCTGTTGTGGGACTCGCTACGAGAACTATGATGCTTATCTGGAACATTATGTGACGACGATGAATGGAGAGGGACATGCCACGTGGATGGCCAGAGAGTGTTGGGGATGTAATATTCGATTGGTTGATGCTGCATCGTTCTACACACATGCTGAAGAGTGTGAAGCACAAATCAACCCATTTCCATGTCCGGATCCGTTGTGTGGAATACGATTCGAATATTTGACTGATGTGGTGGATCATTTTTATATTTGGCATGATGTGAGTTTTCAGAAAAAAATATGAAAGTTTTGGGCTTGAAAGCTTTACCCAAGGTTTCGTTCTAAATCCCGGAGTTTCAGAAGTCAGAGTTCGGGTTCAGAGTATTTGAAAATTGAAAGGATTACTGTATATTAAAAAACAATCGAAGATATTTGGGTTTAAAAAAGAGAAATTACGGTGGCTTTGAACCTTTGACATTACGAAAATATATTTTTGAGCAAGACGAAAATTTTTTCCAGAAATCCGGTGCTATTGTGTGCAATGAAGTGGTCTACCCAACGCGTGAATCCATTGAGCCCGATCTCAAAATGCTGGATGACGGTCAGCTGGTGATCAATTTTCCATTGCGATCTATCTACACGTGTCACATGTGCAATATCCAGTTCGCCAGTGAAAAGTACTATCAAGAGCATGTTAGTGTGCATTTGAAGGTGAGCGAAGGATACTTTTTAAGTTTGGGTTGTTCGAAAAATGAGGTTTCCAATTACGGGAATTATTTGAATCCCTCCAACTATGCCTTTTTTAGATACTCACTATTAGCAAAAAATGTTTTAAATCAAATTTTTTATGTTCGACCTAAATTTCTGTTGACACAGCTGGCAACATGAACTGCTATACAGTTGGTTAGTTAACAAGTTCATAACCAGAAAATGATCAGGAAGAGCCCAGCCAAACTGTCACCTTCGGCTCAATTATCACAGCTCCTGTGAAAGATATCAAAAGTTTGTCAACTAATAAATTATTCATCATAATATCAACAACATTTTTTTCCAGCTGTAATCTTTTCGCTATCCTGCAACGAGATAATTGATCTCAAAGTTGATAGTTTGGGTGGTTCTATTACCGGAAATACAGTAGTATAAATATTTTGCTAGCTTATTTGTACAATAACTTGCTGAAGTTATCATGAAAAAGATAACATCTAAAACTTTGGAAATTATCTTTTTTTTTTGAAATCAGAGGGTATAAAGTTGCTAACTACCAACATGGAGTGTCTGAAATCTCTGAAACTTTCAGACTAAAAAAAACTTAAACTAACTATTCAGACACTAAATTGACTACTTTAAACTAAGAGGAACATTGTGAAACATAATCAAATTATCTAGTATAAAATCCCTTTTTCCAGAACCCCCACCTTTGGCTCATTCCAACAATGCTCCACTGCTCCCACTGTCATATCAAAAACTGCCCAAGCCAACGTCTATCCGTCATCAATTTTATCCCAAAACTCATCGAAACGATTCGCGACATCCCAGTATACAAATGTGAAAGCAATCCGTGTCTCCTAATCTGGCGTATGTGTCTGGCAAAAGACTTTTGCGAAGTCATGGAACGAATTCTGCTCAAATTGGTGGACGAGCATCGACGGCTCGCCATCGAGCAACAGTTTTTGGATCAAACTGGTATCCGGATTGCGATGCGAATCTTCCCAAAATTCTGGACGACCTATTTTTCTTGTTCTCAGTCCCATACAAAACGCATGCGGGTGATGAAGACATGATTGCGAAATGGCCAGCGATGGAGCTGGCAAGAGGAGATGTTGAATTGCATGTTAAAATGGATTAGGAGGATCCTTTGGAATTCAGGGTTTTGGTTCAATTAATTATTCCGGTTTTTTAGAATACAAAAAAGAGGTACTTATTCCATAAATCACTTGTCTTTCTTCCCATTTCCACACCCAACCCCCCCCCCCCTATACGTTGTCATTTTTCGAATTTTTGCCAAGTTTTATCAAATTTATATGCATCGAATGAATTTTTTTTATTTTATAGAGAGTGTCATTTTTACAGCAGAAAAAAAACAGGAAATTCGATGAAAAACAGTGAAAATCGAGAAAAGGAATTCGGAAAAAAATTTGGTTACAGTAATTATCATTGTGGGACCTTCGGAAGCGGTCACAGGCGTCTCTCCGGTTTTTTGTGTACAAAAAAGTACAATAGATTCCATGATTTTTTTGGTACAAATAATCTACATATCTATTGTATTGTTGATACGAACGATACGTGTATATGAATATGAATCATGTCTTCTTCCTCTCCCATCGATTGTTGTCCCTCATATGTATATGTATTCATTTTCCACATACATATACAGTCTGTGCTTCTATACATTTTTTTTGAAATTCAGACTACGAAATTTCCTAATCCGTACTATTCTATCTGAATATCGATTCGCGAGAAAACTGCAAAAAAGAAATCCATTCATATTTTGAGCAGCCAATGCCACGACTGTCATGGTCTAAAAATCCGATAGCTGGATAATCCGATAGTTCATGACAGTGGTACATTGTCTACTCGAAATTTTTGAAAGATACGTGTACGTATATGTGTCTGTGAGTCCTGATGTCCCGGTTTAAAGAAACACTTTCAGGTGAATCTAGAGATTTGCGGAGTATGAAAATTTTCACAAGTTTTTGGAAATTGGAATATTCCCCATAATCCTTAAAATCTAGTCCGGGGCCTAGGGATCCATACTTTCTGCATTTCTAGGCCACCAGGTTGATTTACAGTTTAGGAAGCTAAAGACGAAGACAACGAGACGCTCTAACTGTCTGCGTTTCTCCAAAACTTCAAATGACCGCATCTCGCCTTCTAGAGAAGCTAGGAATTAGAAATTTAGACTGAAATGTGTAAAATTTCAAGAAGCACATTTCTCAAAGTCAAAAACTTACTAGTAAGTTAGAGGTTTTCGGCCATTTTGATCATTTTCAGGAATCCAGAGCTCGGCTGTCAAGTTTCCAAACACTTCAAACATTTTGAAGGGTGTAGAGAAGGCCTAAATTGAAAACTTTGCATTCAGAAAATTTTTTTAAAATTCTTAGTTTTTAAGCTATTTGCTGATTTCTGAAAGACCAATTTGCCAGTTTTTGGAAAGAAAACAGGTCTCTTTCAGAAATCGGAAAATTGCTGAAAATCTTGGAGTTTTCAAAACATCAAAATGACCGAAAATCTACTGAAAATTACGTTTTTGTAGATCCTACTGTTTATCTTTTGCTCGGCACTGTATGAACACTTTTATCTTTGAATCTAAATTTCAATTTCTGCAACATGAAAATATTCCGGTTTGATCAGCTCCCGAATTTCTATATTTCCGATCCCTAAATCACCAAAAATAAAATCGGGAACAGGTGTTGCCGAAAAACTGCACCGCAGCCTAAATCCACAAAAAAACGTGGTCAAGACCCGACCTCTCCTCTCTCAAAAAAGGGCTGCCGGAAACAACATTTTTGCAGCAGTCGAACTGCAAATATCGCCAAAAAAAGTAGGGGGAAACCATTTGCTGCAAAACCATGTGCACCCTGTCTATTTGATCAGATGTCGGGTACACGCCGCCTCCCGATTTGGTCTATTTTATATAAGAACTAAACAACCGAAAACATTCCATTTGAGATTCTCGGTTCACTCTCGAGACCTACCACCAATCATGACCTTCTCCTCCTCTCTTTTTTTGGTTCTTTTCGCTGGAATTATTATAATTTCTACTGTTCAAGCTCTCCCACCAAAAGGTTAGTTTTTGAGCGTTATTGTAGGTTTTGGTATCTGTTTTTATTATAAGTTTTCCATAACGATTTCTGGAAGGTTCCCATTAGAGCGCATTTTATAATTTATAATTTATTGATCAGAAGAAAATATGGCACAACAGTTATAACGGGAGTTCTAGATAAAATTCCTAACGAGATGAACCTAGAGAATGGGGAAGAAAATGGTAAACATGTAAGGCATTTGCCAAAAAAAGATTGAATTCAGGTTGCACATCCTGCCTAATGGTGCCGATTGAAGAGACCGAAAAAGCTGGAATTTCGAGCACCAACAAGACCAGAAACACCGAAACTGGATGCTTTGTAAGTTTGCAAATTTCCAAAATTACCGGAAATGCTAAAATAGAACTTTGATCTTACCTCTCTACAGTGTGTGCTATCGGTACGGTTTCGGTAACTTACCGGTAATTTACCGGTAAAATACCGGTAAATTTTTACCGGTACATTACCGGTATTTTACTGGTAAAATTACCGGTAATATACCGGTAAATTTACCGAAAACTACCGATAATTTCTAGGAAAATTTTCTGCGTTTTTTCAAAATTTGGAACAGCGACGTTTTAGAACCGCAACATTTTTGAACCGCGACGTTTCAGAACCGCGACGTTTTAGAACTGACCATTTCAAAACTGTTGCAAACTGTCAAAAAACTAGTGAAACAGCAGAAAAAACGTTCGTTTTTTTTCTAAAGAAATAAAGTTCCTCGAGGAATTTTTCGAGGAATGGATTCCTCGAAATTTCTCGAGAAACGACCCTTTCGTCTCCGCCATCTCCCCCCTCCCCCACCCTTGACTGCGCCTCTCTCTGTGTGTGCGCCTCCAAATGAGGGCGCGCGCTCACGGCTCCATTACTGGCTTCAGAAGAGAGATAGAGCCTTCTGATCTTCAGAAAACGTACTGTCCCAGGATCCTGAAGACGTCCCGAGCCACTAAAACTTTCATTCATCATAACTCGGTTCATTTTTACGCTAGAGAGTTTATCTTACCACCATTCGAACGCTCTCTTCAAGCTAAACACAATGAAATCCACTTCAGCACATAAAGTACGCGGCACATAAGATTTTTTGGAGGTTCTTACACGGCTTAATTTTGAAAAGCTAGCTCGGCAGCTAGGCGTATTATACGTAAAATCACGAGAGGAGTCTAATGGTATCGGTTGCCGAGCAAGAAAACTAACACAGAAAAAGTTATTTTTCGGAGCAGAAATAACCATACTTGCTAAAAATTCCGGCCCAGCCCGGGTAGACCCTGGCTGCGGCCCGGGCTGGAGAAAAATATTCCCGGCCCTGCCCGACCCGCCGATTCAGAGACCGAAAACTTCAAAATTTTTCTGTTGATTTTTGATATACTTTTGTCAAAACAATCATTTTAAAACCCGCCTACTTTATGTTCTAAAGTTGCTTTCATTGTGTTAAGCTTGAAGAGAGCGTTCGAATGGTGGTAAGATGAACTTTCTTTTAAAATGAACCAAGTTATGATGAATAGAAGTTTTAGTGGTTCGGGACGTCTTCAGGATTCTGGGACAGTATGCATTCTGAAGATCAGAAGGCTCTATCTCTCTTCTGAAGCCAGTTATAGAGCCGTGAGCGCGCGCCCTCATTTGGAGGAGCACACACAGAGAGAGGCGCAGTCAAGGGGGGGGGGGGAAGACACACTGGTGTAGTCCTCGAGGAAAATAAAAATTTTACCGAAAATTTACCGGTAACTTACCGGTAATTTACCGGTAAAATACCGGTAAATTTTCGGTAGTTTTCAAATTTACCGGTAGGTTACCGGTAAATTTCGGTAAATTTTTACCGGTAAATTACCGGTAAAATTACCAAAAAAGCCGTTACCAGTAAGTGACAATCGGTTGTCACACGCCTCTCTAATAGAAGCCCATCCAGACCGCCAACTTTGCGCTCAATTATTTCGATACCTGTGAAAGACATAAAAAGTGGTCAACTGTTAACTTATTTATCGTAATATCACCAATACTTTATCAGTTGACAAAATTTTGATATCTCTCCTAGTAATCGAGATAATTGAGCTCAAAGTGCGATATAGGATTGGAGTCATATTAGAGCATTTACGGTAGCTACAGTAACCCTTTCTTAAAATTTCGCTGAAACCCACCAATGAAATTTAGAACTCTGTAGCCATGATTTGGACTTTTTTCTAATGATGGTTTAAAATTTCCACTATAAGTTTTGGTAGAAAGTGTAAAATTTTTTGAGAGTATCCTAGAAGTTTTCAGTAATTGCGGTTTACAGAAATTAAAACATGAAATCATGGGCTTTGTGGGATTCATGGTGTTAATGAGGAGTATGGGTTTTATCGGGTTTATGGGGTTTTTTTGGGTTGCATGAAAAAGTGTACATAAGCTTTATATAAAAGTGTATTTACCGTAAAACCTCTAATAGAACGACACCCGGATCGTCCACTTTGAGCCTATATATCTCATTTTCTGTAAAAGATATCAAAAAGTGGCTAACTAGTAAAATGTTGCTGATATCCTGATAAACATTTTACTAGTTAACCACTTTTTGATATCTTTCAAAAGAAGTGAGATATATAGGCTCAAAGTAGACGATCCGGGTGTCGTTCTATTAGAGGTTTTACGGTAAGCTAAATCCCTACCGTGTTTGCTCTTATTGAAGCCCACCCTATAAGTGTACATTTAGCTCAATTCCCTCAAGGAGTTCCCATGAGAGATATCAAAAAGGGATCAATTATATAATTGTTTATCAAAATACCACCAATATACCAATATTTTATCAATTGAAAAAATGTTGATATCTCTTAAAGAAGCCGAGATAATTGAACTCAGTTTCAGCTCAAAGTTCAAGTATAGGATGGGCTTCTATCAAAGCTAACATCCCCCCCCCCTTAAACCTTGGAAGTCACTCATATTTCTGAAATTTCAAAATTCAAAATTTCCAGGTTCAAACCGTACAATGTATGTCCAAGGAAAACGATTCCGACACCTACATCCAATTCAACAAAGGTCGTAAAGGCCTATTCGCTGCCGTTCAACAAACGATTCAACTGATTTGTAACGAAGAAGGAAAATGGGAATTCCGTCATTCGAAACTGACACTTACCGTCAGTTCATTGACATGTCTATCCACTTGATTTCCTCATATTGCTCATCCTTATTTTTAGGATTACTGTAGATGTATAGGGGAGGAAGTGAGAGAAGTGTCCATGTTTGTATATCAACTATTATAATAACAATTTCATTTTATAGTGTTTTTTTCAATTTTTTCCATCCATATGTGTACCTTGATTCTTGCCAAAGAAATTCTATTTTTTCTGAGTTTTCAACATATAAATGACGCTAATTAGTAAGTTTATTCAAATTACCCAAATTACCAAAGTTTCCAGAAACTTCTGGAACTATGCTAATTGTATTTTTAGCCCAATAATTTCAGATTTTCCTAGAACCAATCTTCTTTTGAGCCAATTCTGAAAAAATAAACATATCCGGTGTAAAATAATCCTTTTTTCAGACCCCTACTTGTTTTTTTCCTAGTAGTTATTTTTTCCATTAGCTGACCAACATCAGAAAAAATGTATTTATTTGATTTGCATGTATCAATAGGGTGAAAAACGTTGATAATAAGATTTTGACGGATTTGGTGGGTGCTAAAACACAAAAATGTCATGAGGAGATTATCAGGATTCATAAAAAATGTATGCGAAAAGGAAGTGGATTTCTTGGATCTCCAAAATTTGGTTTCAGTGGTTTACATGCTTTTTCAAAAAATGCTCTTTTGGTTTTTGATTTTCCAATCATCCACTGAAAAAAAACAAACCCAGAATAATTCATAACTCATTTTTGAGCGCTATCCAGTGATAATATCCCAAAATTTCAAGAAATTCTGAAATCCTGAGAAATTTGAAAATTTGGAAATTGCAAAGTTTCTTGTGAATTTCTGAATTTCTAAATTTCTGAATTTTTGAACTTCTGATTTTCTGATTTTCTGATTTTCTGATTTTCTGATTTTCTGATTTTCTGATTTTCTGATTTTCTGATTTTCTGATTTTCTGATTTTCTGATTTTCAGAATTTCAATTTTTCAGATTATCGATTTTTCTAGGCCACTTTTTGAACCGTAGTTAGAAGTTCTAAAGAATGTTCTAAAGAAGTTACCCTCTTGAGAGTACTCACACATACTTGCGTTATAAATAAATTATGACGCACTTTCAAAAAAGAAAAAAAAACTCTGATTTCGAAATTCCTTCTGGAAATTTCCATATAAAACGAATATCTTATCATCCTGTTTCGAAACAAAAAGTTGAAAGAAATTTTAGGATCAGAAGTTTGAAAATTATTTTACCGTACCCTCTCTAATACTTCTCTAAAAGAAGCCCACCCTAATCGCCAACTTTGAGCTCAATTATCTTGATTCCTGCGAAAGATATCAGAATTTTGTCAACTGATAAATTATTTATCATAATATCATAAATTATTTATCAGTTAACACCTTTTTTGATATCTCTCACAGGAACCGAGATAATTGAGCTCAAAGTATATATGCTCAAAACACTTCTGCTGCAGCAAATACGATAATTTGGATAAAAAAGTTTTCAAACATTTTTTGAACTTTTGAATTTCAGAGAAACTTGATTTTAGAAATTCTCTTCCCTTTCCTTTCCCCTTCTTTTCAAAAAACTTTTGAACCCTTTGAAACCCAAAAAATATGTTAAGCCCTTCCCAAAAAAGAAAGAAATATATCTATTTTCTGCAACACAAAAGAACTCCTGTCTCTCTTTCCCTGTTAAGCCATCCTATTGAAAAGTGCAAAGACTCTTATATTCCTCAACTCTTCATCATCTTTTCCTTTCCTTTCCGAATGGCGGTTTTCCGTTTTTTGGAATAAAAGGGACACAAAAAAGCAAAGCTTATGCTCTCTCACCCTCTTCCAGATCCTTATTTTTCTATTTTCTCTCTTCTGGCTCTTCATCTCTTTCTCCTCAATTTCATACGCTGCTCTTTGTAGTAGTGGTCCTTCTTCTTCTTTTTTCCCTTCTGACACATTCACACACCACATAGTTTCTTTTCTTTTCTCCTCCCACCGAGAGCTCCCTTTTCGTTTTTTTTCTCTTTTTTTCTCACGTCCAGGATCTTCTTCACTATCTTATCTCTATCTCCCCACACATCCCACCTGGATTATCTTTTTCAGAATTTTTTAGATCTACCTTTTTTTAGTTTGGAGTGTTATGAACCCTAGTTAGACTAACCAGATTTTTTTTTGATAAATTATTTTTTTAAAGGTGGGGGGACATGAAAAAAATAATGTTCTCGAAATTCCGTTCAAAGATGCCTCTCGAGGAGTTGAACTTGTGAGGGCGATGATTGAGGGTGCGGCGCCGCTACCGACTGAGCCACGCGGGCAAAGAGAAAGCGCTACAAAAAAACTACGAAAAATCTCCTGTCCCCTAACCTTTAACGGAAAATTTCTAATTTTAATAACTTTCTATTTTCATATTTTCTGAAATAATGCAAAGTTTTCTCAAAACTGTTCATATAAACTCCCTCATTTCGATATCGCTGTTTGATTGTTGTCCTAAAAATAAAAATAGTACTACTGATTGCGTTGCACCCTGGTTGCCAACTTTGAGCCGATTTTTCTCAGTTACTGTGGAAGATATCAAAATGTTGTTGACTGATAAACTATAGGTGATATTATGATAAATATCTTATTAGTTGACCACTTTGTTATATCTTTTACAGTAACCGAGATAATTGAGCTCAAAGCGCGCCTGCTGCAACCGCACATCTCAGACGGAAGCGGAGCGACACCTTGAATCAATTTATCTCCGTTCCTGTGTAAGATATCGAAAAGTTGTCAACTAAAAATTGTTCATAATAATATCATAAACATTTTATCAGTTGACCACTTTCTTAAATCTTTCACAGGAACAAAATAATTATGCTTGAATCGCCCCGGCGGCAACCGCGTTGCTCAGGTGCTAACGGCGCCTCACCTTGGAATCAATGGTTCCTGTAACAGCTATCAAAAATGTGCCACTTGACAAAATTTTTATCATAATATCAGTAACATTTTTCAGTTGACCACTTTTTGATATCTTCGATAGGAACCGAGGAAAATAGGTTCAAACAGGACTCTCAGACCTTTAAGCTTCAATTTTTTTAATTTCAGATCACTAGGAGCCGAAAATAATGCTTATTGAGGGTGTGGAAGTAGACTTGCTCAAATGGTTTATCATATTTTTCATCGTTTCCAGTGTGAGTGTTTCAAAAGCTTCTGACTAGTAAAGTTTTTTCTCCGATTCCGAAACACAACAAAAAATTCTACAACTGATTTCGAAATCAGATCTCTATTTTCAAATCTTGTCATAAATTATGTACACTAATACATTTGTGTTAACATACGTCGACCAGCTTACAGTAATCCTGCATAACATCATCCAAAAAAATGTCAGCAATGTTTTTCAAATCCCAAAACGTACGGGGGGATAATCACTTGTAGTTTCAAGGATGATCCTATGTTTTATGGACATCAAATTGTGCGTACATCTTTTAGTTTATTCGTTCAGAGATAAAACGTAGAGAGGTACAGTCGTCCAAAAAATTGGGCACCATCAACCAAACGTTTCTTCAGAACTTCATTGTTGAAGTTGTCAAGTTTGAGCTCAATTATCTCGGTTCTTTCAAATGATATCAAAAAGTGACTAACTGACAAAATAGTTTTGATATTATGATGAACATTGTAACAGTTGCTCACTTTTTGACACCTTTCGAAAAAACGAGATAATTGAGCTCAAAGTTTGGTGTGCCTTGTTTTAGAATCTATACGGTATTTCGATTTATAGTTAGTATATAAACTGAAAAAAATTAAAAATCTAAATTCCCAATTCTCCCATTTTCGATTTTCAGATCCTGACGTGTATATGCATTGGTTGTCGAATGATTGATTCAAAAACGGACATCACACAGATGGGAATGGATTGCTGCATCTGCCCACGGGGATTTGTCAAACGTCCCCCCAAACGAATAGTTCTTCTGGAACCCACTACACGAATCCAACAAGCAGGATTCACAATTTACTGTGTCGACCGCCCCATGCCGGCGACAAATCTACCGTACCATTTCGATCGTGTCGAAGTGGAACAGTGTTTGAATACACTTTTCGGTACACGAAGCATCTTTCTGCCAGAGACTACTGTAGCAGTCTCAATTCCGGCACGTGGATTCTGTAGTACATCTGAATTTCACATGTTTTCGAAACAAGATGTATCGAAAGAGAGTCCGACTGGGTATTCGTACGAAATGGTATCGAGTAGTGTGCAGGCAGCAAGCACAGATGCTATCAGTTTTTTCGGTTGCTCATCTCGCATTTTGGCTGGTGTAACGATTTATTTGGGAATTGGAGGAGAGTTGATGGAAAGTGCATATCGGATTAATTGCAATTTAATTCTGATGAAAATGATTCGGAATGTTCATCGATACCATCGATGGATTCCATTTTCGAGGACAGCTATTTATATAAAAAGTCTTTTGAGGGACAGTTGGAGACCAGTGGCGCCTATGGTAAATTGTCTCGCGCGTTATTTGTCAAGAGCTTCAAAATAAGAATAATCAGGTCCTACTTTTGGTTTTACTCGGGGCCGATTTAAACGGAAAATGTCAGAATGAGCGGAGCCTAATCGTGTTTATACTCATTTCGAAGCTTTTGACAAGTTGAATAAGAATATTCACTTCAAATTTTGAATTTCGTCTCATAAAATCTGTTGTATTCTATCTAAGTGAACATCCAAAATTGGCTAATTTCTACTAAACATTGGTAAATAGTGAACTTCCAGAACTACATTCGCCCTCAACTGCGACACTCGGATGCGGAATCTTTTCGTTACCGTATCCGCCAATCCGTTTCCTCTCGTCCCAGCGGAGCACACGAAGAAATTATTCAACTTCAACGTCGTGTTGAAGACATGTTTGTGGCGAGACCCATCACTTGTCAACCGACTTCGGTTACTGTACATATGGGATTGAGGAGGCCATCGTCGATGAGAAGTTGTCGAATTCCTGCGGATATTAATTTGAATGTTACGCAGGTGAGGTTTTTCAGATCTTTTTAACTAAATTCAGTTGTGGTGACCTCCTAGATTGGATTTCTAGGCCACCAGTCCTTTTTGTACTAAAATATTATCTTCAAAAAATTTCAGATCACTCGAGAACGTCCACCTCCTCTTCGAATAGCAACTGATTTTATAATAGATATGCCACTGGACACCCCCAGTCCTGTAGAAGAGGGCATTGCTCATAACAAGGATCTACCCCCCGACTACGATAGTTTGGAAGCTGCCGCTTTCAACTTTTCAGACACTTCACAACCACCGCCGTACTGGAAAATTTTTTAATTTTCAATTTATTTTTTTCAAAATATATTTTTCATACTCTTTCTTTTTGTTTCAATGTCCCAGTATTTGCGTACCTCTTTTTTTGAATTTAGTCATCGATTCTCTTTTTGTTTAATTGTATAATTTTCTTGAATTTATTTATTTATTTATTTCAACGAAGGGGAGAAAACCACTAACACGTGAAATGTCTATGAAACTAGGAGATATAACAGGGACATACATTTGTATTAAATGGGAGATGGAGGAAAAACCGAGTTAGTAATTAGTTGAATTCAAGACAAGAAAATGTTTTAGATCACAGGATAATAGTCGATTTTTGAAAGCCGCTGACGAGGGCTTCACCGGAAACACTTTGGCGGGTAAAGAGTTCCAACATCTGATTACTCTATTAGAGAGAAATTGAGAAGATATTTTTGTTGAATTTTTGATAAGTGATTTGAGATAGTATTTGTGACGTCGCAATGTCCAGCATGATTAAATATTTCGAAAATTGGAACCTCCATGATAATTTCTTTGGAAACAATAATTTTATACGTGTAGACCAAATCATTATAGAGCCTGCGATACTCCAAGGAACTTAGCTGACATTCTTCCAGTGCTTCAAAGTATGAAGTGTATGCCATCCTGAATTTTTTGAAAATTCTGAAAACAAATGACTTTTGCACCGATTCCAATTTTATAATATGATCCTTTAGGATTGCAGAAGTGACTATCGTTCCATATTCAAGTAAAGGGCGTATGTAAATTGTATAGCATTTTATAAAAACACTCCACGATGCGTTTTTTAGAATGGAAAAGAACATGTTGATCCTCTGATGTGATTTCCGAATAATCAACGAATAATGATAATGGAAAATCAGGTTACTGAAAAAGTAGATCCCAAGATCACGGACATTTTCCAGCGGGGGAATCAAAGCTTGATTTAATTTGGGATTCATAACATTGGAGTTGGCATATTTTCTTGTTGCATTGAATTTGATGTATTCGCCGAATTTGATGTATTCGAATTGTAGATATTTTCAGCTTTTTTCAAAGCTTTCTCATTGAAATAAATTATTTTTTTTCGTTCAAAATTGGATTCATTAAAAGGGGGAGGAAACGGGTGCCAAACGAGTTTAATTAAGTGCAAAAGGAGGGAAATAAGGTTTTTTTCAGGATTTTATTCAAAAAGGAATATTTGAATAGATGGACCGAAGCCAGAAAAGTGTTGGAAAATGGAGTTTTCAAAAATGTATAATAATAATAATAATACATTTATTGATAAAGGGCCGAAGCCACTGATATAATCAATGCACAGTAAAAGGTTAATAGTTGGTAGGGTTTAGAATTAAAAAGGGGGTAAGATTTACGTAAAATAGGTTAGTTCTAAAAGACTGAAAAGAAATAATGTCAGGGAAGACTGATTGGGGGAGGGAGTTCCAGCAAGAAATAATTCTTGAGGTAAAAAATTGGGAAGAAATTTTAGTGGGGGGAAGTTTTTAATTTGTAACGGATGTTGAAAGGGTGCCTACGGAGATTAGTAATAGTGGAGGGACAAATAAATAAATCATGATTCACAATTACTTCACGGAATACTATTAGTTTATACAGGAAAACTAAATCGACAATGAGCCTGCGATATTCTAGAGATTCTAAATTGCAATCATTTAAACAATCAAAGTAAGATTTGTAGGGCTTATTAAATTTACCATAACGTCTAAATAAAAATGTTTTTTGGACACTTTCATTATCCGTTTTGGATAGCTCTCAACACGCTGCTAGGTGGACCAAGGCATTTTTTTTGGAATTTCGATTTTTCACTGATAAGTCATTTTATCAATTGAAGAAAGTGATATCTCAAACAGGAAACGAGATAATTTGGATCAAAAAGACGTCTCTTTTTTAGCAGATTTTAATAGGGAAAAAAACTTTTAAAAGAAATTTTGCGTGGCCAAAAAAAAAAAGAATCATAAATTGTTCGGACCTCGGGCCAAGTTGGAAGACGCTCTCCGGCGCTGAAAGTGAATTGCAAGTATTCACAGACGCACTCGAAGGTTCTGTGGATGTGAAACATCGCTGTCACATCGCATCAACACTCGATATAATCCACAAACTTCAGTCTGCGCAGGTGCAGATGCAGGCAGTGCCATGATAATTTCCTGTGATCTTGGCAACATTGGCAAGTCCAACTACTTTGAACTAGTGGTCGAGTGTAGGGAAACCGAAGCTCCGTCTACGACCGTTACGTGGTTCAAAGGTGACTTCCTCGGTCATCGGCTGGGCCTAAGATAGATTCACAACGTTTCTCATAGAATAGTTGTCGAGTAGAGAGCGATCTCGAAGCGAGCGAACGGAAAGACGAGTTAAGCTTGAGCATCACGAGCGATGAGGAAATTTCGAAAACAGACGTTCCGAAAATTCTCCCACTTTTAGTTGTACCATATTCAAGGACGAATATAAATAATAAAACATTTTGCGCAGAATTTGAATACCGTATTAATAGAGGTCCACCTTATACATTTACTTTGAGCTCAATTATCTCGATTTCTAGTAGAGATACCAAAATGTTGTCAACTGATAAAATTTTTATCATAATATCACCGATATATATTTTGTTAGTTGACAGATTTCCTATATCACTTATAGGAACCGAGATAATTGAGTTCAAAATTGACCATGTGGGGTTAGCTTCTATTTGAAAATCCTGAATTTCCTGAGTTCTAAAACTTTGGCAAATACAACTTGGAGGCAAAACTACAGAAGAAGGCAAGTTAAGTGAAGCCAAGCTCCTGAATTCAAAATTCAATATTCTGAAAACCAGATAAATTGAGAAGCTAGAAGCTCTGAACACCGGAAATCTAAAAAATCCCGAAGTCTTAAGATTCCTAAATTTTTACTTTTTGGACTTTAAAATCCAAGTTTTTTTTTCCTATAACAGAATTTTATCCGAACCCTTAACTTTGAGCTCATTTATCTCGGTTCCTATAATAGCTATCAAACATTTTATCTGTTAACAACTTTTTGATATCTTTTACAGAAACCGAGATAATTAAACCCAGAGTTAAAGGTTCGGATGGGCTTTTATTAAAGAAATATGGTAGTTTTTTACGTGAAATATTCCAAAATCGCAGTTTTCAAAATCAAAAAAAAATCTGAGAGGTCAGTAAAGAGAATCATAAGATCAGTTCAAAGTTTTAACTTCTCCGAATATGTCTATTTCATCTCAAAATCGAAGAAACTACAATTTGAGATAATCAAGTAAGAGAAGTAAGGTAATTGTCGATTGGCCGATTTCGAAAATCTGAAACTATTCAGAGCTCCTGTGAACAATGTTTAACAAATGTAGAATATCAAGGTGGCATCGAAATGCACTTTTTCTGGCTATCTTTGGGATCGCCTTGATTGGAAGTGAGTTCTAGTAGAATTTAAGAAAAGTTCGAATGAAATTTTTAAAAAATCTATCGATGGTATCAAATTTTCAAAACTATCAGTTCTAGGTGGGGTCCACGGCAAGCATCTAGAAGATCTCATGACACGTGGAAGTTCAGAAATTTCGTGGAATTCGGAGAATGGAGTTGTAAACGTTCGAAGCAAGAGAGCTACTAGTAAGTTGAGAAAAACCACATGGAAATATTTTTTCAAAATGAAAATTTGAATTATGGAAAAAAGTCAAAATGCCACGAAGAAAAAACTTTACGATTTTCAGATTCGAATCTCCACCAAGTCAACGGAATCCTTGCTCCATTTGCCCGTCTCACTCATGCTCTGGACCTGGAAGCTGCCCTTTTCGATTCGGATCCCACTATCAACCAATTTGCTGATAAACTTCTGGATTCGGAGCCATCAAGTATCGATTCCCTGCTCTCCTTTGATTCGGATTTCCCGAATAAAATCCGGAAATCACTCGATGGCTCTTCGATTCAAGAACTCGTTGAGGGATTTGAAAAAATTGAAAGTTCGCTGAAGAACTTGAAGCAAAAACCTTTGGAGCTCTCTCAAAAAACGTTGATTGAAATTCGAAATGTTCTCGATGCCAAGAAGACCGATTTTCCAAATACCAACCAGCTATTGGAATCCTTCGAAAGGTTCAAGACGACTCTGTTTGAACACTCAAATTTCGGAAGTAACGGAAAAAACTTCCAGAAAAAAATAACCCAGTTCTTGAATAATGCCAAGAAATCGAGAAGAGTTCTTCGAAAAATGAGAGATTTGAAAATTTCCGCGGATCTCAAAACACAATTCCAAGATTGTTCAAAATTGATCAGCAAGATTTTTCCAAAGGATCTGTCGAGTATTTTTCCGATGAAGACAGCCGAAAGGATTGGATTTATTTTGAGGGACCAGAAGATTTTGAATAAAGCCGATGGTCCTAAGAATCTGGAATATTTTATGATGCAAGACGAGACAACAAGCTTGGAATTGCTTCGAAAGTATCTCAATGGATCAATTATCAGGGGAAGTCTGAGCAATCCGGAGTTGATGAAAAAGTTGGAAAATGATCTGAAACCAATTTTGGCGCTAGGAGGAAGCCAGAACAAATTCAAAACGTTCATCTACAAATTCTCCACTAACTCTCAATTCAACGTGTTACTGGAACCTTTTGAAAGATTAGATTACATTGGGAGCCCTGAAGAATATAACACTGAAAAGCTGAAATGGTTCGAGAAGACTTATGGAAAATGGCAAACTGGATTCAACCTGGTCAAGGATTTTTATTTGGGTGTGCTCAAAAATGTCGACGATGCCGAGAAACATTCTGATGGTCAGAATTTCAATTACGTGACTATCGAAAAATGGTTGGAACCATTTGACACGGCTAAAATGGACGCCTTTGAAAATGAGCTCAGCAACATAAATTCAAAAGACACATTACAAACTTTCAGAAACGACAACGCAGTTTTTAAGTCTGTTGGAAGTTTGGTATCGGTATCAGCAGAGCTTCAAAAGTTCAAGGCAGCTCACGAGGCACTTTCGGATTTGGAAAATTTGAGTGGACGAGTTCAAGACGCGGAAACTAATTTGTTAAATTTTGTGGAAGAGTTTATGGAAGAGCTCAAGGATGAGAGGCTAGAAAAAATGAAGCTTTTAGCTCAGACAGTTTCGAAATTTTTGAATGATGGACGTACAGAAGGCTACGCAAACCTTGAAGAAATTCAACACGGATTTAAAGGCGAATTTGAAAACGCTCCAAAATTATGTGACCAAAATTCAAGAGAAGAAAAAGAAGCCACAGTTAGTTGAAGCCTGGGAAACATGGTCGAAGCGTGAGCAAGTTTCAAACCAATTCAAATCTGGATTTCTTAATTTCAATGCCCTTGAAAAATCATTGAAACAAAAAACGAACGTTTTCGAGTTCATTCAAAAACACACTGATTTTGTCAATGACGTCTACCAGAATCCAAGAGACAAACTTCGTAAAAATATTGCAAGGAAAATTCTGAAAGTTCCAAGAAGCCAAAAGTACGTGGAGGAGATGTACAAGGACATTGTGAAATTGGAAAAGGAACTCAAAGGGAATTCGTCGATGGCCAGGCTAGATTCAATATTGAAAGTAGCGGAAAACGTGAGAAATCCAGAAATCTCGGGTCGAAACATTTTGAGAGCGTTGGCGTTAGCTAAAAGTTTGGAACTCACGGAAAATTTCGAGCTGGATCAAGCTTACGTTGCACTTGAAAAAGTGGAAGATCTCGATTTGGATTTTGTATCTCTTCAATCAGCGAACCTAACTGATTTTCAATCATTTCTAAACGAGGAACTTGCGAAACCCGTGATAATTGTCCCTGATGATTCTTACAATCAACCTTGGATTTTCATATTTATTTTAGTTCTGTTTGGATTCTGACGTGGAAAGAGAATTTGAAGCAATATCGAGAGTTTTTTGATGCCCAGACACCTCGAGAAGAATGGTGGACAGCAACGAAGCAAAAACTTGGGGAGCAAGAAAAGGAGGTTTCGAAAGTCATGGAGGCTCGTCGAGCGCAGGAGAAGAAAAGTGGACATTCGGATCCGTTTGCTGTGTGAACTTGAATTTTCTTTTCACCTGTAATTAAAATGAAGGTTTTGAAGAGTCAAAGAAATTCTGAGATTCAAAAAGGAATCTCAGAGTTTCTAGGTTTTGGATTTTCGGCTGATTTTCAGTGATCGTAAATTTCTCAAAATTTGGATTCAAGGTTACGGTAGAAGCGTTGTAGCATGAGCAATCAAGGTTACTGTATCTTTTAAGATCACTTTGGTTCACTGTATCATTTGGGGTTACTGTGGCTTTCAATATTCAAGCACACGGAAAGTTTAAGGTTACGGTAGGGGCGTGTAGCATGAGCAATCAACTGTAGTGTTCTGGATTACTGTAACCAAAGGTGACCGCCGGATATAAAATTTTACATATAAAATTTTACAGATAATGATATCATTTTCGATTACTGTAGCTGTCAATATTCAAGTAAACCGAAAGTTTGAGGTTACGGTATTGGATGTGGCATGACTATGAATGATTACTGTGGTTCTTATAACTTGATATGATCATTTTATTTTGGATAACTGTACTATTTGAGATAATAAAAATTCATAAAAACTGATTTTCCACAAATTTCTGCAGAAAAAAAATACGAAAAACAGTCGAAAATCGTTGAAAATCGAGAAAATAGGAGGAAAAATAGAAAAATTTCCTCCGTAAATCGACAACGGCCCCTGGCCTAGAAAATTCCGGAAACTCTTCCATGAGAATTTCGAGCAATTTTTTGGGATTCAAACACAAAAATCGCATTAAAAGACACATTTTCGATAAAAAAAAGCAAATTTCTTATATAAAAAAATTATTTTAAACACAGTCAGATAAAGTACAGAAGTGAGCGATTGGAAACGACGACGGAATCAGCTGAAATCAAAATCCTGGCCTAAAAATAATTTTTTTTCAGACAAAAATCCCTTAATTTCCGATTTATTTCTGATTTCGGAAGACAAATAATAGGTTTTTTTTCATAGTTTTGCTGTCAGAATTCGGAATTCATGCCTTTTCATTGGTTTTTCCTTCATCTCTACAAAGTTTTGTAAACTACAGAAGTGAAAAAAACTACATGAAATCTAACAGAAAAATTTCAGTGCCGAATTTCAGAATTTTAAATTACGTTGTGTCCATTTTCAGATATAGTCGTGGGAAATCTTTCGGAAGTTGTTTTTTCTCAACCTCTTTCACTTTCTTCCTGCTTTAGAAACCACCGAATATGTACAGGTTGCGGTGGGAGAAGGGAAACTGAGTGAATTGGTGTAGTGGTGCGCGTGGGTGCACGAAAAACTGAAGTCGCGAGTTCAATCCCGACCAGATCCGTACTTTTTGTTTTTGTGCAACTACCTAGATGTACCCCTTCAGACTGCGTACCCACTCAGTCAATGTACCCCTTGAGCATGATGTACCCTATTTCGATGTACCCCTGGAGAATGGACCGAAATTCTGTCCGAATTTCTGAAATTTTGAAGAGCTGAAAATCTGAGATTCTCAGACTGTGAAGTTCCGAAATTCTCAGATTCCGAAATACTGAAATTCCAAAGTTCTGAAATTCAGGAATTCAGAAACTCCCTCAAAAAAAATTGTACCCCCGAATCACAAGCGTTGTACCCCTAAATGAAATGAGTTGTACCCCAGAATCATTAGTAGTTTGTACCCCCGAATCGTTGTACCCCCCGAATTTTCGTACCCACGAATTTTGTACTCCCGAATCATCAATTTTGTACCCCTAAATCAGTTGTACCCCCTTGTACCCACGAATCATTGTACCCCCCGAATTTTCGCCTATTTTTTCTAACCTGTCATAAACTAGAAAATAACACAAATCTATAAAAATTATCACAAAACGAATATTAATAAAAAAACAAACAGGTTTATATACCCAAATTAATAAAAATACACAGTTTTCAAATATACAGTCGATTGGACATCATACATTTGGTAGTAGGAGATGAATCTGGAGAAAAAAGGATTAATAAATACAAATATCGTGAAACCTCTAATAGAAGGTTCCCCTAACATTTCACTTTGAGCTCATTTTTCTTGGCTCCTATGAAAAATAACAAATGTCACCTGAAAAAATGTTTGTGATATTATGATGAACCATTTATCAGTTAACATATTTTCTGAGGGTTGGCTGCGGGGCGAAAAGGGGCGATCCCCGCCCCGAGAGAGCGGGGCCGGGATCGCCGCCGCCCCGCAGGGCAAATCTTTTATGCGTAACTGCGCGTAACTGGATTAGCCAATTTTCTTCAAAATTTCAGGGTAGCCTAGTTAGGCACTTTTAATCGTAATAAAAATTTAAAAATCAGGTTACTTTTTCTTTAAACGTGCTTTTGGTTTTCAATAGGCGGGGCGGGGATCACCCCCGCACCGCTTTCGGGGGTTTTTGCGCAAAGCGGGGCGCCCCGTTGCCAACCCTATATTTTCTATATCTGTAACCGGAACCGAAATCAATTGGCTCAAAGTTATTCGTTAGATTGCCCTTACATTAAAGGTTTTACGGTACCTGAATCACCCTTTCAAACAATGATAATCGAAGAGTAGGAGGGTGGTGGTGCATTGTGTGCTCTGGAACATTCCATACATGACCGAGTCTCCATTTGCTCTTCCATCGTATCCCATTCCTGATGTATCACAAGTCCAGAATCCATAGCACTCATCACATCCCGCCCTCGTTTTTCACAATAAGAAACTTTCCATTTATGGGTTGGAATTGAACAAGAAAGGAGATTTTCAGTTTCGGGAGCATCCCGAAGTGATCGTTGTTTCAAATATCTTCTAGATCTAACTGGTCTTCCATACCTTCTAGATTCCAGAATCTCTCTGATAAACGCCTTTCGGAATCTGATTCCCCACTCGTATTCCATTCGAATATAAATACAAAATCCAGCGATATAACCCACTCCGTTTTCATATAATCTTGTGACTTGAATTGCATTATCTCCATACATTTGATAAGTGAAACCACTCCCAGAAGACATTGTTCCATTCTTCAGAACAAATTCATGGCATTTGACCCCGTTTTCAAATCCAGGCATTTTAATTGAAATAATCCTGGCATCTTGCAAAAACTCGCCATAATCTCTGAGTCTTGTCTCGTAAACCATCTCCAGGATCTCTCGGAGTGTATTCATTGATCGATTTTTGTACCCACAATAGAATTTTTCTCCATGGTCCCCATTATAAACCGTAAGTTCGTCTTCTTCAAATGGAATTGTTGGAGTAATGGATTGCTCCGATGCCTTTGTGGATTGGACCCATTCATAGATCCAGATGATACCCAGGAACATCACAAGGATTGACTGGAAAAATGAATTTGCTAGAGTACTCTAATTTAAAACTTACCAAAACATAAATAACACGCATCATGAACCCAAGTGATGTTGCTTCCCAAATTGTTATTTCTTCCATGTTTAGCTCGTTTATGGTGTCATTGATAATCTTTAATGTCGAGTTTACCACTGTGGAATTCATCTGGAAAAACTAAGAATGTTAATTGAGAGATTATGAAAAGAAAAATAGAAATTACAAAGAGAAAAGTTCATTGAGCAAAGGAGCGCTGAAATAAGAACGAAACAAGAAGGAACGTCATGTTTCAGGTCAATTTCTCGGTTACTGTTCAAGATATCAAAAAGTTGTCAATTGACAAAAAAAAATGTTTATATTACGATAAACATTTTGTTATTTGAGAGATTTTCTATTAGACAGGAACCAAGATAAATTGGCTCAAAGTAAGGGGCCCTTCTATTACAGGTTTTACGGTAAAAGATAATGATCAGCTCAAAGGAATATCAATCAAAACTACAGTGACCATATGCTAATGAAAACTAAAGTAAACCAATTTTGTGAGAAATCACTACTATCTAGTCTACAAAAATCAAAAAGCTTCTTGCCGCTTTTTCTTTAATTACAGGTTCCGAAATTCAATGCCATCGTAAAAGTTGTCTTTCTAGTCCAGTCCAACACACTATTTAAATATAGGAGGTGATGACCTAGCGATACATTTAGATAATTAGAATAGGAAACACGAGAAAAGGAGGAGTGATAAAATGACGTCACATCCGTCGATTTCTGCCGGAAGGTGTAGAGGAGAGGCAGACTAAAAATAGAATCTTTGCAAAACAAAGATTGAGAAAGTTTTCATAGTTTCATGGGAACCAGGAATCACAAGACATTTTTTCAAAGTAGTTTTTAGTTTTAGGAGAACTGGATTCTTCCAAAAGTTGAAATTTTACATGAAAAAAATAATTCGCCTGAAAATATACCGTAGTCAACTTTGAGTTCAATTATCTCGGTTCCTATGAAAGATATAAAAAAGTGGTCAACTGATGAGATGTTGGTGATATTATGATAAGCATTTTGACTGTTAACAAATTTTTGATATCTTGCATAGGTATTGAGATAATTGAGCTCAAACTTGAGAGTGTAGGAGCTCTCCTATGAATTTTCGAAGTTGTTCAGTCCGTTTTTAATTTGTTGAAAACATACATTAACTAAATGTCAGAAAGAGCGTACATAAGCTCCTGAATTTTCTAGAAAAAAAAGAAGTCAGAAGTACGATCAGTACAAAGCAAAATAGAGAAATTGACAAATACTGGAGCCGGAAAGCGTGCTCGTATTTCCACAGCGTTCGCAGCGTTGCTAAGCAGGAATTTGGTTGCTGGGACCAAAAAAGGAAGTTAGACAAAGACAGAAAAATAAGTTTTCGAATTTAAAAGAAAAAAACAAAGGCGAAAACGTTAAGGAATCTGCTCATTAGGCTGTGGGACGATTTAGTGAGAAGCAGGGATGTGATTTTACGCTTATGAATTTTAGGAATTTTACGGACTTTAGAATTTTTTGGTACTCGTAAAATTTTACGAGTGTCGTAAAATTTAATCCGTAAAATTCGTAAAAACTGGAAGAGTGTTTTTTTCAGAATTGGCAGTTTTTAGATCCATTATCAACTTTTTGATTTAATTTTGAGTAGATCGTATTCAAATCGTTTAATTTCGAGTCTGAAATCTTCTTTGTTTTCAAAAAATATTTTCCAATTTTTGAATGTCTTTTCCTCAGTTTAGAATTTTTAGAAAAAAAATTCCAGAAAATTGTTAACACCTACAAAAACATTAAATTCTACGGTTTTAAATAATTGCACACCATTTCTCAATTGCTTAATGATAAAAATGCAGTTTTTCTTAAATTTGAATAGAAGATTCAGTTTTTTACGGATTTTACGGATTTTACGAGTTTGTAAAATTTTACGTTTTACGAAATTCGTAAAATAAAAATTTTACGCGCATCCCTGGTGAGAAGGCATTATCATAACATTGATTGAAAGTTTCCAGAAACATTGAGAAGGCTCAAGAATGTTCTGAAACTTCTGAGACCACTTTTTAATGTCCCTCCGTTTTCCCAAGTGATCCCTCCGTTTTCCCAAGTGATTAGATTTAAAGTGTAGAATTCTCATTCAACTTGTCAAGAACTTCAAAATGATTCATTCACTCATTTGTCACGGACAGAAAATTTCAAGTCAATTTCAATGATATACTATCGAAGGAGAGGCGCGTATTGTCCGGAGTCCCGCAGGGCTCTGTTCTTGGGCCTACCCTCTTCTTGTTATATATTAATTGTATTGGTGACAAATTTCAAAGTGACTATCTACTGTTTGCAGATGACTTGAAAATTTATGATACGAATGATAGATTGATTGATGCAGATTTAATTGAATTGGAGAATTGGTGCTCGAAGTGGAAAATGAAAGCGGCTCCTAAAAAGTGCGAATACATCAAATTCAATGCAACAAGAAAATATGCCAACTCCAATGTTATGAATCCCAAATTAAATCAAGCTTTGATTCCCCCGCTGGAAAATGTCCGTGATCTTGGGATCTACTTCTCCAGTAACCTGAGTTTCCATTATCATTATTCATTGATTATTCGGAAATCACATCAGAGGATCAACATGTTCTTTTCCATTCTAAAAAACGCATCGTAGAGTGTTTTTATAAAGTTCGGAAATTATAGATTCAGGTTAAAAAAATTCTTGCATTATAAATCTCTGGACTCCTATAGGAATGCTCTTCCCATCCTATTTTTGTCTTGGTCACTTTTTCCGAGAAACACAATTTCCCAATGAACTGACGTCAGAGGCTTCTATGCTCCATTCTCTCTGTTTTCTTGTTTCCTCTAACTCTCTCCGTCTTGGTTTACGTCCCCTCTCTCTCCCGCTTCTTTTTTTTTATTTTGAAGGTTCACACAATGAGACGCGAACCTAATCCGGTGCTGGCAGTCATTGGTCTTGTACTTGGACTCCTCTCTGGCCTGATTGTAAGTGTTTGAACCTAATCGATATTCTTATTGTGTTTTATTTTTAGATTCGGTACCTCAGCGTCTACTTTAAATCCAAAAAAGTTGGTCCCATAAGTCGATTTCCTTTTCAACCATTCAACGAAATATACATGAAGGTTCACGATTGGCCTTCAAGATATCAAAATCTAATGTCGGATGTCAAAATTTTATGTGGAGAGAGTCTCATTAAACCGAGACAGCAAAAGGAGAGCTATCATCATGCGATTGAGAAAGTCAACCAGATTTTAACATGGATTTTCAATTTGGATCGAAGAGGTTTGGAACCTCGTTACCCAAAAACTTGGATTCAATGTGTTCCACAAGATGCCAGGATTGTGTCTATTAAAATGGATTGCTTTGAGCATGGAAGACTATCACATGAATTTTCTCCGATAAATGGGACTTCTAGAGGAAGTTATTTCACTTATCAAATGTATGGAGACAATCGAATGCAAGTGACAAGCTATGTGAAAGATGGAGTCAGTTATTTGGCGGGAGTTTGTATTTATATTGATTGCCCATGGACTCCGGCAGAATATTATAGGATGGATGTGGTTGAAAAATTGTTTGGGGAACAGAGAATGCGAAGAAGAATGGAATCTCAATGGAACCTTCGGGAAAATCCATTTGAACCAACCATCCAACAAGAAGCTTCAGTTGAAAGCGAAACGGTTCCCGTCCCTGAGGAATGCCTCACAGAGGAGGATCAGGATTGGACAGTCAAGTACTGCACTCGTCTTCAAAGGAAAGTGATGACATGTGTGAAATATGGATCCGTGATTCATCAGGAATGGAATACATCTGAAAAGAAAATGAAAAAAGAGAAATGTGGGACTTGTACAGGGAAGTTGGATGAATCGCCGCCTCCTTACTCATCGATTTTTATAGAAGGTTGTTTGGTCGTTGATTACAAATTGATTATTTGATCATTTTCAGAATCTTCGTAAATGCAAAATCTGGTGCTCACAAACTTCTTCAAGTTTGCCGAGTTTTTTTTCAGCCATTTGTTTGTCAATCAATAAAGCTTTCAATTCACCAAAATTTCTGTTTCAGAAGTTTCGTCTACAGTACCAAAAAATGGTTCCGAGGTACTGAACACCCATTGAATACTTTCAGAATTTTCAAAATGTTCCAAAAAAGTTATTTTTTGTTAGTATGACCAGGTCTGAGGAGCTCCAAGAGCTCATATGCTCTATCTGGATCCAATGGCGGACACGGAAATATGTTATTAAATTCAAGAAAATCAGCTACATGCCAATTATTCCTTCACCAGGCATTCTTTTTTGGCTCTTCGGGACACCAGGACTTACTCCCCACTCTCCTTCTCTGCTCTCTCATCAACACATTCTAATTTCTCTTCGATGTCTGCGTTTGCATTCCCTAGAAGCTCACTTCTCCTTCGTGTTCTGGCTTTTCACTTTTTATTCTCTTTTTTTCCTTTTTTAGTCGTATCGATTCGTTTTCTGGAACTCTTTGTATTTGGAAGAAGCTTCAAAATGAGTATAAACATGACCTACTTTTCTTTAAACTGATTTTTCTTATAGTTCATGCGCCTTTAAACGGAAAATTTTGAATTTGAAGAAGTGTATTCTTGTTTATACTCATTTATTTATTCATTTATTTCAACGAAGGGGAGAAAACCACTAACACGTGAAATGTCTATGAAACTAGGAGATATAACAGGGACATACATTTGTATTAAAGTATGAAGTGTATGCCATCTTGAATTTTTTGAAAATTCTGAAAACAAATGACTTTTGCACCGATTCCAATTTTATAATATGATCCTTTAGGATTGGAGAAGTGATTATCGTTCCATATTCAAGTAAAGGGCGTATGTAAATTGTATAGCATTTTATAAAAACACTCCACGATGCGTTTTTTAGAATGGAAAAGAACATGTTGATCCTCTGATGTGATTTCCGAATAATCAACGAATAATGATAATGGAAAATACAATAATGGAGAATATCTTAATGACTGATGATCTCTTGTTTTGGTTTTACAATAAAAGGAAGTTGCATCAAAAACGCGCATTACTTTTGCAAACCCCTGATAGTGAAGCGGGAAAGATATATAGATGTAAGCCGAGGCGGAGAGAGCTAACTAGTAAGGGAAGCAAGAAAGAGGGAAATGAATCAAAGAAGCCTCTGACGTCGTGAAGTGTTGCGAAACTTTGTTTCTGAATCAAAAAGGTAACCAAGATAAAAATAGAAAAAGTAAAATATTTATTAAAGGTGGGGGGACAGGAGAATTTTCGTAGTTTTTTTGTAGCTAGAGTATGCATTCTACCGTCACGGTGTACAACGCTTAATGTCACTCTGCGTACACCTGTCGTCCTCGCCTTTATGTATGCAATTGGGCTACCGCTTCATCTTTGCCCGCGTGGCTCAGTCGGTAACGGCGCCGCACCCTCAATCATCGCCTTCACAAGTTCAACTCCTCGAGGGGCATCTTTGAACGGAATTTCGAGAACATTATTTTTTTCATGTCCCCCCACCTTTAATAGGTCTGTAAAAACCTGTAAAAATTAAAACTTCAGAGATTACATTTTTAAAATTTTTATAAGACTTAAACATATTTTGAAAGATTTGCAAAATCGAAAATACTTTTTTAAAAGTTGAAAAAATATATACACGATGTTTTTCAAGTAAGGTAGATCGATGAAAGTCGGTTCCTGAGACAGTGTAGGCAAGTTGAGAGGGGCGGTGAGATCTGAAAAAAGATCTATTAGAATTTTCAGAAAAATTACTGTCAACTTTGAGCTCAACTATCTCGGTTCCTGTGAGAGATAAAAAATGTGTCAACTAACAAAACACTTCTGATATTATGATAAACAATTTATCAGTTTTTTTGATATCTTTGACAGGAACTGAGAAAAATTGGCTCAAGTTTGAAAGTTAGGTAGTTCTCTATTACAGCGTAAAATCTTTTTAACAGAATCCGTAAAACGTAAAGCTTACAGATTTAAAATTTGGTAAAATCCGTAAAACCGTAAAATCTAATTAAAAAATATTGTTTTGGCAAGCAAAGTCTATTTTTTCAAGTTAAGCGCTTTTTCAAGAAAGTAGCTTTGCGAAATTTCGACTCAGCGACTCAAAAATCATGTATTGTCACACTTTTATTACAAAAACTCGCAAAATTTCACTTTTGCGTTTAATCCCAGTCCCGGGGAGCGTGAATTTTGGAAATTAAGACACATTCTCTGATAGAACCAAAAATAGTGCTGTACAGGAAAATTCAAAATTGTTTTTTCTGGCTGATTTTTTATCTATTGCATGTTTATAAACTTCTAAGGTATATAGGATATAGTTTGTCCCGACTTGTCCCACACCTGCAAAAATATGGTCGTGGGGTGTCTAAAAAAATGTTTTTTTCAAAAATTAAATAATGATTAGGTTTTATTGTAGAACGTTTTTAGTACTATTTTAAACATTTTTTGTATTGGCACTATGTTTATATTCTCCCATCTTCCCTGGAAAAATTTCTATTTTTTGCAATAAAGCTATTTTTTGGACCAAAAAATGACCGTCCTGAAAAAAATTTAAAATTATTTTATAAAATTAAACATAATATTTAGATTCTACATCAAAAAATACATTAGAAAGTGTTTTGAGTTAAAAGATAAAGCTGAGCCCCTTACGAGTTTTAGGCCAAAAGGTGCCTAACATTGAGGTTTCACCATGTGGGGGAGTACATGGCAACAAAAATTCGACCAAAATCGACCCTCTCCGATTTCGTTCAAATTTTCACCAGATGTAGTATTTTTAATGGGTAGTATTTTGACAAAGTTTCAAAATTCGTGCTCATCGTCTTCGAGCATTCTCAGAAGCGCCAAAAAAGCCACAAAAATTGCTTCCAAGTCCATTTTCAATGAAAAAATACGAGCTCCAGAAATACACGAAGACGATGAGCACAAATTTTGAAACTTTGCCAGAATACTACCCATCAAAAATACTACATCTGGTGAAAATTTGAACGAAATCGGAGAGGGTCGATACTCCACATTTGTTTTCGCACTTTTTGGACTGAAACTCATCTTGTGTTCAAAATATGCAAACTCAAACAATTATTTTCTAGACAAATTATATCTCATATACCTTAGAAGTCCATAAACATGTAATATATGAAAAATCAGCCAAAAAAAAAGTTTGAACTTTTCTGTACAGTGAATAGTAGGCCTGAAGTTGAGTTCTACAGAGAACGCGTCTTAATAAAAATGTATTAACCTAGAAATCACTCACCCCGTTTCCAATTTATGATCTCGGAGAGATTGAAGAATATGCAGGTGGTTCCTCATTTAACAAAACATCGGTACACAACTGACACTCCACATTCTTCATTTTCTGCGTTTTTTGATCCCATTCCTCATGGATCACTACATTATCATCAATCTTCGACATGATATTCCTCCGAAGTTTTGGGCACCATTTGATTAAAATATCGTTTGAAGGACCACCTTCTTCTGGTAGACTGACATCAGAGGGAGTGGGCGAAGAATTCCTTTTGTTGAAGACGTACGTGGTTTCTTGATCCGGGATCCCAACACGAATACCGTGAACTGGTACCGCCTTCTTCTGAACGTTCACTCGATTCTCATCTCTGACAATCACTCTAGCAGTATTCCTGGTTCTTACTCGAATAGGAAGAGACTTTTTATTTTCAAACAAATCTTTGATAACCTTCAATCGGAAGTAGTTTCCAGAAGTCCATGGGCAATCAACATAAACACAGAAACCAGCGACATAACTAATTCCATCTTCGATATAACTTGTCACCTGGATCCGGTTGTCTCCAAACATTTGCCACGTGTAATAACTTCCATCTACCGTACCATCGTTGGGTTCAAACTCATGACACATCTCTCCATGTTTGAATCCTTCCATTTTAATAGAAATCAATCTCGCATCATTCGGAACCAAATCCTCTATCTTATCCTCATCAGGGTGTCGATGATCTTCCAGATGCTTCCGATTCCATTTCACAATCCATCTCATCATCTCATTCATTTTATCAATTGCCTGTTTTTTGCCATTCCAGCATTCCTGGCGTTTCGTATAGTTTTGGCAAACTTGGATTTTTGCCTGAGGGACCAGCGTCTTCAGTTTGTCAGAAGCTTCTAGAACACGGAATCCGTCTTGAGGGAATGGAAGAAGAGGATATCGGCGGATCAAGCCAATAAGTTTTGATTTTTGGCTAATTAGGAAGTGCCGGATAGCGTTGTAGATCTTGAAAAATCGGGAAACTTCAGAAGTTAGTTACCGTAAAACCTGTAATAGAAGGACCCCTCACTTTTAACTTTATGCTCATTCATCTCGGTTCCTGTCACAGATGCAAAAAGTTATCAACTCATAAATTATTTATCATAATATCAGAAGTTTTTTATCAGTTAACAAATGTTTCATATCTTTGGCAGGAACCGAGATAAATTGGCTCGAAGTTAAAAGTCGAGGGAGCCTTCTATTACAGGTTTTACGTTGTTTTAAAAGGAATTTGAATGCATTCTTTTTTCTAAATTTTCAGCATATTGGAATATTTTTCACCCATTTTTAAATATCGTTAAATAAATAAAAAACTCACCAAAAACGCAATTAAAATGAAGCAAACCAGAAATCCCAAAGCTTTCATCTGAAACTAACAATATCGATTTCAAAGTTTATGAAATTTCAAATGACATCATAAGCTCAATGAGAGAAGACACAGACATCAAAACGAAATTATTGGGACGAAAGGAAAAGTATTCTCCGCGCGGAATACGCAAAGAAAGTTGACAAGAGAGAAGGGTAACACAAGACGCAGAGAAGCATACTACGTCAGAAGCGGACTCTCTGGAGTGTGTGATGGGGAGAGAAGAAGAAGAAGAAGAACGTGGTGGTCAGCAGGGACCCCTCTAGCTATCTGATGATGGACAGAAGAGAAGAGTTGCAGAGGGAAGTCTTGGGTGTTGAACAAGTCTGGGGCATAGGGAAAATGGTTCAGGCTCTTTTACCTGAAAATTTTTTTAAAAAGAGATGTTCACTGGAGCTCTATTTTTGATAACCTTCCAGATAAATACAAAAGTTCTGAACTTGGTTCTCATGGACCAAAACTTGGTAATGTTCGATGGAGATTTGTTAAAATGTGTTGTTTTTGGTCAGTACTAAAAACTTCAATTGGAAATGTCTGGTAACAAAATACAGTTTTATTCAGTTCACTTCAATTATAAAATTGACATGATTAATATTGAACAACTAAAATAATTTATTCAAAAACAGAATATCCGTGCGTTTTCAGAATACCGTAAAACCTGTAATAGAAGGGCTCCACACTGTCAAGTTTGAGCCAATTTGTCTCAGTTCCTGTCAAATATATGGAAAAGTTGTCCACTGATAAATTGTTTATCGTAGTATCAAATACATTGTACCAGTTGACACATTTCTGATATATTGCATAGGAATTAAGATAATTGAGCTCAAACTTGACAATCAGAGCCCTCCTATTACAGGTTTGACAGATACTTCCAACTGCTTGATTGTTCTATAGAAGAAGTTGCCTGAAACTCCGAATTTTTACCGATCACCCAGAATTCTGTGTACCTTTAAACTTCTGACTTCTTGGGACCACTTGGAATCATACAAACTTTTCCAGATCGTCGTTTCTTCTCCCGAATGAAGTCCATTCTTACATGAATACAAAAAGCGATCTGCAATCCGAAACTCCGTCTCTGGAATCCAAAAAAAACTTCGAAAATAAAATATCTTACAATAATCGCCACAAAAAGGATTCCAATAAAAATTCCAAGAGTGAAGCGACCAGTTAGATAGGTTCGAGTCGAGTTCATGTTGTAAGCAGGTGTGGAGTTCATCTGAAATAAAAAGCTCAGAAAAGGCTGATCATAAATTTCAAGATAATTCAGTAAGAAAGGAAATTTTCATTGTAAACAGACCCTAGAAATTCCGGCTCTTTATGACAAGGGGGGCCCATGAGAAAAAGGGGGCCCATGAGAAAAAGGGGGGGGGGCATAGGTAAAAATGTGGACTAAGTTAAGATTTGCCAATTTTTTTCTACTGTTGTGACCGTTTCCATTAATATTTCGAACTTTGAACACTTTTCGTAATTTTTTGAAAATTTCAGTTTATGTCGTTTTTTGCATATTTTTTGTCTATTTTTTTGTTACTAAGCCTGAAAAAATCTGAAACTAGCTGAATAACTTCAAATTACACAGTTACAATGAAAAAAATAGTGTTGTTCATACAAAAAACCGGCCTGAACTGAAATTTTTTGAAGTGACAAATTTTTGTGGAAACAAGCGCAAAGTACGAAATTTTTATAGAAACATTTGAAAAACTAGAAAAAAATTGGTAAATCTTAACTTTGTTCACGTTTTTACCTAAGGGCCCCCCTTTTGACTTGCCCCCCCCCCCTATTCTCATGGGCCCCCTTGTCATAAAGAGCCGAAATTCCGTTATTTACCGTAAATGCTCTAATAAAATGACTTTCCTATCTTTCAACTTCGAGCCAATTTATCTCGATACTTGCAAGAAATATCAAACAGTGGTCAACTAATAAAATGCTAGTAATTTTATAATAAACATTTTATCAGTTGACCACTTTTTGATTTCTCTCATGGGAGTCGAGATAATTAAGCTCAAAGTGCACCTATAGGGTTGGCTTCACTAGAGCATTTACGGTAATTTTGGAACGAAAACAGCGGTGCAAAAACTGTGTGCTCAACAGGTCTACACAGGTGAAAATCGATGCTATGGACCGTCTGCTGTCTCTATTACTCTCCCCTTCATTTTACGTGGTCCTCTGTTTGTGTTATTTGAAGGTCACAACACCTAGACAGGGAAGGAATGACTCTATTCTTTCTTGTGCACAAGGAAACCGTAGCTGACAGATTGGGAATCACAAAAATGCATTTAAAGAATTTATTAGGTGAATTTTCAAAATGACATGTGCAATAATTGTTTAACGAATGCAGAAACAGTTCTTTGAATATCGAAACAGAGAAAAAAAACAATAGAAAAGTTCAGTTTAAACCAGAGGAACGGCACTGAACCCTGTCTCCATGGTTTTTCCCTTGTTTCCAGGATACTTTCTCGAATTCTTCAGCTTTTCCACAACTTCTCCTCGGAAATTCACCGATCTCAACTTGGCACTCTCGATGTAGATACAGTAGCCAGCAACATAACTGACTCCGTTCTCCACATAATTCGTAACTTGAATCCGATTGTCTCCAAACATCTGCCACGTGTAGTAGCTTCCACTAGACACTCCGACGGTAGGCACAAACTCATGGCAAAGCTCTCCGTGCTCAAATCCATTTATTCGCACCGATATGATTCTTGCATTCTCTGGAATCGCTCTTTCGGTTGCGTCCACCAGAGAATTCAACTTTTCAGTGCATCGATTCACATCCGAAGTCCATCGGCAGTAAATTCTCATCGAGTTGGTGAAGTAGGAAAAGTTTCCGTGGTCTTCTGGAATCCAAGGAGTCGTGGTAACTTCTCCGACTCGTCTGGAGCACCACCAATTGTACATGTAGTCGAGCAGGAAACGGATTGCGATGATGACCTGGAATTTTTAAGAAGTGAGATTGCTCACTTGTGAGGATTGGTAAGGATGTTTTCAACTTACAATAAGAGCTCCCAGGGCAATGGTGAGTCCAGCGAGAGCTTCTAGAGAAGTTTCTGCCATTTGATCTTTGGCGAGTTTCAGAGGCATTGCCCGGCTAGAACTGTAGTCGAATTCCAGGGTTTTCGTCATCTGGAAATTTAGATGGATTATTGGGAAAATGGTAATAAAGAAGAGAGGGTGTGGTGTGCACTGTTTGGATTTTGCCATTGTGGCTGTCAAAAACGTGGAGGCAATCGATCGGGACGATGCATATTCTTCTGTTAGGGTTCTTGCGACATTCGCACTCGTTGGTCCGCAGGGGTCACCATGCACTCATTTCTAATCTCACCTTCTTTTTCTCTGTGTGGGACCAATGGGCAGGTAAAAAACAGATGCCTATCTTGTTGGGAATATGGTGGGCTGACCAAGAGTGGGCGCAGCAAAGGGGTACTGTTTTGGCGAATTTGAACTGCCAAGTTTGAGCTAACACATCTCGTTTCCTGTGAGAAATATCAAAACATGTTTAACTGATAAATTACTTATCATGATATCAGCAATAGTTTATCAGTTAACAAATTCTTGATATCTTTTCTAGGAATCGAGATAAATTGGGTCAAAGATAGTGACCCTTCTATTACATGGTTCTATTACATGGCTCAACGATTTTAGGATTGTACTGCAGAAAAGTAGGCAACTTTCAGGATAGAGATATTCATATAAGAGAAAAACATTCAAGAAAATTTATCACTGATTACCAAAACACTCAACACAGTCCTCCATCTCCATCCGATTGCTCGGGTGACTCCATTCTTGATGAATCGCCACGTGGAATCCTTGGGCCGTCATAACAGGTCGCTGAAGTCTAGGGCAGATTCTACGAATAGCATGCCAGAAAGAATAAAAAGGATACTCTTGAGCCACCATGAATCTTCATTAGGAGACTCTGCCGGAAGTTTCACAAGTCTGAGATCGTTGATATGACACATCTGAATTCTTTGAGGATATATTGAGAATTCGAAAGCAGGGGAAAATTGGTGAACGAAAAATCGATACTGGGAACACTGCTCATTAGCTTTTGTGTGTGTATCTCAAGCAGGGTTGAGGCAGCGAGGAGGAGGCTAACGTAGGATTAAAGGTACATGTGCCCCCTACAATGGAGATCATAGGATGATTAGATCTATTTTGGAATCTGAGCAGTTTGAAGTTTCTGTTAATTGGGCTTTTGTGACTGTTAATACTTCATTAAACTCAGATAAAACATGGTACAATTCTGGTTCGGGGCTCTTTTCTAGAAGATATGGATAAAACTTAAGGATTCAAATACATGTATTAAGAACCACAAGAGATTCGCAAAAGAAAAAAAAAGATTACTGTAGGGGAAAAATATTCGAAAATGAAAAGGATTACTGCAGGGTTACTGTCGGATTACTGTATCAAGCAATTGCAAACAAGGATTCATTTTTATTGGTGCTTCTGGAGCATTCCTGAGATCCTCGACATGGTTGACTTGGGAGGTATACCCAAAGCGTACCCTTTTCTTCATTTTTTGGATTTTCCTCTATTTTCAGCTCCATGATCCTCTTGGCCAACTCCATCTCACTTTTTGTATTTCTGATTCCCCGAGTCCGCGCTGGATACGGGGTTCCACCCATTAGCCATCGAACATCGTCCTCCCGAAAATTGAATCCCATCACGAACTCATTTTTGACATAAATACAGAATCCAGCGAGGTAGTAAACATCATTCTCCTTATAAAATGTTCCCTGAATCCGATTATTTCCAAATGTCTTGTAGCAATATTCACTCCCAGGAGCTCTACCATTAATCGGTTCGAAATCGTGGCACTCGTTTCCATATTTGAATCCAGCCATTTTAATCGAAATCACTCGGGCATGTTTGGGAACCTCGGGGTTGTCATTTTTAAAGATAATTGCCATTAGGGAACTCAATTTTTTGGTGGATAAATTCGACATTTGGCATTTATCTTCTAGAAAATACATTCTAGCTTCTGGTACATTTTTCAGGTTCTCGTATTCCTTTAGATAATTGTGATAGTCTTGACAGAACGGTTTGGTCTTCATGGGTCCGCTTTCTTTTGAAGTGTGCCAGTCATAGAGAAGATTTGTGCCAATTGTGACAGATGCGACGAGCTGAAATATGATTAAATGGAATTAAGGTTTTTATTTCGAGCGGTCGAAAATCGAGGACCGTCGATTGACAGTCGACCGAGCTATTCTTGACGATCAAATGCATGAATTCGGTCAGCTCGGTCGGCTGTTGGTCGGCTGGGGCGGCTGTCGGTAGGTCGGCTAATTTTCCAAACCGAATGAAAGCCTTAAAGGTGGGGGGACATGAAAAAATAATGTTCTCGAAATTCCGTTCAAAGATGCCCTTCGAGGAGTTGAACTTGTGAGGGCGATGATTGAGGGTGCGGCGCCGCTACCGACTGAGCCACGCGGGCAAAGAGAAAGCGCACGCCCGATTGCATACATAAAGGCGAGGACGACAGCTGTACGCAGAATGACATTAAGCGTTGTACACCGTGACGGTAGAATGCATACTCTAGCTACAAAAAAACTACGAAAAATATCCTGTCCCCCCACCTTTAAAGAGAATTATGAAGCTTCAAAATGTTTCACTAACCAAAAGAAGGCAAATCCAAGAAGAATAGATACCAGCGCGTTCCAAAGATTATTATCCGCATAGTACATCGTTCCAACTTCCGTAGAATCGAAGGATGTCCAATCGAGATTTCCAATCATCTGAAAATTATAAAAATTAGGAATCAAAAATTCTGTTAACGTGAGCACCAATTAGGTCAACACATTAATGAGCATACGTTCTCACTGTTTCTGTTTTACGATCGTTTGGGAGGAGACGGTGGAGGTGGGAGAAACGTACAAAGGTAAAAGACGACGTTTCTTGCCCTGTGGGGAAACCGTTGGACGTTTAGAGCAGATGGTGAGAGACGGTTCACAATAAGATTATGGAATTATGGTACGGGAGGAGAAAGGGATAATAGGCAAAAAAGCGAAAAATCAATATTAAATAGTCTGAAAATTTGAGAATCTTGTTTTCCAGCAAGGCTAAGCAAACCGCGTGACTCATGCTATGGGTTGTTTGTTCTGAATCAATCAGTCCGTTATTTTGAAATACGCTCAGCGACCCAGAAATCACTATGGCCAAAAAACGCGGCCGGTCGGCCATGGAACAGCCTCGCATTCCAGCACAGGGCGAATTAGATTCAGAAGACAGTAAATTTTAAGTTCATGTTGATTATAGAATTCGATTGGTCTTATAAAACTGATAGTATTCAAGATAAGGAACCGCCATAACGACTGATAGGGAAAATTTGAGATTATCATTAAATATGCGGAATGAAATAGTCTTTAGTAATTAAGAGTTCCTTTGTAGGGAAAAAATATAACTTGGAAAATAAATCATACAACTTTATTTAATTGGTCATGTTAAATTAAAACATTCAAATATATACAGAACATCTGAAAATCTACCGTAAACAATCTAATAGAATGTCACCCAAACCGTCAAATTTGAACATTTATATCTCATTTTCCTTATAAGATATGAAAAAGTTGTCAACTGATAAAACATTGATCATAATATCAAAAACATTTTACTAGTTTTCTACTTTTTGATAACTTTAACAGGAACCGAGATAACGAGGTTCAAAGGAAAACGTTAATTTTTTATTGAAAGTCTATGGTATTTCACAAATAAAAAAGAAATTATAATTTTTTTTTTGAAAACTTTATTCGATTTTATATATTTTAGCTAACAATTCAAATTTATGCAGGACACCTGAAAACACCCTAAAAAATCAAACATTAGAAATAATCAAACAATCATACGGTACAACGGTGTTTTTGTTATTTTCAGCAAATCCAGAATCCAGCGCTCTCTCCTTATTCCCCGCTCTCCTCCTCCTCTCACTCCTCGTCCAATACCTTCTTGACTTCAGGATCTTCTTAATCAAATCCACTCGAAAATTGACACCCCACAATGATTGTTTCTCAATGTAAATGCAAAATCCAGCAACATAACTGACACCATCTTCCACATAACTTGTCACTTGAACCCTATTTTCTCCAAACATTTGATAAGTGAAAAAGCTTCCCGGTGATGGTCCTTTGAAGGGAATCGAACCATGTCTACCTTGAAAATATCCGAGAATTGGTATGAATTCATATGGACCTTCTCCATGCTCGAATCCTTTCATTTTTATTGATATCAATTGAGTGTTCTTTGGAATTGGATAGTTATTGAGAGTTCTCAAGTTGTATATAATTTTTATCAAATGGATAATCTTGCGGTTGCACAAATTGTATCCTTTTGGAGTTCCACAATAAATTCTCGCCTCCGGAATTGTTCCATTTGATGTTATGTTATATTCACACAAATTTTTTGGAATCCAAGGCGTTCTTGTAACTTTTCCAACTCGTTTGGACGTCCACCATTGAGATATATAGTTTGCAAGCCCACTGATTATCTGAAAATTGAGAAAAAAATTCTGAAAATCTGAAAATCAATTAAAACTTACAAAAGCTCCAATCAAATAAACTGTAAGAGTTCCAAAGAACACTCCTAATGCTTTGAAACTTGGTGGTCTTCGGTTTGTATGAATAATTGAATAGTTAAGAAAATGGAGCTCTAATGGATCATTCATTCGAAAGTAAAGAAGTTTTGGGAGTTTTTCGAAAAATTGAGCTACCTGGAAAAAATGGCATGCTGAGACAATTTTTCTTTCACCTTGGGAGTTCCGGTATTTTATTTTGCGAGCAGTTTGTCATTTCGAATCTTGTCATTTTTTGATTGAAGGTGAAAGATAAAAAGAGCTTTTTTTTGAAAAGTTTGGAGCCATCGAGTATTCGAATACTGGTGCTCTGGAAGGTGCAGGGCTCCACCGGCAAAAATTTCATTAATTTAATTTATTTAAAGTTGAAAAGCGTTAACTTTGGATATCTAAAAAATAAAGCGCTTTTCATGTATAATTTGGCGTGCTGGAAGAAATACCGAAAAATTCAGACAAAAGAAGCCAACTCTAAATATTCGTAGTCTCACAAAAAACAAGAAAATCATAAAAATTTATTAAACAAAGACCATCACAATAATCAAAACCAGCACAAAATCTGGAAGTTCTCGTTTTCCAGTATCCGTGAAGAAATCCCTACTAACCACAATATCATCATCCACATCTTCATAATCCTTCTCCGATTCCTTTTTTCGTGCCAAATACTCCTCATATTCCTCATCAACATCCTTTTCTAGTCTTCGATTTGGAGTTTCCTGTGGTTCGGAATCTTCTGGAGTTTTAGGGGGGATATTGGTTTGCGGTGTTTTGAGATGAGGGATGGCTGATATCGTGATGTTTCGGTTTTCAGATGACGTGGAGGGAGTTGATGGGAGTTGAGAAGTAGTAGTGGTCGGCGGATGATTCATGGGAGTCGTGGTAGTCGTAGTGGTAGTCGTGGTAGTCGTAGTGATTGTTTTCGGAGCTTCACAAATTCCAGCCAGTGAACAAATCGTATCTTTAAAGTCTACGATTTTGAAAAAGTGCCCATCGAATCGGACGCTTTTTTGATTATTTGCTGACCCAATTCCCAAAAGCATATTTTTTCCGTCTTTTTCTTTGACCAAAGCACTTGCGAAATCGTCTTTTGATATGTACCCTTCTGTGAACATCGAATGGGGCGCCTGTCCGTAGCCGACAAACTTCAACTTTCTGTGATACAATTCATAAGTGCCTTTATTCCAAGCAAGTCCATATGAATCCAATAACTCGTCTTTATGAACACTTGTGACCTCTGTAAAAGGCAAATATATTATACTTGGATTCATACAAAAACCAACCACTTGCGAGACAAAAGTAATCGTTGAACGTTCCATTCGTTTCAGCAAGCATTAAATTCCTGGAGATGTCAGTATACTTGAAGTCTTTGTTTGTAGGGTCACAAACATCAAATATTGTAGCTCGAGTCAGGGGGAGATAATCAATGGACTTGAGTACTTCAGATGGAACGTCAAGATCAGCTGAACCGGAGGAACACTGCGCAGATTGTTGAGTCGATCTCCATTTCCTTCCACCGGAAATAAATACCTGAGAAGATGTTAAAATGTGACGAGATGAGATTGCAGTAGCTGTCGCTAAAGCTAGTTGTGTGGAATTTCCTGTGAACGTTACGACGTTGTTCAATACATATGGTTCTTTTGTGATTATGACTCCATTTGCATCCTGGGAGTGTTGAGCTGAAAGAAAATCCACATTCAAAAAACTCTGGCATCAAGAAAATAACTCACGAAGATTGAAATTTCCACAAGATTCCAATCGATCTTGATTCTCAGCAATACTCAAATTTCTAAATGGCTCAGAACTTCCAATACAGATCGAGAAAATTCCAATCAAAATAATCTGATGAACTTTTGTATTTCTATTCCAGAACATTTCCAGGAATTGATTTCAAAAACTGGTGGTGTTGGATTTGGAATAAATAGTGATTGTGGCGAGAGGGAACTAACACGAAACGTGGAAACCAGTTGGACGTCATATAATATTTTTGGTGTCCTGGGAGCTGAGGGGCGCCAGGTATTCTTGGAAACTTTATACCATATTTTACGTCAATGTTACGTCAATCTTTCTTTATGAACACTAAGACTATTTTTAAGGGTTAATCTGACGATTTGTTATTTTTAAAGATCTGACGATATGTTATTTTTAAAGATTTCACGGAAATTCGATAATTAATTTCAGGTTAGCCCTTAAAAATATTTTTAGTTGGGGAAACAATGAGAAGAGCAACTCTTTTAAAGTATTCTTGTATTCTTGAAAATACATAATTTCAAATTCCTATCCTCACAAAAACAGAAAAAAATTCCAAAAAAAAAATTATTAAACAAAACCTATCACAACAATTAAAATCAATACAAAAACTGAAAGTTATCTTATTCCTCCACCCGAGAAGAAATCCCTACTAACCACAATATCATCATCCACATCTACATAATCTTTTTCAGATTCTTTCTTCTTTGCCAAATACTCCTCATATTCCTCATCAACATTCATTTCTAGTCTTCGATTCGGAACTTTTCCTGTGGTTCGGAACCTTCTGGAGTTTTAGGGGGGATATTGGTTTGCGGTGTTTTGAGATGAGGGATGGCTGATATCGTGATGTTTCGGTTTTCAGATGACGTGGAGGGAGTTGATGGGGGTTGAGAAGTAGTAGTGGTCGGCGGATGATTCATGGGAGTCGTGATAACTTGATTTGTAGAAGTTGGAGTCGTGGGGGTCGGAGTCGTGGTAGTTGTGGTAGTCGTAAATGTTGTTTTCGGAGCTTCACAAATTCCAGTCAGTGAACAAATCCTATTTTGAATGTTTGCAATGCTGTAGAATGCTGCCTCTCCTTCGCCGCTCGTTTCACCTTCTGCCCCCAACCCAATTCCCAATAGCATGCTCTTTTCGTCTTTTTCTTTGACCACAATATTTGCAAACTCGTCCTTTGCTTTGTATCCTTCTGTGTGAATCAGGCTGTTTCCATAGTCGAGGAATATCAATTTTCTATGAAACAATTCACATGTAGAGTTATTCCATGCACGCCCGTAGGAATCTAATAACTCGGTTCCATCAATGTTTGTGTAATCTGTAAAAACAATATGAGTGACATTTGGATTCATTTAAAAACGAACCATTCGCCAGACAAAAGTAATTCTCGAATATTTCACTTGTTTCAGCAAGCATTAATTTTCTGAAGACGCCATAATTGACAAGTTGATTGTCTGTCACATTACAGACATTGAAAGTTTCAGCTTGATTCATGTGGAGAGCGGAGATTTCTTTGAGTACTTTCGGTGGAACATCCAGATCAACTAAACCGCGGGAACACTGTGCTGGTTGCTGAATGTACCTCCAATTTTTTTGTTCATCAAGAACCACGTAGGAAGACGTCAGAACGTGATGGGGTGAGATTACAGTAGCTGTTGCATAAAAGTTTCTCTCGAGCTACCTGTGTACGTCACGATATCGATCAATTCAATTGGTTCTTATGTGATTATGACCCCATTTGCATCCTTGGAGTATCGAGCTAAAATAGAACCCACATTCAACCAAATCTTGCATCAAGAATACAACTTACGAAGGTCGAAATTTCCACAAGAGTTCAATCGAATTTGATTCTCAGTATCACTTTTATTATTTTAAACTGCTCAGAACTTCCAACAAGAATCGAGAAAATTCCAATCAAAATAATCTGATGAAATTTTGTATTTCTATTCCAGAACATTTACAGGAACTGATTTGAAAGTGACTGATGGTTGGATTGGAATACGAGGGGGTTCTGGCGAGAGAGAATCGAAAAGAAGTGTGGGCGCCAAATTCGAGCGCTGAAAGTACTTTTAAGAGATTATCTAAAATATGGCACTTAAAGTATCGAAATTTCACGATGTTCCGAATTACACTTTGAACTCAATTGCCCTCGGTTTTCGGTCGGGACCTTTCTTTGTCGATAGAGCCAATATAATTAGGTCAAATTAATAATCAAATTAGAGTTTTTGAATTAAATACAAAAGATTTCGAAACTATGGAAAATGCTCCCAATCGGTTTGCAGTTGCTTTTCTATTATGTTTTTCTGAACAAACTTTGTCTGAAATTGTTGAAGGATTATAATAATAAAATGGTTTGAACTTTTCAGCTTTACAAAAACGTCAAAAAAAAACTGAAAGAAATGGTCCACAGAATTTTTTTTGAAACCTGAAAATCATGAAGAACTAATTTCAGCTCACAGATTATGAAAAAATTATGATTATGAAAAAAAGTAAAATGTTTAACAAAAATACTTCCATTGAAGATCCTATGGGGTTGATTTGAAAAGTCTTCTCAGAATTTTTTTTGAAAAAAGTTAAACTCATTTCTTTGTCAAATTTGAAATTTTGGAGTTCCGTGAAATTGAAAATTTTAGAATTTGCGATTTAAAAATACAACAGTTTGGAAAATTCCAAAATCCAAAATTCCAAAAAATTGGAGATATACAAACTTTCGAAGTCCAAAACTCCAAAAATTGAGATAAGGTTTTTTCAGATTTCAAAACTCCAAAAATTAAATTTTTTTGAAATTCTAACCAATCTCTGCAAAAACTCTAACATTCGTGCATTTTTACGTGACATTATTTAAAGGTGGGGGGACATGAAAAAAATAATGTTCTCGAAATTCCGTTCAAAGATGCCCCTCGAGGAGTTGAACTTGTGAGGGTGAGGATTGAGGGTGCGGCGCCGCTACCGACTGAGCCACGCGGGCAAAGAGAAAGCGCACGCCCAATTGCATACATAAAGGCGAGGGCGACAGCTGTACGGAGAGTGACATTAAGCGTTGTACACCGTGACGGTAGAATGCATACTCTAACTACAAAAAAACTACGAAAAACCTCCTGTCCCCCCACCTTTAAGTGTTAAGTGATTGGATTTGTTTTTCGAATCAGGTAAAAACATTTCCATAAAAATTGAATATATTACGTGAACTTTTTTGTAATTTTCAAAGGCGGACAGTACTTTTGAGAGCTAAAAAGAATTTTATCAAAAAAGCGTATAAATTACAAAAAATATTTACGGAAGTATTTTTTACAAAAATATTTTTCTGAAAATTCAAAAAAAAATAACCGCGCGAATGAAGCGCCAGAGGAGCGGCAAACACTGGTACAAGATAAATAATATTTTTATTGAGAAATAAGAGATCACTTTGGTGGCTGAATAGCACTATGAGCATCCGGAGCCACATCGAATGCCGGTATTGAATCAGCCATCGATTTGTGGAACTGAATCGCTTCGTCACGAAACCTGAAATCATTCCATTCTAAATTCTTTGTTCACTACTTCAAAACTCACTTGAGAACACACTCAGCATGTTTCCCCTTATTCTCATTAATCGTCTTCTCAATGAATACCATCATCTTCTGCCGACACTCATTTCTCCAGTTCTGTGCATTCGCCGTCGCTCGCTCCGCTTCCTCCGTTCGTTCCTTATTCTGAAGTGTCACCGCATCATCATAGGCTTCCAATGCATCCCAGTATACTGGAAATAAGTTATGGTATTAAGGGTTACTGTAGTTTGAAATTATACTTTTCCGAAGTCTGGCGTACTCCCAATAGTCTTCTCCAATGAACTTTGTCAGTGGTTTCAAGTGCTCCAATTGCTCTTTTACCCGCTTTTCTTGCTCAGCATCTAGTTGGAGCAACACTTTGGAAACCGGTTCCAGACTCTGAAGATTAGATTCTTTCTCTTCAAATGATTCAAAATTCTACCTCCATTTCCTTCAAATCCTGTTTCGATCCTAACTTCCTTCCCTTCTTATTCACACCATCATAAGTTCTCATGTACAATCCAGCGTATCGATAAGTTGGTTCAGTCTTAACAGCTTCATGTAAGTATTTCGAAGTGACTGGATTCTCGACAAGCATATAGTTCAATGCTTGATGAAGATGATCGGCTGATGCCTTGTACGTTTCCACATTCTTACACATGTTCTTCGCGTCTTTTGTCATCTCGAATTTGCGGTGTTTACGTTTCAGAATCGATGATATTATTCCATGATTTGGGTGATCCTGGAAGTAAAGGTTTTGAGAGGTGGCTATTTAAAGGAGGGAGGTCAGGTAACTTTTCGGACGCGATTATTTTTTTTCTAAAGGTTGATTTGAAATCTAGGGAGCTTTTCTAGGCGAAAGTACCAGAAAAATAGGAAACAATAGAAACAATACACGTAAAATATAAAATTTTCACGAAATCATTTTTATTCTGAAAGTTCTCAAAAATACTCAAAAAGGAAAATATCACGTAAAATTAGTTTCTGCCAAAAAATTTCGATTGATTTTTCTAGGTAACCATTTGATATGACCTAAAAATAGTCAAATTTCCCCTGGTATATTTTTAGGCCATTTAGCATTGCGTCCTAACTTTCACAAGTACCGTTTTCTAGACCACCATTTATAAGAAATAGTCTGACATTCACCTGATGCTAAAAAAATTGGTGGCCTATAAAACTATACCTGCAAAAGTTAGGCCACCAAGTTAAAATGTACTGGAAAACGTACCAGGTTAATATCTTATCATTTCTAGGCCAAAAAAGTTGGTGACCTAGAAAACTCAACTCGCAAAAGTTAGGCCACCATGTAAAATGATCTAGAAAAGACGTGATATTCACCTGTTGTTCTCTAGGCTATTTAAACACGGTGACCTAGAAAACACAACTTGCGAAAGTTCGGCCACCATGCCAAAATAGCCTAGAAAACACACCCCCACCTTCTGAAACCACAAAGTAAAAAAAAACTCACAGCTAATCCATAAAAACCTTTTTGAGGAACAGTCTTTTCATCTACACTTTTCGTACTCTCCTTGGTCGTCATGTAAAGTATAAATAATGTACTTTAAAGATTTTTCCACATATCCAATTTTTTTTATTTTTTTGAAGAATTTGAGATAACAAAGTTCACGGAACCTTTTTTGAAGGATTCTATGTGAAACCTAATAAAAAAATTTTGTTTATTTCTAGTGTCCAAAAGAGGATTTCCAATAAATCATAATGGATGAAAAAGCAAAAGTGAGAGATTCTAGAACATTCTGAAATTCGTTGAAATTCCTAATTTTTTTCAGAGATTTGTGAGCAAATCTAGACGAAACAAACCGAAGCATGGAAGTAAAGGAAAAGTTGTAAGAACTTTTTTGACCCCTTAAAATCCCAAATTTTGTGATTTCCATCCAGACATCAAAACTAAGATCACGGTGTCGAAAAGGGGGTCAGAAGAAGTCGTCGACGGCGTCAAAAAGTAATTCAGCGATTTCGCCAGGCTTATCGAATGAGAGGAATTTGGAGAAGAATTTGGAAAAGAATCACCCTCTAGAAAAGAGGGAAATTGAGAAGAAGGAGTCTGAAAAAGAGTCGGATAAGAAAAAAGAGGAAGAGAAGAAAAAGATTGAAAAAAGAAGAGAAAGAGAGTTCAAAGAAGACAAAGAACCAGATACGGATAGTGATCATGATGCAGATCTTTCGTTGAAAAAGAGTCATGGTGAGCAAAAAAGGCATAGTTCCCTTTAGAATTAATGTTTTAGGACCAAACTACAAAATGATATAATTTGGAAAAGTGTATATTGTCTATGAACAAAGTTACAGGACAACTATGACAGCGTAGCTCAGAGGGTTTATGAATTGTAACTTTGTTCATTGACAACAAACAGTTTTTCAAATAGTATCGTTTTGTAGTACTAGTTGAGTTTTTTCATATTTAATTTAGCTGGTCCAAAAATATTAATTCCAAAAGAAACTATGGCAGGGCTCGTTTTTGGCCCGTTTGTGGTCCGTTTTCAAGTATGCATTTGGTACTGTAGTGCATATTGTAAGGTATTGTAAGTACGAGCAAAGGAATTTTTTGAATATAAAAAAACTCATTTAACCTAAATGCGAAAAAAAAAAAAAAACCTAAATTCCATGACTTTTTTCCTTTTCAGTTGCCGTCCCCACCCGAAAAGGCAAACCCCAAAAAGTGGCAATCAAGCACAACGACGTCGACGAAAAAGAGACAGAACGTCTTCTCAAAAAGCTAAACGACATCAAGACAGAACCAGCTCGCCCACAAGTCACTCTCGACGAGAAATCCAAAATTCTTATGGATCGAGTCGAGAAAAAACCGTACCCGGCGAAGTACGCAAAACGGAATAAATGGGCACTTTTGGTGGAGGAAGATGGCGAATTTTTCAAGCCGACTCCTTTCACTAAAGCGGGTTCATCGACGATTGTACCTGTAGAAGACACATATGACTACGTTCCGAAACTAGCAGATGTTCAGAAAATGGAAGGGGAGAATGTGTTTCAGACAACGATGGGCGAGGTTCCATATTGGGGCGTATATTTGGATCCGGAGGAGCATGATTTGGTAGTAGAAAGAAAAAGCCACAGATAACACATTGAAATTTTTAGGATGGAATCGAACCTCCGATATCTGTTGGAAGTGAACATGTAATGGCTTATCACAAGAAAGAGCTCCCACTCAAAACCCCCAAATGCTCCAGGGTTTCTGAATTTTTCAGTTTCCGGAATATTATGAAATTTCTGAATTATTTCGAGAATTGCAGAATTTTGGAATATTCGAATTTCTTAATTTTCCGAATGTTCGGAATTTCTGAGTTTCTGAAATTATAAAAAAAAGAATTTTTTTTAAAGTTTCGAATTTTTGAATATCTGAACTTCTGAATTTTCGAATTTTTGAATTTCGAAAATTTTATAAATATATATTTCAGAGATCCCGCCCCATTTTATCGGCTCGTGAAGAAAAAGATCGTCTGTTGACTTCGAAAAAGCTGGATGCCAAATCTCCAACACCTTCAAAAATCTCAAAAATCGAAGAGGAACAGAAACAGCAAAATATTAAAATTCCTTGATTTTTTTTTTCTTTTATTTTTTTGTCAATGAAAAATTTTAAAAGTTAAAGTTTTTATTCGAAATACAGTAATCTAAAGAAATTCGAAAATCTGCTTCTCCCCAATGATCTCGAACCTTCCATCCTTCAGAATTTTCTTTTCCAATCTTCCTCTCTCCGTTCGGTATACTGTAAGTGTCTCCAGTGTTCCTTCTTGAGACTCTCCATAAGTCAAAAAAAGCAAAATTCGTTTTCCATTCTTCAAAACTTTTGACTCATCGAACTCCAAATCCGTATGGATTCTCAGAAACCCCAATCTATTGGGATCAAATTCAAATTGTTCGATTTCTTGGTTTTTCAAATTCCTTGCAAACGTTACGAAACTATTCTCTCTTCCAATTGAATATAAAACTTGTAAATCTGATTCTTGGAGATCCAAAACTCGGTGTTTAGTTTTCTTTATACTTTTCAGCAGATTCCAAAAATCCAAATTCTTGCCAAACTCCAAGAAAATTTTCTGATCTTGCCGTAAATGTCCGTCCAATTTCAGAGAGCATCCCGCTGTATACTGTACTCCTTTCCAATTGAAATACGCGACTTTCACTCTATCCGTAACGTTGTTATAGGTCAGATAGGAATTCTGGAACTCCTGATTTTCTGATAATTTGATATTCCTCCATCCTCTTTTTGTTTCATCAAATTCGAATCCATAATTGGTTAAGGCTATCATTGTAGCTGATAAAGGGGATTCGACTTCTTTTTGAGATCGGGAACAGAAGAAATTTACTCTATGAGCATTAGATCGCTTTTTCGGGTCGCAAAGAAATGCGTAGTATCGTTTGTTGGCCCATTTGAAACGAGTTTGGGGGCAGTGAGATTGTTGAAACAGGTACTTTTTCAACAGTTTTTGCAGGCGGAGCTTCTGAAAACTTTTGTTGGTCCTTGACAACTTTGTAGCTTCATTATTTCAAACTTAAAGATGCAAAGTTTGATGTGGGTTATTTTTGTCAAGTGCTTCGAGTATACTTTTCTTTAATTTCTCGAGGTCTATGTGCATTCAGACGGAAAGTCTCAAAGTAGGCGGAGCCTAATCGTGTTCATGCTCATTTTGAAGGGTTAACCTACTAAGTCAGAATAGCATGTGTGATTCAAATTAAATTGATTTCGAAGCGAGCTATGAGAAAAAAGCAGATTAGGTTATTTGCGTTTCTCGAAGAATTCAGGTTATATTAGGTTGTTTGGAAAGTTCATCCCATTTTTTATCTACTGTTTTCAAACTTGGTTTTCACGAACGGGGTAAAAGCGAGTGAGCTGTCGTTTTATCAGTACATTGGTGGGGTCTAATAGTGTCTACATCCCAACGGAGATCATTCACCTCTTTTCATGTAGTGAGATATGGTCACCGTTTCCACCCCTAACAATTAACGTTCCCGAACTGCCATTTTATTTTTATTTCGATCTCGCCTGAAAATTGATAAAATCAATCGCCGATTAGTGAAAACTAACAACGAAGATGCACCCTTTCAAACTATCATCACAACCTAGATTCATCATTTCGAAAAGGAGAATTTTGGTTGGGCGAAAATCTCGTCTCAAACTGTGCGGGATGTATAAAGTACATCAGTGGCAAGTCTTTCCTAAAAAAGCCGTGGATTGGAAACTCTCGGCAAAGTCAAAAAGTGGAGAGACATGGACCACACCTTTTGGCTCAAAGCTATTTGGATACAAGTGTGGACACCTGTTTGAATATTTTCATTCTACATTGCACACATGAATGCTGGAATCAAACCATTACTAGTGATGATAAATGGGTAATGTACGATTACAATAAGCGACCTGCCAACAAAGGCGTCCAACCACCAGACGTCCCGAAACATGAAAATCGTGATAAAAAAGGGTTGTTGTCTATATGGTGGTCTACTAAGAAGTGGAGCATTGCCAGCTGCTCGATGATACAGCTCCTATTACAGCCGACTTCTATTCTTGTTCGTTGAAATAACTCATACCCCGTGTGAATCTCTATTGCGGAAAAGCACGAAAGTTTAATTTCAAAATTATAATCTCCAACCGCATGTGGGAAGGAAGACCCAGGCCGTTCTCGCTGGATGTGGCTGAACTATTCTGGTTTATCCACCGTATAGCCCAAATCTTGTACTTCCTGATTATCACTTATCCAGCCATTTTTGAAGGACGTCATCCACAATTTGGTGGGGCGTTGAAAGAAAGTCATTGATAACAATGGACATAACCTTCAATTTATCCGAAAACGAAACCGCAAGAAACGAATCGGCAAGAACGGATTACTGTTTCGTTCCTGCTGAAATCTCGTGCGCAGGAAAAAATGGGCGGGGGTTATCCGAATTGAAATAAAGAGTTCTGAATTGAAGAGAAATAGAAAAAAAACCCGGCCCATTTGCAGCTTACACAATGGATTGCAGCAAAAATGCGCACAGTAATCCGTTCTTGCCGATTCGTTTCTTGCGCTTTCGTTTCTTGTGGATTTCAAATCTTGTCGATTTGCAAGGTCTTCGAGTTTCTCAACGAAAACCTTGTTTCCTCCCTTGTTTCATTGAGCAGTTTCAAACTAAACACACAACTTCTGCACAACGATAAATGATCACGTTTGCAGAGCGACAACAAAGATAACCACCGCCGCTTAAGTTTGTTGCTGATTTTTGACTAATTTGTCGTTAATTTGCGAATAAATTTCAATTAAAAACTATTTTTGTGATTTTTAAAGCTAATTCTTCGTTAACTTTCAATTATAAAAAAGCTCACCAGTAAGCAAAAACCTGCAAAAAAAGCCAACAAAGCTAGAAACCAATAATAGTAACTAATCGGAATATAAATAAGAATTCCGAGTAGAACAAACAAAAATGGGCGGGACAGGAGAATCGGGTCTTCTGACATTATTCAGAATTTTCAGCCAAGAGTTTTTTTTCCCTTTAAAAAACAATTCAATCAGAGGTGGGACAAGAAGACAAGAATAGAAATGAGCCCCGACTAGGCGACGCTGTCTCGTGTGTGTGTGTGTGTGTGCATATGTGTATTTGTGCACTATCATATCAAACTGTGCTCAATTTTAGACACTAAAATTTGTATGTAGTTTAGACTGTTTAGTTGCGGAAGTTTTAACAGAAAAATAAATCATAAATTTACAGGAAAAAAAACGCACACAATTTCTCATAGAAATACAGATAAACTTTTCGAGCAGAATTGGGATAAGAAACTAGATAAAACACATAGATATAGATAATTAACAACTCGATTCGACGACTAGGTTATCATCTGAATCCGTGTAATCGGCGTCGTCGGAAGATGAGCCATCGCCATCGTCCGGTTCCGTGGGGTTTCCCATTAATGCGGCGAGACGGCGAATTTCGATAATGTCTGGAAATTATGAAAAAAAAATTTATTTTTCTTATTTTCTGGCCTAATTTTTCGATTATTTTCATCGGTTTTACGCGATTACTTGCGATTTTGCGGATAAAAAAAACGCAAAAATCCCAAAATCGCGAAGCTCCACCCATTCTCGAATTTCCTGTCATTTTTTGAAAATTACCTTTATTCGACAGCTTCGGTCGATTTCCTATTGCTCCTAGTTGAACTGGCACGACTCTCATCGGATCTGCAGGCTTCTCTGAAACAGAAAATTTCAAATTTTGTGCTTTTTCAGCCTTTTCTACCCACGTTTTCTCTCAAATTTTTCAAGAAAAATATGGCTGTGAACACCTATGAATAGCATAATTTTCAGGGCTTAAGAAGGGAGAAGAAGATTGTTTTGCGCTAGAAGACGAGTCGGTCGTCGTGGCAACCCATCTTACGGGAAGCAGAGGGATTATAGAGGATGCCAGAAGATATTCAGAAGGCTAGAAGAGCGAGAAAAAGAGAAAAATGTGTGTGGGAAAAAAATTCTAGAAGGATTTTTATGAAAAAAAAAATTCAACAAAATTTTTTTTTTATTTTCCTTTATTTTTATGTGAATCTTCATGATTTTCTGCACAAATTTCTTCAACTTTCAGCCAAATCGTCCACACCTTTCGTCTCCTTTTTCCCTCCTTTCGTCAGCCCATCCGAGTCGGTTTTCCGTTTTCTCAGGGTAATTTTCGATCGATTTCCTTTTTCTTTATTTGAATTCCCCAACATTTCTTTGATTTTTTCCACCGGCAATTGCACTGTGATCGGAATTGTCTCCTCTTTTTTCGCCTCTTTAATTTCCAACATTTTCACTGGCACCGGCGGAATCACTTCGAATTTTTTGGTTCTCCAATTCAATTGTTCCTTTCGAAAGTGTCCATTCGAGTTTCGTTTAATCGCGGTGACGCCTTCTTTCTCCGTCCCGCCCACTGTGAAGAAATCGTTTGTAGTTTGTAGTGTTCGACTGGAATCAAATACTAATTCTGGCTGATGCACTTGTTGGAACCCTTCGTAATCCTTCTCGTATACATACTGCTCCACTTGTCCATTCAACGCGTTTTTCGCAAAAATGACATATCTCTCGAGACGATTCGACCAGGCGGCATACAACGGAAATAGATCCGTTTCTTTCGGAACCACGTGGCAGTCTGTGCAAGTTACTGTGAGAAATCGATTTGTCGATTGGTCGAAAGAGAATTTTGAATAGGTGCCGCATTTCGTTCGAACGAAAAGGATATCCTTTTGAAGAGAAGCACAGAATCGAGGGATGAATGTAGAAGATGCGGATAGCGTCATTTTCAAGGCCGATTGCTGAAAATATCGTATAATTCGTTTCAAGAACTATTTTTAATAGAATTTCTCACCCGAAATTAGTTAGAATTTGTAGGGAAACTCGAAAACCTTGCAGAAAAATAGCGGAAATTGTTCGACGAAAATGTTGTCAGGTACCGTACCTTAAAGGTACATTCTTTAAAACTTTCAATGAGCTTTGTCACGATTTCCTACCGTATTTTACAGGCGCAAGCTCGCATTTTGTTCAATGCGTCTCGCCGCGAAATTTTTATTATGAATAAAACCCTTACAATTAGAATTTGAATAGTGGACGGCGGAACCCGGCAGATGTCGGTACAACCAGAACACCTCCCTATATAAAGGCAATCGTTTGAGTGGTCTTTCGGTGAACAACACTCAATCTCTTCTGAGTCGGCTGAGATCCTAAGGATGGTTGGCAGGCAGGGGAGCTCCTAGGTCAGTATGCATACTCCCTAGTGGCTCAGCAGAGATCGTGTGATAGGATCCCCCGAGATAACCCGGGAATTTTCTGAGCTCTGAACGTTGCAAAAAAAAATTAGATCCGAAGTATACTTTTGATAAAATGCTTAATTTTCGTCAGCTTTTCGTCAGCTTTTCGTCAGCCGTTAGCTTCGTCTGTCATGTTCCTTCGTCCGTCAGGTTCGTCAGGTTCGCCGTCAGGTTCCTTCGCCCGCCAGTTTTGCCCGTCAGGTTCCTTCGTCCGTCAGGTTCGTCTGTCAGGTTCGTCCGTGAGGTTCGACCGTGAGGTTCGTCCGTCAGGTTCGACCGTCTGGTTCGACCGCCAGGTTCGACCGTCAAGTTCCTTCGTCCGTCAGGTTCGTCTGTCAGGTTCGACCGTGAGGTTCGACCGTGAGGTTCGTCCGTCAGATTCACCCGTCAGGTTCGACCGTCTGGTTCCTTCGCCCGCCAGTTTTGCCCGTCAGGTTCCTTCGTCCGTCAGGTTCGTCTGTCAGGTTCGACCGTGAGGTTCGACCGTGAGGTTCGTCCGTCAGATTCACCCGTCAGGTTCGACCGTCTGGTTCGACCGTCTGTTTCGACCGTCTGGTTCGACCGTCTATTTCGACCGTCTGGTTCGACCGTGTGGCGACGCCACGCAGTCGAACCTGACGGACGAACCTGACGGGCGAACCTGAGAGACGAACCTGACAGACGAAACTGACAGACGAACCTGACGGACGAACCTGACGAACGAACCTGACGGACGAACCTGTCGGACGAACCTGACGGACGAAGGAACCTGACGAAAAAACCTAACGGACGAACCTGACGAACCTGACGAAAAGCTGACAAAAAGCTGACTAAAATTAAAGATTTTACCAAAATTATACTTCGGAAATAGTTTTTAGCAACACAGGCCGTTCGGAGCTCATAAAATTCCCGGGATGTACCCGCGGTTATCTTGGGGGTTTTCATCAAACAATCTCTTCCGAGCCCTTAGGGAGTATGCATACTAACCTAGGAGCTCCCCTGCCTGCCAATCATCATTAGGATCTCAGCCGACTCAGAAGAGATTGAGTGTTGTTCACCAAAAGACCACCCAATGTAGGACCTTCGCCCATCGGTTTTTATATACCAGTAGTACTGCAAATCATTATCATCCCTTCCCTTTCCAGGTCTTGTCGAAAAATCTGAACAAAAAATTAAAACAGTTTACTGATCAGGAAAATCATCATAAATTAGCATAGCCAACACACAAATCAGTCTTTTCACATATCAACGGTTTCTCTATATCAGTTTATCTGTCAAAAAAACCATGAAAGTGCTCCTCTTCTCTTTCCTTATTGTCACTACAGTAATCCCCAACGTCGCTTCTATTTCTTTTCTCGAATCTCTATGTCTCAAATGCAACACCACCGTTGAAATGCTCCTTCCACCCAAAATTGACACATTCTACACTCTTTCAGATTTGACAATCAAGGTGATTCTTTCAAAAGTTAACAATAAAAAATAGAAAATATTTTCAGAATCTGTGCACCAAGTTGAGCCCGGAAAACCTTGAAGACACTTGTTACTCGGTATTCAACGTCCCTCTTCGTATTCAATACAACATCATCTGGACCTTCTTGAGCCCATTCAGAGAGCTCATTTGCATGCCGTTGTGTATTTTTGATTGATTTATTCTTGGAATAAATGGGTTTTATTGGGTGGAAAAAAGTTTTGAAATCGCCAAAAAGTAGACTGAAATTGAGATACTCCGTAATTGCTCTAATAGAAGTCTACGCTATATTACAACTCAATTATCTCGGTTCCTATTAGGAATATCCAAAATGTATCAATTGATAAAATGTTTATGAGATCATGATAAATAATTTATCAGTTGACATGCTTTTGATATCTTTTAAAAGAACAAAGATAATTGAGCTCAAAGTTCAGGTATATATGTAGGCTTCTCTATTAGAACATTCACGGTATGTTGATTTTTTGATCTTCGGTTGGTTTTTTGGTTCCCATTTATTTTTTTGCAAATCTTACTAGGGAATGACTCACAGAAGATGTGGAGTTATGGGACGAGACCTATATCATTCGAAAGAGGATGAAATTTCATTTTCAAATATATGCTCAGTTTTTGCGGCGGCCTCCGCTAACTCGAGAAATTTAGGTCAGAAGTTTTCAGTAGATTTTGCACTGAAATGCATACGTGAACGCTTCCACGTCCTCATTTCTTTTATACGCTTTGAAGAACCATTGAAAACAGCAGTGGGATGGTTCAGTGGTAAAGCGGCGGGATGGGGAAATGGTACTCTATGGTTCGACTCCTTCATAGTCGAAACTCTTTTTTTATTTTTTGTTGGTTTTTTATATGACCTGTTTTTGAGCTCAAAAGCTGTTTTCAGCAGTTTTCCATACTCTAAACACCTTTGGCATCTTGTCAAATACAAATTAACCAAGTTTTTGGAAAAAAAATTTCTGAAGAAAATTCGCATGTTTTCATGATGACCTCTTTTCAAATTTTCCGATTTTTTTATCCTTGGCGGGATTATTCCAGTAGGGTTTCCATCCGGGCGGGCGGTGAGCCGCCCGCTTGCCGCCCGTTCGCCGCCCGTCTATAAAAGCGAGACATAATAATAATCGTTATAATAATAAATATAGATTTCTTTGTGTTTCAAAAAAATTTTTTTTTGAAAATTTGAAAAGAGGTGTATGGATCATGAAAACATGCGAATTTTCTTCAGAAATTTTTTTTCCAAAAACTTGGTTAATTTGTATTTGACAAGATGCCAAAGGTGTTTAGAGTATGGAAAACTGCTGAAAACAGCTTTTGAGCTCAAAAACAGGTCATATAAAAAACCAACAAAAAATAAAAAAAGAGTTTCGACTATGAAGGAGTCGAACCATAGAGTACCATTTCCCCATCCCGCCGCTTTACCACTGAACCATCCCACTGCTGTTTTCAATGGTTCTTCAAAGCGTATAAAAGAAATGAGGACGTGGAAGCGTTCACGTATGCATTTCAGTGCAAAATCTACTGAAAACTTCTGACCCAAATTTCTCGAGTTAGCGGAGGCCGCCGCAAAAACTGAGCATATATTTGAAAATGAAATTTCATCCTCTTTCGAATGATATAGGTCTCGTCCCATAACTCCACATCTTCTGTGAGTCATTCCCTAGTTAGAAAAAGAAAGAAACCATCATTCCCATCGCCCCCACTTGCAAAAAAGGCTGAAATTCGATTATAAAAGGAAGACTCAGCCCATCCTCAGACCATTCCAAGCCGAATGTCCCCATCTACTCTCCTACTCTGTCTCCTTGCTGGATCATCCTGGGCTTTTGTCCCAGATGATCCAGCTCTCCGTGGAACCGATTCTTTCGGAGGATATCCTAATGACATCTTCTACTTCACTCGGAATGCCTTCGCCGCCTCTTCCTCGGATACAGCCCAACAAGTCGTCGAGAAGTTCTTGGTTCGGATGACTAGATCGTTCGAATCAAAAGATGTCGCTGTGGTTTCTGGATTGTTCCAACCTGGATTCGTGTTCAAGGGATGCAAAGGAACCTATGATAAGAGTGAGTATTAGATGGTTCTAAGGAAAATATTTGGGACACTGGACAAATCATAAACCCTTCTACCCTTCAAAATCTCTTCCAGGTCAAATCATCGGTCTTTTATCCCAAATCCCATCTGGAACCAAATTCACCCTCTCACTCAAATCAGTCCTGGATACTGGATCTTCAATCAAGTATACTGTAGTCGCCAGTGGATTCGGACCAGCCTCCATTGAAGCTAATTTCGTCTTGAACAAGATCGATCAACAATTGGAATGTGGAGAAATTCCAGCTTGTACTCAAATTTCTGCTGGCGAGATGGCGAAGAATTTTCTGGATCATGCGATTATATCTATTGAGTCCCAAGATGTCGCGAAGATCACAGACCTTTTCGATGTTAGATTCCTTTTCAAGGGCTGCCTCGGAGCATATAACTACGGTAATTGATATGGAAGTGCTACTAGTACTGTACTAGTATGCGTACTGTAGTACTGTACTAATATGAAAGAGACACAAGTTCCAGGGCATGCTGTCCGAAAGCTTACCTCCCTCCCATCTGGTACCAGATTCTCCTTCACCCTCCAAGCAGTTTCTGAATGGAATTTACTGTTGTGGTCGCTGGCATCAATGCATCTCCCTTTGAAGCACAATTCGTGTTGAGTAAATATGATAAACGGTTGGAGTACGGCCATATGCTGGCGTGTCCGTTGATTGGAAGGTCACAACCAGAAGATTCGAACGCTGTCGTCCAGAGATTCTTAAGCTCGATGAAGGAAACCATCGGTTCTCATGAGGCAGCACTTATTGGAAAACTATTCGACGAAGCGTTCATTTTCAAGGGATGCCATGGAACATACACAAAAGGTACGATGAAGAGCCGTCCAGAAATTTTATAATCTTTCCTTTTCAGTTCAAGCCATCGCCAAGCTCACCTCCTTCCCTTCCGGCGCCTCTTTCAATTTCTCACTGATCGATTCGAAATGGAATAATCAGGGACAAATCGAGTACACTGTCTCTGTATCAGTTCCAATAATGGATAGCTTCAAGGCTCAATTCGTCTACTGTCCACACAGAAATGTTCTGAAGTCGGGAAGTATTGAGAACTGTGCAGCCAGAAGATTCAGTGTTTTCTATTGATTTCGAGGTTTTTTTTGTCGTGAATAAAAAGTATGAGCATTCAATTTTACAATCCTCTACATTTTTACACCTAAAAAAAGCTCAAAGTCTAAAAACAAAACGAATATTCCGGCTATGAAATCTATACTGCTAAGCTATACTGGCTTCGAGAAAGTTAACTTGCCGGAACTAGTCTATGACCCTTCTCTGGAGACTTCTTCCCACGTGTTGTTAACTGTCTTGGGAGCGGATGGTGTCGAAAAAATTGTGATTACGAAAGACTTCTATTTGGGACACATTCGGAAGTTTATTCTGAATCTCGAAACTATGCAATACGACGCTTTGGCTCCTGTCGACAAGAAGTTATTCGCCAGGAGAACGGAACTTGAGGATTTTCTGGAAGATTCCGTTATTGAGGATAAAGAAGAAGAAGAAACCTCCGCCATGGAGAAAAGTGCAGACGGAGAGGATGACGACAATGAGGAAGTGGATGGTAGGGCTAAGAAACAAACAAGAAATCAACGCTTATTTTCAGAGAATAAACAAAAAACGGCTCTTCTTAGTGAGATGGTGGTACGGTTGGTTCCGGGTTTGACACTCTCTCAGACGCATTCTTCTCCTGCTCCAGAATCCGTTGAACTCGCCGAGAAGAGTGATCTAAGCATTGGCTCATTTTTCGATGCTGAGTCGACTCTATGGTATTTGTATACCCATTCTTATTCAGAAAACGACATCGATAAAAATCCTAACCTCATGGCGTTCTCTCAATTGTCGAATAGCATGTACGAGAGCTGTTTCACGGTGATCGAGAAGAATCTGGTTGAAGAGACGATTGAGGAGAAGAAGACAATGGATTCTGCAACGCAGTCTGCTTCAATTTCTTCATCTTCCGACAGTGACCATTACAATGAAATTTCGGAACATTCCCATGAATTTATCTTGTCTGACTTCACAGATAGAAGACGTTGGATGGAAACAAAAGCTACTAACTAACTGATTATTGATACTAATTCTACGTAATATTTTTTTGAGTTTCTCATCATCTGTAAATGAATCTTTAAGGCATGAATATAGTTTCTTGTTTTTCTAGTCATCCTTATTGTATGCCCACCTTCCCCCTCCCGGTCGTTTGTTAAGACTTGTGAATGCTCATAATCTTTATTCACGACAAAAAAGCCTCAAAATCAATAAAAAACACTGAATCTTCTGGCTGCACAGTGCTCAATACTTGCCGACTTGAGAACATTTTTGTGTGGGCAATAGACGAATTGACCTTTGAAGCTATCCATTCTTGGAACGGATACAGAGACAGTGTACTCGATTTGTCCCTGACTATTCCATTTCGAGGTGACCAGTGAGAAATTGAAAGAGGCGCCGGAAGGGAAGGAGGTGAGCTTGGCGATGGCTTGAGCTGAAAAGGAAAGATTATAAAATTTCTGGACGGCTCTTCATCGTACCTTTTGTGTATGTTCCATGGCATCCCTTGAAAATGAACGCATCGTCGAAGAGCTTTCCGATGAGAGCTGGCTCATGAGAATCGATAGTTTCCTTCATTGAGCTCAAGAATCTCTGGACGACATCGTTCGAATCTTCTGGCTGATAGAATCCCAGGAAAGATCTTTGTTTCTTCGGACAACCCATCATATACCCGACTTTCAATTTTTGGTCGAATTTGTCAAGAACAAATGCAGTTTTGATTGCATATTCCTTGATTCCTGCGATGTCTACATAATACCCGATATGGGTCAATTTAATGGTATCCGTGATGGTGTATGTGAACTTTACACCGGGAGGAAGCGTGGAGAGCCAGTTGACGACGGCTTCTAGAATTTTCCTAAATATAATTTTCTAGAATTTTCTTGACTTACGTTTGCTATGGTTTCCCTTGCAGCCATGGAAAATGAACCCAGGTTCGAAAAGATCATTGATGATGGAGGCATCCTTGGACTCAATAGATCTCGTCATACGAGCCAGAAATCTCTTCACCTCCTCCTCAGTTGGATTTTGAACAGATTTAAAGGTCAAAAAGCTGTGTTTCTGACAAGCTGGAATCTCTCCACATTCTAATTGTTGGTCCACCTTGTTTAAGACGAAATTGGCTTCAATTGAAGCTGGTCTCAATCCACTGGCGACTACAGTATACTTGATTGAAGATCCGGTATCAAAGACGGATTGGAGTGAGAGGGTGAATTTGGTTCCAGATGGGATTTGGGATAAAAGACCGATGATTTGACCTGGAAGTGGTATTGAAGGTACAAAATTTTATTATTTGTTTAGTTTTTAACTACAAAGTGGCGCGTACCCAGACTATATAGTTTGTTCCAGCATAACACTCGAGTGAAGCGTCATACTGGGCTCAAATTTGAAATGCGAAAATTCAAACAATTCATCAGTAAACTGGCCAAGTTTCGAATTATTTTATCAAGTTTGAGCTGAGTTATCACTTGTCAAAGTTTCTTAATCTCATGAAAATTACAAGAAGCATTACGTCTTTCATTTTTGAACAATCATAACAATGCCTAGACTTGAGAAATCGCTTTTAGAATTTTAATAAATTTGAATCAAACGGAACATTATATTTCAACAAATTTGCGTGCTTCCCACATACTTATTTTCAAAGATATGCTCGCTTTTATCAGTCCGGGTCATTATGTGCCACCTTGTAATCTCAACTGCCTAGATTAATTCCTTGATAACCATTTGAATCCTAGCCTCAAGTTTCTAGAACTCTAGAACTCGAGCTTTTAGTTCTATTCTAGACTTGAAGAAATTAATCTCAAAAAAGTCTAGGATGGTTATTTGATAACCATCTAATACTCACTCTTATCATAAGTTCCCTTGCATCCCTTGAACACGAATCCAGGTTGGAACAATCCAGAAATCACATCCACATCCCCTGATTCCAATGACCTGATCATCCGAGCCAAGAACTTCTCGACGACCTGTTTAGCTGTATCCGAGGAAGGGGCGAAGACATTTCGAGTGAAGTAGAAGATATCATTAGGATGTCCTCCGAAAGAATCGGTTCCACGTAAATCTGGATCATCTGGGACGAAGGCCCAGGATGTTCCAGCTAGGAGACAGATGACAAGAATTGATGGGGACATTCGACTTGGAATGACATGAGGAGAGGCCGAGTCTTCCTTTTATGGGGAAGTATGCAAATCGAATTATTGCATTTTTGCGAGCGTGGGCGGTGGGAATGGGAACGATGTTTAAAAATTTTTTTTCGCTTTTTTAGGCAATGAAATATCTTGAGAACTTGACATAAAAGTTTGGGAATATGAATTAAAAAGGGAGATACCATGTGTATCAACATTTTAGAATTCCAAAGCTTTTGAAAAACTCAAAACTCTCGAATTCGAAGCCGTTGATTTTGCTTGAGCTACTGCCGCCATTCACGTCTTCTGATCAGAAGCCTCAAAATGATTCTTACTTTAGAATTTAGGAAATTTCCGTATAACTTGTTTTTACTTTGAGCCAATTTAACTCGTTTCCTGTCAAAGGTAAGAAAAAGGAATCAACTAATAAATTGTTTATCATAATATCACCAACATTCTATTAGTTGTCAAATTCTAGATATCTTTGACAGGAACCGAGATAAATTGGCTCAAAGTTGAAAGTCACGGAGCCCTTCTATTACTATCTCAAATCTAGCTCCTTCTGAATTCTGCGTTTTCTAACTCGAAAAAATAAGAATCAGAATTTTATTTGATGGCCTAGAAGTCTCCATGGTCGAGATTACGGGTTTCAAGGCCACTGTTACCTTTGGATGGCCTAGAATCCAATAGGCATAGATTCCCGTTGTCAGATTCTGGACCACCAATCTGTAAAGTTTTTTTTTACTTTAAAATACAGGGGAACATGAGAAAAATATTGTCTCGAATTATTTTTTTTTCATTCTATGCCTCTCGAGAAGTTGAGCTTGTGGGACGAATATTGAAGGTCCAATCCTGATTGTCGATTCATATAAACTTCATTTTTCACCAATTGAACATTTCACGAAAAGAAAAGAGAATTCGACAATTTCACAGAATCTAATAATAGAATGCAAATGTGCTCCATTGAACACACATCTTCGATACAACTCGTGTTCAATTTCACACTGCATTTTTGAGATACGATACAAAAGTATTGAAAGAGATACTGTAGAAAAAGAGCGGTAGTAACATCAAAATGAGATCATCCTAAAGAGATCCTAGATCAAAGAGCAAGTCCAATCCTGGAAGAGAGAGACGAATCAAAAAAAGAATGATACATACTGCAAAAGTCGAATCGAAAAAATGAGAGGAGGAAAATGCGCTCCGTTGAACAACTACACCGATACACACATTTTGTACATTGGAGCGCACAAGCTTGGGGTTACAGTAGAACGTAGATGAGAGAAAAAAAGAAATAGGGGAAGGGGGTTGAGAAAGTAGTACTTTTTTTCAAAAAACTCTCAACCGAACAACACCAATACAATTCAATGTTCAGTAGAGCGCACTTGAGAAAAAGAGAAAAAAGAAAAAATGAGGAATTATTGCTCATTTTGCTCCTCCTCAGCTCCATTCTCCTCTTCTCCATCTTCCTCTTGTCCTTCTTGTCCTTCCTCGCCTTCCTCTTCTCCTTCGTCGTTAGCTTCCTCAGCAGATTGCTCATCGCTAGCTGGTTCCTCGACGATTGGCTCAGCGACAACAGTTCCAGCTCCATTTTCAGTTTCATCGACAACGGATTCGACGAGTTGCTCGCTCTCAGTCTCGTCAAACTTGGCCTTCTTGACTGGAGTCACATCGACCACTGAAAAATCGAATTTTGAATTACCGTGTAATCTTTGAGCTCTATCATCTCAATTTCTGTGAGAGATATAAGAAAGTTGTCAACTGTTAAATTGCTTATCATAGTATCACAAATATTTTATCAGTTTACACATTTTTAATATCTCTCATAGGAACCGAAATAAGTGAGTCTAAATAGCGCGCGGTTTGGTCGACTTCGCGTGCTGTCGGTTGATTTCGTCACCACCATGCTTGATCCCTTTGAGCTCAATTATCTCATTTTCTAAAAAAGATATCAAAAAGTGGTTAACTAATAAAATATTCATCTTAAATTGCGAAATATTTTATCAGTGCTTTTTGACATCTCTTACAGTATCCGAGACATTTGTGCTCAATGTTGGCTGCCCGAGTGGTCTTCTATTAGAGTGTTTACGGTAATGGAGCTCAAACTTGAAAGCGTGTGGGCCCTTCTATTACAGGGTTTTCTGTCTATCAGTTTGTCCCGATGTCTCCTTACCCTCATCATCATCATTCTCCTCCTTCTTCTGCACAGATTCCTCAGCGGTACGTTTGCGTGGCTCCGTCGTGCTCTTCTCAGAAGATCCCTCCTCTGAAACAGGGCACTCAACGTCCGGCGAACGTGGTGGCGAGTCTTCTGGGACATCGACGATCTCGGACATTGCTCAGTTTTCGGTTTGAGTTACTGTAAATTGGATTAAAATTGGAAAAAATAAAGAAATTGAAAAAATATAACAGAGTTGTAAAAACTCAAAAGAAGGTGATAAAATAGAAAACACTCCTCATGTGAGGTCTGATTTTCCCAATTTTAAAACGCTTCATTTACAAATAAAGTACAGAAAATAGGAAAGAAAAACTAGTAGGGACGGTTCTAGAAGACGTTTTAGAATCGGGGGTTTTTGGATTTTTTTTGGATGATTGGTCAGGGACCGTAGCGGAAAAGAAGCAGAATTTACAAGCAGAATGGGGGCGGAGATGGAAAAAAAGGGGCGGGGTTTGGGGAGGAGGCCTTATTAGATGGGAATTTTTTGCAAATTCAAAGTGAGGGAAAAAAGAATATTGTAGTTCTACAGTAAGAAAGCTTCCACCGGGGGGGGGGGGGGGGAATCGGGTCACTAGGTATTAGTCTGGGTTACTGTAGAAACCAGGCACTTGATATATCTAGTCCTAAAGACTTTCGAATCAACCGGAATACTAAACCGGGGTTATTGTACATTCTCATATCTCAGATAGGGAAAACTAGATTACTGTAACTATGAAATGATACTACTGTAGGATTTTAAAATTAGGATGGGGCCGATGAAGCGCACGAATGCAAAAATCTTCCACAGGGATTCAATCAGGAGAGGGGAGTGAAAAAGAAGTGGATTACGGTAGTTACAGTATTTACAAAATCAAAATCACCAGGTGAATAAATTTTGGTACATTGGAAATGGGTTACTGTATATAGAGTGGTCTGGAACTAATCCAAATCCAAATTCATTCGATTGTGAAGACTATCAACGATGGTTTTCATGTCGAATTGCTCCAGATCCGAGTCATCAGAAGATTCTTCTTCATCTGAGATGTCAGAATCCTCACTTGATCCTTCTTCTTCTTCTTCTTCTTCTGGATCACTCGAAGTCGATGGACCTTAAAATTAATAGAATGAGAAGTTTCAAGAATCTCGAAATTTCGGAATCTAAAGAACTAAAAATCTAGAAATCCAGAATTATAGATATTTGGAATTTGAGCATCTAGAGTTCAGCAAATTAATAAAGCTCGACGAATCTGGAAATCTAGTAGATCGGAGATTCTAGGAAATTCAAAAATTCAAAAATTTTGAAAGGAAGGATAATCTAAGAGTCTAGAATAAGACTTCCATTTCAGTTGGTCGAAAATCGGCGACCGCCGACCGAGCCGACCGAATTCGTGCATTTGCATGTCAAAGTGTTTGCGGTCGCAGCATTTTGTGATTCAACGAGTCAAAAAATTCGTCGTAATATAAAATGCTGCGTACGCAAACACTCTCTGGCACGTTCAAGCGAAAATGCACGAATTCGGTCGGATCGCGGTCGGTCAGCGGTCACCGATTTTAGACCGACCGAATGGAAACCTTGTTTTGTAATCTACTGAAACTAAACATCTATTACTGAATTAAAATAGCCTTGGTTCTGAGAATCTAGAAGTCTTGAAAAATCTGGAAATCTAAAAGATAGGATATTCTAGAAAGTTAGGATTTAAAAAAAACTTAGAATTAAGGAGAATCTATAGAAACAGGAATTGGGAAAGTTTAGAAGTTTGGGATGCTATGAGCGAAAATTCTCTGAAACCTAAAATCTTACCTGACCCATTTTTCTTCTCATCGTTGGATTCGGATTCTCCAAAGTATACCTCCTTGACTCTTGCGTCATACTTCAACAAGTCATCGTGAGTCATTATCTCTGAAATTTCTATCATTTTTGGGTGGCGGAGGAGTTGAACTTGTGCGCGCACCATTCGAGGTGCCGCGCCGCTACCAGCTGAGCTACATTGGCAAGATAGAGCGGCACATCAGAATGCATACCGTAACTGTCCCAATTTCCAAATCAAAGTTACCTGACGGTTCATAGAGATGCATCTGTAATTGTTTAGCCTTTTCTATGCTCTTCAACAAATGTTCGTTTGCAAGTTCTCTCTTCTCAGCCAACTGATGTCCAGCAGCTAGCACATTATGAACACATGTCTTAATGGCAGGATCCATCTCGTAAAGCTTAGCCAGAGCCTCTTGATCTGAAAATAAAATAACTACAGTAACCATGATACTGCTTTTTTGATGATACTTTTCTTGATACCAGTAGCTGTTTCTTCAAACTGTTTCGAAGCTTCAAGAAGACGTTTTTCCAAACGACACTCTGAAAAATGTCATAGTAATACTACCGTATTTTCTTTAATAGACGCCTTCCCAAACAGTCAACTTTGAGCTCAATCTTCTCGATTCCCATTATTGATTGAATTTTGATATCTTTTACAGAAATCGAGATAATTGAGCTTAAAGTTGATTCCCTGCACATCTAACTCACTCCGCGCGATATTTTCCTCTTGCTGCCGTTTCACCAATTCCGCCTGGATGCTTTTCGTTTCGAGTTCGGCCACTGAAAACAAATTGCTACAGTAAACATTTGTCTAAAACCTTGGCTTACATTTCTCCAACTTTTTTATCTTTTCCAATTCGACACGACATCGATCTTGAAGTCGTTGATATTCGGTTGGCCAATTCTTTTTCATGTCCGCGTAGTTCGTCATGATGTCTTTTGCTGATGGCAATCCAGGGAGGTGAAAATCGTCCTTGTCTGAAAATAGAGCTCTTGAGAAAGGTACGGTGCAGTAATCTAGAAGGTAGCTTCAAAATATTCGTTCATAAACTTACCTTTAGACAGTTTACTGTCGACGGTGTTCATCGTGAAGAATTCGCTTGGTAGTTCGCGGACTTCAGTTTCTGAAAAAAGGAATTTAAATGTGGGTCTCTTGGCTTTGGACTCAAACACTTACCTGGGTGTTTAGCAAAGATCATTGCACGAGCTTCCTCATCTTTTGAGTGATATTCTGGCTTTTCCTGTGGCTCCTTGTCTTGGAAAATCTCTTGGAGCTGACTTTTGAGCAAGTGAACCTGCGGCGTTTCCACTTCAGCCGTTATTTGGTCGAGCCTATCATCCTCTTTCAGTTGCACCAAAATTTCATCAATGTCGTTGATCTTCTCTTCTTTTTCTGTCTTTGGCACTGTTTCCTTCCTCGGCTGCTCTCTCTTGGCCGCTGGTGCTCTCGTGGGTTCCTGTGGAACCCATTGAAACGGTTGGTATGATGGAAGAACGTATGGCATTGGAAATTGCCGTGATGCGATTGGAAAATTTAGTGGTCTTGGAAACGGTGGGATTTGCGGGAGGGTTGGGAAAGGGATATAAATAGTAGCTGGCCATGCATCCATTGAACGTGCTCTATCACCGGGGCGGTCAAAAGATGGATGACCACTTCCATATGGACCACTACCGTATGCACCCAATCGATCGACACACTGTTTTTCTGAAAAACTCTTTTCTAAATTCCTGAGAATATCCGAATACTCCACTCACCGAGTTTCTTCAAGCCTCGCTTGTTGCAACAGTGATCACAGCTTGCTGGATCAAATGCCTCCTGCTCCTGGAATTCGCCGCAACGCAAAAATGCCGCGATTTTTGCTCCTTTCTGTCGTTTCTCATGCAACTGCTCCGCTGTGATCTCTACGAAACTTGTTCGACCCATAAGATCAGATCTGCTGAATGGGAGGATCGTATCACGAGTATCCTTCATCCAAACGATCTCTCCAGTTGTATTGAATTCGGTGTACATGATTTGGCGGAAGCGTCCATCGGATTGGCAGAGGTGCTCCTCTAAGACACCCAACTTGCGGTTGTAAATGTATCGATGGCGTTTCTGGATCTCATGAAGTGGCATTGAGCGGCAATCGAGAACCATATCTGATTGCACATCAAACCTATTATTGGTATTGAATTTGGTCCATTGCAGTTGATTATTGGCACCCTGGTAGATGCCAACAAAAGTGTCCGACTTGGAAGTTGGGATTGCTTCCGCCTGATACTTCCGACCAGCAGGATCTCCGCATTTGTCAGAGATGCAATGCTTGCACTTGATCCGTTCAAAATGGAGATGGGTCTTGTTGAAAATGAGCTGTTCCATAATTCCTTCTCTAGTACAGTAGTAGACTTTGTCCTTCAGATGTGCGCAGAACACAGCGTGACTCAAGGTGAACTCGGTGTCCATTATTGGGATATTGCTCTCCATTGGAAGGCACTTGATAGATTTAAGAGGTTCCGAATGTGGGTAGTATCCTTCGGGGCTGTGTACCCATCTTCCGATAGATCCGTTTTCGTGAGCAAAGTATACAAACCTAGCTCGTTGGCGGCACGTCGTCCACTTCATGCTGATCGGGATCAATCTGTTGAATTCCGAATCATGTTGCTCGCCGACGTTCCCCAAAGCTCCGCCGTGTGGGTCACTGACATTGTGGAACTTGTCAATGTTCAAACAGGTCTCGCATTCACAATGGGGAGCTTTCACGAAGTCGGATCCAGTGAAGATGTATCTTCCGAGTTTCTTGTCTTCTCCATGGGCGAATACAATCAAGGTATGAGTCTTCTCGCAAACTCTTGAGTAGCGAACCTCTTTTGGGAACTGTTTCGGTTTCTCCGATTGTTCTGCTTTTGGTTTCTGACTAACTTGGTCCTGATTGGGGTTCATCTTTACCTGGTAAAAGGAATTATGAGGTTGGATTTAGGATGAAGAATGGTACGTTACGTCAACAGGAAAGTACATAAAAAGATAACAGTTGGGAGATGGAGAGAGAGAGAGAGAGAGAGAGAGAGAGAGTCGCTTCATTGCTTTCTCAATCCGTGGTTTGTAACTACCTATTAGCTCTTCCTGCTCCTATCCTATAATTATTAATCCGTGAGAAATATGAGCCTTCTCAGTGCACACAATATGAGTACATAGAATACGTTTTATATGGAAGATGCTTAAGATGAAGCGCGCAGGTGCAGAATCAACCTAAATCCTTCAATTCGACGTGTTATAATAGAGCCTAGGATGTAGTCATCAGGCAAGCTGCCTGACTTCTACGGCTTTATATAGGACAAAAGGGTCTAGTAAAGTCCTAGCTCTCTGACTATCCCTTAAACTCTATGACTTTAAATGCCGACTTACCGTATTCCATTTAATAGAAGCCTACCCAAACCGTCAGTTTTAAGCTCAATTATCTCGATTCCCGTGAAAAAGATCACAATTTTGTCAACTGAGAATTTATTCATCATAATATCACCAACATTTTATCAGTTGAAAATGTTCTGATATCTTTTACAGGAATCGAGATAATTGAGCTCAACGTTGACGGTTTCGGAGGGCTTCTATTAGAGGAAGTATGGTATAAATGTGAAAACAATCCAAAATGAATCATAACATATGCAACAACATGATCTCTGGTCAAGTAAATGTGGCCTTTTGAAACAGATGTTTGTTTCGATGGCGCAAGAATGCATTCGTCTACGGGTTTCGAATTGGTATTGAATCTGAGATGACCTAAAATTGAATGAAGAATCTGAGGTCTTCGACCATAACCAAAACCTCAACCTCAACCTCAACCTCTATATAACCTAAGCATCATGGCATCAGGATTTGATGGATCCAAATTCTAAAAGGGAGGACAATCTAGATCCTATATTCAAAAGAGCGCGAAAACTAGGAAACGAGGAGAAAAAGAAAAAAATAACGAAGGCAATATACGAAGATAGAGAAGGCAAATGATAGAGAAGAAGAAGAGATGCAAAAAAGCGGGAGGACCAAGAAAACATTTATCTTATCAGGATAGGAGCGGCGGCAACACGCACGCACGAAAGAACATCAGAAAAAGGAGAAGAGGCGCTGAAAAGGAGAAGAAGAAGCGAGAAAAAAGAAGAAGAAGAATGAGAAATCAATGCAGAGCTCTGTGCGCATAGAGCTGTTGGATGTATGTGAGAGTATGTGTGCTCTTTTTCTATGCCACACACACTCTCTAGTAGCAGCTCACGAATAAAAGAAGAGGAAGAAAAGAAATTGAAACCATAGCAACATCGAAAACCGAGAAAAAAAGAAGAAAAAACTCTTCTTCCTTGAGATTTGCTTATAGGAGAAGAAGGAAAAGCAGAAGAGCTCGACTTGCGGCGCGCGGGTGAAAAATGAAAATGAAATGAAAAGAGAGGTGGTGGGGGATAGGGAGGGGCGGAGCTTAAAGGGCAGAGTAGGCGGAGTTTCGAGAGTCATGGATATGTTTATAGGTAATAGAGAAAGAGGCAACAAAAGCCGGAGAAGAAAAAGTTTTGAGAATGAAATGGAGGATTTGAAAAAGAGAGAGAATAGGTACGGTGCATTACTTTGGGTTTCTGGAAGGAGAAGCAAAGAGCAGAGATAGAAGACGCAGAGAAGAAATGAAATGAGTACATTAATCGAAAAAAGAGATGGAAAAGTGAAAAGAAAGAGAGAAGAAAAAAGAAGACTTTGCGAACCAAATATTCATGAGCAATTCACAGTAAGACAACTGGTTTGAACAAATTTACGAAAAATAATTTTTTGTAAACAAATTTCACCTACTCCAGAAATGTTGCACCTGTTTGGAAGAAACATCTGGCGCTCGATTTTTTTGGATAATGAAACATTTTCGAATTTTCGCTATAAGAACTGAAAAGTAGGAGGCATACTGTAGATGGCCCATTGTTGGAATTTTCTAATATTTCCTATAATAGAAGCCCAACCCAACCGTCAGCGTCAAGCTCAATTATCTTTATTTCAGTGTAAGATATCAAAAATTGTTCAATTGATAAAATATTGGTGACATTATGATAAGTATTTTATCAGTTGACGAATTAATGATATCTTCTGAAGAAATTGAGAAAATTGAGCTCAAAATTGAATGTTTGGTAGCCTTCTAATAGAGGAAATAAGGTATTTTTCAATCGAACCATGGTTTCTAAAATTCGAGAAAAGTTCTAATTGCAGTTTTTGTCTATCAAAGTTCAAGGAATAGAACGCTCCAAGCCGTATTTTTCGAATCGGGATCATAACATTTCAGATGTATTCAAGGAAATCTGTGACGTCATCACCCTTTAATGTCTACAACAGTTTGGGCCCTTACGTGTCAAAGGCACACCAGATGAAGTTCTTAGCGACTGTTTTTGTATCCATTTCTCTAAAATTTTCTCGTCTCTTCGACGGTGTCTTTTCCTTCATCACTTTTTTCCTCATTGCCTACTTACTATGTTCCTAATGAATTATACAAAAGTGACCTCCCGTACCCTTTCTGACCATTTTGGCGACCCCCCCCCCCCTGGCGTCTCCCCCAAAAAAGCCCCTGGTGTCCTAAAAAAGGACTCGAACACTCTTCTCTGCGTCCACATTTCTTCCAAAAACACACAAAAAACATATCGAGGAACTCTCTCTCTCTCTCTCTCTCTCTCTCTCTCTCTCTCTCTCTCTCTCGATTTTCCTTTATCTCTAATTTTTGTCTCTGACTCGAGAAGAATGAATTCCCTTTCCATTGCAAAGAGAGAGAGAGGCTTCAGAAGTCTCGCTCTCGTGAGTTTTTTCCTCTTTTTCTTCTTCTTTGGGATAGAAGAAGACAAGGAAGAAGAAGAAGAAGGCAATGAGTGCGCGGTGAGTGTGGATAAAGGACTACAACAACACAGGAAGGAGCGGAAGAAAGAAAGAAGAAGAAGAAGGTGTTGTTGTCTTCTTGCTTCTGCTTGCTGCTCGGATGGAGTGTCAAAGGAAGGAGGAGACGAAGAAAAAGAGGAAGGATGGAGAGAGGGAAGAGAGAGGTGTTTACGGCTTATGAATTATGCCAAAAAGAGAACAGAGAGGCCAGACAACTAGAGAAATGAAAGCCACGTCTATGCGGCACGTTGGGTACTGTAGTTCTCAAGGAACGATCAAAACTGAATTGAGTCAATTGTAATGAGACATTGGCTGTGCAGATAACTATTTTCTATGATAGAAGCCCACCCTATACGTGCGCTTTGAGCTAAATTTTCTCGGTTCCACATGAACAATTTATCAGTTAACCTTTTTATATCTTTTGAAGGAACCGAGATTATTAAGCTCAAGCTGCACGTATAGGATGTTTTTCTGATAGAGTGAATGCTCAGCAAGTCAGTGATACACTTGACAACCGACTGGAAAAAATAGTGAGAAATATTCAGATTACTGTAATTTCCTCATAATGAGTGTATTAAACGACCAGACAATGGTCGTTCATGACTTGTCAACCTTATGACCCTTATGGGGTTTTTAATGGTTTTTGATTATGAGCAATGTTTTCATACTGATACTCATATTTTCAAATAGATTTCAAATTATTTTTTTTCAAATAGATGATTACTGTGGATTTACGACTTTCAGAATGAAGTTATCGAGAAAATGTTAAATTTTTCTAGGATACTGTAGTTTTCCCATAATGAGTGTAATAAAAAATTAGCGACAAGACAATAGTCTTTTATACAATAGTCAATGTTCTCAAACTAAATGATTACTGTAGATTTACGATTGTCAGAAATCAACAACCGTATTTACTCTAACTTAAGCTCAATATCTCGGTCCCTATGAGAGATATCAAAAATCGGTCAACACATAAAAAATTTGTATGATAAATAATTTACCAGTAGACTTTGCTATCTTGTCAAGGAACCGAGAAAAATTGACTTGATGTTAAAGTTAGAGTTCCTTCTATTACAGGTTTTACGGTATTTGTACAACCTTATGGATTTTCAAAACGATGTACAACCACATGGATTTTTTTGGATTCGTATTCTTAAGCTCTGATCTCTGATCTGATCTCGAACTCCAAACTTGATATTCCCGAAAAGTTTTATTAATTGAATAAATTATTTAATTATGATGCGACCTCGATAAAAAACAAGTATGATACAAATGATAAGGTCGAAAGGAAAAACGATTTGTACTAAAAATGGTATTAAACAAAAAGAAAAAGATGAAGAAAGAATACACAAAAAGCCATAAATACAATAAATGGTAAAAATATGAAATAAAATGTTTCTATGAACAATTTAAATTTCTTGAAAAAAAATTAGATGACAAGTGAATATGTAACAATTTCAAAAAAATTAAAAAATCAGAAAAATCCTAGAATTCGACCAATGACACTTTCCGGTGGTCCACCAATTTCATCATTTTCTGGATCAGCATCGCTCATATCCGAATAACTGTCCTCGGTATTTGTTGATTCCTTATCATCATCATCATCAGGTGAAGCTTCATCGGATACCTCGCCAGAATCTACATCATCTTCAGCATTCTCGTCTGATATTTCATCGGCAACATCTCCTTTGTCAGAAGCCACCTCATCCTCCTCCTCTATACCATCCGCACAATTTTCCAAACCAGACTGCCTGGAACCAGCAGGCTCATCGGAGTAACCATTTTTTCTTAATAGGTCCCAGATCTCCTCTATAGCATCCGAATCATTGGACTGCTTCGGCTCATCAAAGCCACCTTGTAGGTATAACTTCCAGATTGAAGTTTCCGAATCATCAGGTCCGTCTCTATTCTCCCTATTAGCCTTATGTTCATCAGTTGAAGCTTCATCGGATACCTCGCCAGAATCCACGTCATCTTCAGAACTCTCGTCGGATGATTCATCGGAATCATTGCCTTCGTCAGAAGCCACCTCATCCTCCTCCTCTATACCATCCGAGCCATTTCCCGAACCGGACTGCTTGGAGCCAGCACGCTCATCGTAGCAACGACTTTTTCTGTATTGCTCCCAAATATCCGAATGGAATATTCTCTCCCTATCAGCCTTGTGTTCATCAGTTGAAGCTTCATCGGATACATCGTCAGAATCCACATCATCTTCAGAACTCTCGTCGGATGATTCATCGGAATCATTGCCTTCGTCAGAAGCCACCTCATCCTCCTCCTCTATACCATCCGAGCCATTTCCCGAACCGGACTGCTTGGAACCAGCACGCTCATCGTAGCAACGACTTTTTCTGTATTGCTCCCAAATATCCGAATGAAATATTCTCTCCCTATTAGCCTTGTGTTCATCAGTTGAAGCTTCATCGGATACATCGTCAGAATCCACATCATCTTCAGAACTCTCGTCGGATGATTCATCGGAGTCGTTGTCTTTGTCAGAAGCCACCTCAGCCTCCTCCTCTATACCATCCGAACCATTTCCTGAACCGGACTGTTTGGACTCATCGAAGCCACCAAGTTGCAGGTACAACTTCCAGATTGAAATTTCAGGTTCATTAGGTCTCTCTTTCATTTCAGCCAACCCTCTGCTAACACGGTTCGAATGTTGTTTGTATGTATTGAACAGTCTGTCTAGTGGAGATTCCTCTAAATCTTGCTCACTGATTAATGACTGGAGCATTTCATCTAGTTTATCTGTTCCATCTTCCTCTTGGGATTCTTCTGGTGGTTGGACAACTTTGCGAAGCTTCACCTGACCATCCATTCCAATCAAGGCGTCCATTTCCTGTCCGCTGGCATTCCATTGCTCAGTTCCATCGATTTCAGAGAATTGAAGTAGATTTTTGTAAGTCCTAATTGAAAAGAAATGAGCAATGAGTTCTGAAAAAAAGTCATTTAATTTCAAGAGTCAAGTTCGAAATGTCACACTTACGGTCTTTCTCATAATGCAACAGATTCCTGATTGGCGCTTTTCCCATCTTAATCTCAACCGAGCCCGAGTCCCAACCACGTATCGTCTTCGCCGGCACGCCATTTGTTCCATAGGATACTGTAATATCCCTTCCAGTCAGCTTGCAAGTTGAGGCTAGTGCCGGTTTATCCTCCAAATAAAGCTGCGCCTTTTTCTGATCGAAATGACAATCAGAGCATTTGAAGAGATCGAATTGAAGGGTCACTTCGTTGAATGTGTACTGCTGGGGCTTCTTGTCTTTTCGGTGGAATCCGAAATAGAAATCTCTCTTCATTTCTCGGCAATGTTCAATGTAGAACAAACGGAGATCATCATCCAATAGCAATTCGGGTCGTGGTTCCATATCCTGCATGTTGGAGTGAACTCTTACGTCCAACAATTCAACCAACGCGTAAAAGTCTCGATCAGAGTCGTATTTATACTTTCCGATGTATCCGTTCTCATCACTGAAGTATTCCATGACTCCTTCTCTTGAATACTTATAATCCTTGGTGATAGCCAAGGGGAGCAATGGCAGGAAGTTCCTGTCTCGATGAGTCCTTTGATATCCGATTCCTTGTGATCCGTGGCTGAACATGTTGTAAGTGTGGTTAATTTCAGTGCATTTCTTGCATTCGCAGTCGGATTCCAAGAAATACTGGGTCTCTGGGTTAAAACTATATGCGGCTAGCTTCTTAGTTTCTGGATATTTCAACATAAAAACTACGACTTCATTAGTTTCACTGCAGATGTCAGAGTAGAATGGGCGGAGCCATAGAAAGTTTGCAGTATCCATATCAACCAAATCATTAGGATTGCATTCATCCAGAATGTTCATAGTATAATGAATACCACTATGTGGATCGTAATCCTCGAACCTGCAGCAAGTGCATTGAACTCGACGGAGTTTACCGGTGGATTCATCTCTGGCGTACTTGAAAGTTCTTCCGTGCTTCAAATTTCGCGTCCAACGTGTCTGACTAAAAGCGACTGCTTTATGACGATCACAAAGCTTCTCGTGGTATGTATATAGGTCCGACACTCTGACGACTTGTGGTGCCGGTACAAAATTTACCAACTTTGTGTCGAATACATATTTCTGGTACTCTTCTGTAGGTGAGGTTCGCATAAGGACCACATCGCAGTTGAGATCCTTGTCGAATTGAGTGGCGTATTCTGGTCGAGCGGTCATTTTTTGAGCGTCTGAAAGAAACGAGAAATTAGAATTGGTGAATGGTGAATAGATTGCAACATTGGTTCAATTTTGATTTTGATGTTAAGACTTCTCTAGGTTTTAGCGCCATATTTGTTGTTTTCTCGACCTGCGAGCAGGATGAGCTTCCATAATAATCGAGATTTGAAAATCTCGGCGTATAGATAACTCATCAACTCCAGACCGCTATATACCTTCAAATCTGTAATAGAAGGGCCCCTGACTTTTAACTTTGAGCCAATTTTTCTCGGTTCTTTCAAAAGATATTTAAAAAATTTGCAACTGATAAATTGTTTATCATAACATCAGAATTGTTTTGTCAGTTTACACATTTTTGATAACTTGCATAGGAGCCAAGATAATTCAGCTCAAAATTGACAGTGCAAGAGTCTGTTATATTACAGGTTTTGCGGTATTCGTGTTTTTTGATTAACCGGAATTTTCAACATTTCCAGAATGTTTTCAGACTGAAGAAGTAGATTTTCGTAAGATGGGGAATTGAAAACAAAAAAAAATCTTAAACTAGAATTTTCAGAGGATGTGTGTCAAACATTTCAGTACAGTTTAGTTAACGTAACATTCAGAATATAGAACAAAAAATCTGACCCATAATACCAATCAGCCTTCAGACAGAAAAAATAACGTTCTTTAAAATTGTTGAAAAATTGATATTTGGCATTTTGAATGGTATAAGAAAGAATTTGGACTAACAATTTCTTACATAAATTACAAGTTCAATTACAAGTTCAAGTAAGTTCGAATCGTTTTCAGGCAAGAGATGGTTCATGAGATACTCTGTAATAGTGAGGTCCCCTCATTGTGAAGTTTGAGCTTGATTATCTCAATTATTATGAAAAATATGCAAAGTGTATCAACGGATAAAATGTTTGTCGTATTATGATGAACAATTTATCAGTGGACAACCTTTTCATATCTTTGACAGGAATCAAGATAAATTGGCTCAAAGTTAAAAGTTAGGTCTCTCTACTACAGGTGTTACGGTAAGCTACTCCGAAGTCAGTAAAAAAAATTTAGAACAAAATTTAGAACATCAATTCCGAGAAATTAGAAACAAAAAATTTTAGTCAAAAAGAAAAACTAGAATTTCAGGTCGAGAACTCAAAAAACGAGCAATCTATTTTTTTTAATTTGAATTTTCCCTAATTTTATGATGATGTTTTCAAATGATCAAAACTTTGAAACGTAACTTTCCCAAAAAAAAATTTTTAAGTTTCAAAATCACTTGCCGTTGAATCGAATTGAATTCCTTTCCACTCTCACTGACAGCTGGTGCAGGAAATTTTGGATTACGGTAGTTCTGAATTAGATATTGGATTAGAAGCTCAAAAATCAGAGCGAATTTCAGATAGGATTACTGTAGTTTCAAACTACTGGGAACTGAAAAAAAATAGGGATCAGAAACAGTGTTTTGTAAAGTTTTACTTTATTAACCAACCAGTAAGTAAAGTAAAAGAAATACAAAAAAAGAAAAAAAAAAGAAAAAAAGGACTTCAACAAATTTAAGAATTTACAGAAATGTACAAAATTGGGGACAGGGGAAAATCAGAAAAAAAAACTTTAGGGGTTTTCTTTTAATAGAGGGATTTATGGGTGGGGGGGGGGGGATTCGAAAAAGGGGAATTTTTAGGGATTTAGACTTAAAGTATATCGGAAAAACAAGTAGAAAAAATTGGATGGGAAGAAAGACTAGAATACCAGTAAGAGAAATATCAAAAGGTTTTACAATGTGAATATAGAAATACAGAAAAAAAACCTAAAAAGGAATTAGAAAAAAATACACCCCTAAGAAATAATACATGGTTTTTGGGCTGGTACCTCATCTTGATGTCCCTCTGGAGCATCCACGACATGCTCTACTTCGATCTCCGACACCATTGGTTGAGCAACTTCTGGCTCCGTGGACAATTGTTCAGCAGCATCCACATAAGTTGATTGGACCATCTCGGCAGCCGGAACATCATCATCCGAAGATTCCAAATCTTCATTCAAGTAGGAAATATCACTTCCAAGAGAACTCTCGACGTCTTGGTTCTCGACAGCAGTGGCGGTGGAGCTCACAATTGAGATGTCGTCCTCATCGACGTCTTCATCTTCTGGCTCAATAGCAGTGTTCACAGAGTCGGTCATGGATTCTAGAGTGTCTTCGATGATGATGGAAACGTCTTCTTCCTCTGGCTCGATAGCAGTGTTCACAGAGTCGGTCATGGAGTCTTCCTCTGGTTCAATGGCAGTGCGAACCGAGTCAGTCATCACTTCTGGAGCGTCATTGACCAGGGAGACGTCGTCTCCTGACACCTCTTCTGACCAAGCATCAACATCGGAGTCTCCAGATACATCTTCATCGGATACTTCTTCATCGGATACGTCGTCTTCTGATTCCTCATAGAAACTTGGATCAACTTCTTCCTCTTCGAGGGCAACTCTGGCAAATGGATCATTTCTTCCGTATGTATTACCAAAGGACGACATTGGGTAGTTCCATGTAATATCGGCTGGATTTAGGAAAACTGGAAACAACTCCTCAAGAGTTGGTGGTTCATATTGATAATTAATGAAAACCGGATTCTTCAAGGGTCCGCCTTGATTCTCTGGCTCGACAGCAGTGGCAACGGTATCGGACGCAGTCTCTGGAACGTCTTCCTCTGGTTCAGCAGTATGCACTGAATCGACCGTGTCCAAAGCTTTCACGAGATCATTGACGAAGCTGTCATCAGAAATTGGCCCATCAACAGCTACATTTTTCGATTGCTCATTGGCAAGCCATCGGTAGTAGGGATGCAAGTGATGCATTGGCTGGAATGCCTTCTCCAAAACTTCATTGATCTTCTGATTGGTTTTCACTGAAAATTTTTGAGAATTAATAATTGAAGAACATCTTTAAAAGTTTACCATCAGACTCTGGAATCTCCGCGTTCATCGAAGTTCGAACGATCGGCTCATATGGAGTGACTGGTTCTACGGGTGGTTGTGGTGTATATCCCACGGCTTCGTTGATGTATTCTGAAATAATTTTAAAATGAAAATATGGGTTTCTCTTACAAGAAACCTTACCTTCATACAAATAGTCTGCAAGGGTCTTTGTTGGTGGCTTCACTTCTTCCTGCTTTGGCTCCTCATGAAGCTCCTCCTGACCCTCCTCATCCTCGGAACACTCTTCCTCCTCATCCGAGCAATCTTCTTCTTCATCTGAGCAATCTTCCTCTTCATCAGAACACTCCTCATCATCATACTCCTCCTCATCCGAACAGTCTTCCTCATCAGACACCTCGGCTTCTGGCTCCTCCTCCACTGGATCCTCCTCCAACTTGTCATCTTGAATCATTGCAGACACTCTCTCCATCTCTTGTTTATAGCACACATTTTGAACGAACCGTTGAATCTCACGAAGTTTTTCTTGCTGATTCTCCTTGCTTGGCTGTTTTTCCACCTGCTCCACCTGCTCCTCCTCTTCCTCCTCATCTTCCTCTTCATCTGAGCAATCCTCCTCTTCCTCATCTGAGCAATCCTCTTCCTCACCTGAGCAATCTTCTTCGTCGGAGCAGTCCTCCTCATCGGAGCAGTCTTCCTCTTCATCCGAGTAGTCTTCTTTATCGGAGACCTCCTCTTCAGGTCGCTCTTGCTGCACTGGCTCTTGCTGCACTGGCTCTTGAAGTTGCACTTTTTGTTGTCCAGTACACTTGAGCTTCAGATTCATCTCCGACATCTCAATCATCTCTGGAGTCATCACCCGTATTGGCATTGGCTCTGGGACTGGCTCTGGGACTGGCTCTGGAACTGGCTCTGGCACCACCACTGGTTCTGCCACACGCTCTGGCATTGCTTCGTACACTGACTCTGGCACCGCCACTGGCTGTGCCACTCGATTTTCAAAAATAGACATCTTTGGCATTGCCTCATACTTGAAGGTGTCGATATTGAAAGCCACAGGGTTCAGCTTTCCGTACTTATCAGTAGTCATCATAATTGGCCATTTCGAGAAAGAGCACATCATTGGCATAATGGATCTCAATGGTTGAATGTGGTAGGCTTGATTGTTCTTGGTGCATTCCAAGCATTCTGTCCATGGGATCAATGATCCTTCCTCGTTGAACGTATAACACTGGATAGCTTCACATCTGGTACTGCTGGCAAAGAGGATGAACTTCATAATGTGAACGCAGAAGATTCGTTTCGTTGGGTACAAATCTCTATCAACTAGACCATTATGTGGAGCTTGGATTGGAAGTGGTACACGATCTCTGATAGAGCTTGGAATCTCTCTGACATTGGCGAATGACTGTCCGAGTTTTGATGGTTCCATGGACACGAATCCTTTGACATTGGCATCGAAACCAATCTTGATCAATCTTCCGGTATCAGTGGTCATGATCAAGTATGGGTAGCTCGACTTCTCAGTCTCCACTGGCATCACTGTCACAAAGTTGTCAACTTGCACTCCCTTTCGGTAATCTTGGCAGTAGATACAGTAGGCTTGACGATGGAATTGGCCACTGTCTGGGCTGAAGACGTAGTGATGGGTTGTTTCAGAGACAAGGTTGTAAGCGGTGATGTAGAAATGATGAGTATGTGGGCAATAGTTACGGTACTGTGGAACCAGGTCAAAGTCAGTTGAAATCCGTTCAAGACCTGTAAGCAAAAAAAGTATGTTTTTTTTTCGAAAATTTAGAATAACTCACGTTCAACAGACATCATATTCTTTCTCTTCTCACTTTCTTGCTTCAACTGTGCTTCGGAGATCAATTGATTCATGACAATCTCAGACTTCTTCCGATCTTCTTCGGCCATTCTGAGTTGCTCTCGCTCTCTCTCCTCCATGTCCCGAACAGTTTGCTCCAATCTTTCACATCTCTCAGCCATCTTCTTATTTGCGTCAATCAACGATAGCGTTTCTCTGTGTTTCTTTTTCAACTTCATTTCGAGATACATGATTTCAGATTCTTCGTTTCTGGAAGCGGTTCGGAAGACATCAACTTGGTATCCGATTGCTTTTGGTGCTTTCTCATCCTCTTTCAGAATTTCGAATGGCATCATTGGTCCCATTTTATGATTTCCAGATATGGTTCCAGTCTTGATTATTCTACCCTCCTCATTTGTCGCCAAGATGATACCAACTCGGCTGTACGGGGTCGTTGTTCCGATGATAACTCTTTCTGGTCCTAACGACTTTCCGTGCAGATTTTCACATTCATCACATCCTGGATGCTCGCGAATATGTCCACTTTCAGCGTGATAGATGTATGTTCCAGTAGTATGTGAGAAATAATTGTAGGCTTTGATGATGAACTCTCCTGTGTGCACGCATTTAGTCATCATTTTTGGAGCCAAATCCCAATCCAGAGCATATCTCTCCGATTTCGACGCTTCTTTGCAGTTCTCCTCCAATTCAGCAAGATCCTTCTCGTAGATCTTGTATTGCATTGTCTCGTATTGAAAGTAGAATGGTTTTACAGATCCATCCATGAAAATGGCGGTTCCAATGGAAGTGGTGGTATCTAGGGATGTGCGGAAACGACGGATCACCCAGGCTTCGTGTTCTTTGGCAATGAGAAGTTGGACCATAAGTGGAGTGGAAGATACAGCCATTTCACGACGAGCAACGATTTCTGGAAAGAATAATATAGTTAGAGTAATCTTACAGTAACCTTGAATTTTTAAGTTCTACAGAAATCTTGGAATATTAAGTTCTAGAGTAATTTTGAAACTTGAATTTCTACAGTGATCATGGAACTTGAATTTCTCAGTAATACTGGGACATGGAATTCTACAGTAATCATTGAAACGAATTCTACAGTAACCTAACAATTAGATCTTGAAATTGATATTCCACAATAACCTTGGAAATTGATATTCTACAGTAATCTTGGAAATTGAACTTCTACAGTAATATTTGAAATTGAAATTCTACAGTAATACTGGGACATGGAATCCTACAGTAATCTTTGAACTGAAGTCTACAGTAACCTAACAATTAGATCTTGGAATTCTACAGTAATCTTGAAAATTGAAATTCTACAGTAATCTTGGAATGTGAAATTATTCAGTAATCTGAATATCAGAAAGCAAAAATGACAAGAGAAGTTAAGACTATTTCGAATCTTAATTTTTTCTTTAAAATCCAAAATCTCAAAATAATTGTTTTTAAAAAAATCGGTTAACTCAAGGGGTCCTTATGTACAGTAATCCCTAGATGATGCAATCGATATTACAGTAAACTACAGTACTCATCATGCCCCCCTCAACTCATTATCTACAGTAACCCCTTTTTATACTCACCATATGGCTCGAAGTTGGAATCAATGCGAATCGGCGACGGCTTCATGACAATAAGCTCCTGATTGTGTGTGATCAAATGTTCTCGAGGGTTCCCTTTCTCGTACTCTTATGGATGCTGACTGGGTATTGTTCGCGGCACATGAATACGTGGCAATTGGATTGGACATGGGATTGAAGTCGTCGTATGAGTATGTACAGCATGGGCATTTTACAAGAGCAAATTGGAGATTGGTGGAATCGAAAACGTACTTCTGAGTCTCTCCATCATTGATATGCCAGCAGAAATAGATCTTATCACGAAGAGAAGAACAGTTCTTAGTGTTCAGAAGATAAAGTTCATTGTCATACAAAACTTCAGCGGTCTCATGTTCGATTTCACTTGGATAGCGATGGCTCATAGTTCTCACTTCCAACTGTTCAACCAAGTCATGACATTCACATGCCTCGTTCCACTCATACTTTCCGATATCTCCGTCCGAATCAACGAAATGCTCGATTCTCCCATGCTCGGTGTTGTACCAGGTGATGTCAAGAGCCATCAAACGACGTCCCATTTGGTCACGATGAGTTCTTGAGTAGTGTTGACCTTGAGATCCGAAGTCGAAGGCAGCTGGAGAAATGCCATCCCAGTTTCGAATCTCCATGCAGCAGTCAGCATCGCAGATAGATCTGACAAACTTTTGGTTGCCAGCGTCGAAGTTGAAAACAACAAGACGCGAGACGTCAGGGAAGACGGAAGCGAAAACCGCCATCTTCGAAGTCACCTCACAGAACTTGGAGAAGACTGGTTGAATCCAGAGATAGCTGAAGTCGGAGTCATCAACCATCTCATCCAGATTCATTCCAGCCAACAGTTGGGCATCCGGATCGACCTTGTTGTCAGCCTCGACGAAGTCGCAGCAGAGACATTGGACACGAGTCCATGGGTTGGTCATATCGCGTGCCGTGTACTTGTACACCTTTCCACCATACTTGTTGTTACGACAGAACCAGATTGTGATATGACGTTCGCAGTCCTTTTGGTAGATTGGAATAAGGTCACGTTCATAAACGCGAATTGGGTCACCGGCAGCTTCGAAAGTCTTGAACTTGAGGTTGTAGGTGAACTTCATGATCTCTCCGGTATCCTTAGAACGAACTTCGACGACATGCTTCTTGAGCTCCGGATCATACCTTGCTTTGAATGGAGTCGGTGGCGCCATTCTCGTTGAACTCTTCCTTGGAATTCTTGATGAAGAAAATCAAAAAATTCCAAAACGGTTAAAGCGAGTTGGTTGGTTATAGCCACGCGGGTTGGTTGGTTAGAGAGATAGACACTCGGGCTGGGAAGCAAGAAGAGACCTCGGTTGGTAGAGATCTGAAAAAAGGAAAATAGTAATTTGTAAAAAAATAGAATCGATCGAAAAATTGTACGAGAGAGAAGCAAATTATGAGCGAGAAAGGATAGACAAATAAAGGAGAAGAGAAGACAAAGATGCATAATGAAGATAGATAAGATAAGATAGGAGATGGTATGCAAATGCGCTCAATAGTGAGATAAGAAAAGAAAATAGGAATACCGTAGGCAAGTAGGATTACTGCTTTATTGCTAGAACTACTGTAGCTTACCACTAAGGAGTACTGTAGCGCAAATATTACTATACCCTTGGTTTAAAAGTGCATACACTTAAAGCTACTGTAGCGTACTTTAGATAACATACATGAACAGAAGGAATGAAAACTTGCATTGGTATTTTTGTAGGATTACTGTAAGATGGCTCTGGAGCTGATAAACATGGATGCTGTAACTTGACACAACTGTGGCTAGGCTCTATAGTAAAATAAGAATATTATATGGGAATACTGTAGCGCAAGGATAACTGTAAAAAACATTGAGAGGGGAAGTAGGACTAATAGAAAATCGCCTTAGGATTGTTGAAGTATTACTCTAAGATAGCTCTGCCGGATTACTGTAACTAGGATTACTAGCTACTAGTAGCTAGATTGTAGCTAGGAATACTGTAGCGTGCCAATACTGTACGAGATATACTTATTGAGAATAAAAATGGGAGCAACTGATGTATATTAAATTTGAACAAGCTTTGAGATTGTTGTAGATAACATTACTGTAGATGGCTCTGCAGGTACTAAACTAATAATGATGTATCATGACACTTCTAAGAGTTATATAGTCTACATTTAATCCTCGGGACTGCTCAAGCTTGACACTACCGTAAACGCCTAATCACTACTTAAAACTCACCTTTTCACTGTCAATCTCAAAGACTCATGCCGATTTGGCAAATAATTCAAACGCGCTCTACTGTAAACACCTTATGGCACCCTTAAGGGATTAATAAGCGGCGCACCGAAAACGAGTCAACAGGGTGTCAAGAGCAAAGCCGCCGACGACAACTGTGCTACAGTAGTCCGCAAGGCGGATACTTGAAAGAATTGCGCAACGCAGAGAGGGTGTCAGAGGATTAAGGTACGCTCTAGTGAACTTTGGTCAGATCAAATTGGAGAGAATGTTATCAGTATGTTGTTGTCTGGAGACGTAAAAGTAAACAGCATAAAAGTTTTGGAAAGGATACTGTAGATTGGAGGAGGAGAAAGAAAGCAATTTGGAAAACGAGAGGATGGATGGAAAAAAAATAAAAGAAAATAAAATCTTTGGATTGGTTCGAATATGGAGTTTTGGAGGTACAGTAACTGTCAACCACTCACAAAAAACCATATTACACAAACGTAATCCAGAAGACAAGGTAGTAAAGAATACAGCACATCTGAATGAATGAATCGACTCGACGAAGACGACGTTACGTGTCTTCAGGCCACGCCTTCAACAAGGCGGACCATAACGACCCGCCCCTCCGTCTCTATCCAGGCTAGAGACGTTTTGTGTGGTAGACATCAAGAAAAAGGGGGGACAGATCAAGAGAATCGAGAGGATCAGACAAACGAAAACGCAGAGTGCACAGGGAGGAATGGTGGTCCGTGATGGTGGGTGAGGTATCGACCGAACGGGAGAAGAAATGGTGAATATGAGGCAGAAACAGAGGTCAACAGGGACATTTCATCGTTGTTGTGCATTTGAAGAGATGGTGAGAGATAATTGAAGAGGAGGAGACGCAGAGAAAACTGCGAGAGAGATTATATGATGAAGTGGTAGTAGTATTGGCGGTGATTGTTTGAATGAGAATGAGTAAGAGAGATATGGAAGTAACATTTAGAGTGATCTGGTAACTGGAAAAAATAAGGCCAACTTCACAGAACCGCAACAGAAACTACCGTTAATCCTCCAATAGAATGTCGCTAAACTTTGAGCTCAATTATCTCGGTTCCTGTTAAAGTTATCAAAAAGTGCTAAATTGACAAACTATTTTTCATAAAATCACCAATATTTCATCATTTAGTTATTTTTTGATATCTTTCACAGGATCCGAGATAATTGAGTTCAAAGTTGAAAGCTAGGGAATCAGTAGTGTTTACGGTATGTCGCTTGGAACCTCAAAAAAGTTCTTGAAGTTAGCAATGACTATAATAAAGTGATTTTCTTTCTATTTGGATCCCAATTTACAAAATTTATCATGTGAAAAATTTCCTAAATTCTATAAAACTGGAAAATTTTAGATCTATCGAACACCTCCAAAAATCCCAAATAACCATCTCCCTTCCTGAAAACAATTCAACATCCGGAATCAGCTTATTTCTACTGTAATCAATTTTCACTGTTTGAAATTGTCATTTTTCTGTTAGAATGTCTTCAATACCTGATCAAAGTCCACTCTCAACTAAATCTACATCACACACCAAAGGAAAAATACACCCTTAAAAGGGAATACAGGTCTTCGGTCAAATTTGTTTATTCAGATCGGGTGATGAAACCCCGAAAAAAGATAGAAAATGAGTAGCTGAAGGATAGTGATTGTATGTGGTCAAGTATAGTTTACTTTGATTTTTGAAGGTATCTTATACTCTGTATTGGTTCGATGATTGATTGTTTGAACATGGGATAGAGCCGAGATAAAAGGTCTAATTACCGTAAATCCTGCTCGGGCGCCGCCGGAGACTTTCGCTCAAAGGTTAGTCTTCCGGATAAGACCGCTGATAAAGCCTATAAAACTCGGAGAAACTGATGGCAAGGTTCCAACCTGATAGTATGTCTGATTTCAACAGAACTTGGAATATGGTCCGTTATACAGTCGGTTTTGGGCCAGTTACGACCAAGAAGCTTTGGGAACCAAACACTTGTAATTTGAGCTCAATTATCTCAATTGCTGTGAAAGATAGAAAAAATCTGTCAACTGATAAAATACTGGTGATATTATGATAAACATTTTATTAATTAGCAGATATTTTATATCGTTCACAGCAATTGAGATAATTGAGCTCAAGGTTGACGGTTCAGGCGGGCTTCTACCGGAAAACACTTTGCTCTTCTACCATTGTTCGATAATTTCTGTGTCAAACTCCTAAACCATTAAGCCTATTTAGTTTTCACACCTGTCCATCTTCCCGTTTCCTATTCCAACATCACAATTACCCTCATAATTACTGTAGTTCTCATGCGACTCAACGTGCAGATTAGCACATGTAATTCAAGAGCCATAGCACCCCTGTTGCATAATCCATCATACATATCTCATTTTCCAATCCCTCAATCTCCTCTTCATTGTATTCCAATCGCAAAAACGCCTCATCGGAATGCCATAAGGCTCTTTTTGTAGGTCAAGGTCCCCCCTTTTGCCACGTCATTCGGTCCCATTATCGCCCACTGTAATCTTTGTTTAGCACAGGAGGGGGTACTGTGGTGTGTGTGTGCATAGGGGAAGGTCGGTTTCTGGGAAAGTGCGGTCCCTTCGGATTGTAATCGAAAATTCTTGTAGGTGCATGTTGGTTTGGTTTTATCTTGATTTTTTGGCGGTTTATGAGAAACAGCTTGGAAGATTTTGTACCAAGATTAGACACACGGCATTGGAAACCTCGATTTGAAAATTGGCACTGAGCCAAATTTTTAGACGGTCGTATCATTTTGGCTCTGTGAAAATCTGTGAGTTCGCTAAAAATCGAAAATTCCGACTTCAAACTTTATTTTTAAATTAACTGGGAAATAGTATACAATTTTTGTGGGGTTTTTCCAAGCTGGAAAAGCGGAGATTTCAGAAACAAAGCGATAGAAAATTAGCATTGAGTATCTGAAAAACTTCACATTTTTCAGAAATACTTTACAATAAAAATAAAGGAGACTTAATTTTTTGGGTTTCAGGAATTTTTTTAGGGATTAACGAATTTTCCGGGCTCTTAAGATTATATATATATATTTTTTTTTTGGTCCACTAGTAATTTTTGGGGGTCAGTCGGTATTCGCAAAAAAAGAACGGGTATAGATGAGACAAGATACGAAGAAACTCAAGATACAAAAAGAGATATACGATTACTCTTTCGGGAGCTCTGCGGCGGATACGATCTCAAAGGAATCCTCTTCCTCTGAAGCTTTTTCGGTGTCAGGTGCCTTGGATTGCTCAGCAGGCTTGGGCTCAGCAGGTGCCGATGGTTGGTTTGAAATGAAGAATTCGCATGGGAGATATTGCACTTCCGGTGCTGGAAAAATTAGAATTTTGAAAAATAGGGGAAACATATAGAATTTTTTCAAAATAGGAGGTTTGTAGATTAATTAGAATCAATGTCCGTAATTCCTCGAAAGAAGAACCCTTAGTTTTCGACCTTGAGCTCATGTATCTCGTTTCCGGTGGAAGATATCAAAAATCTGTCAACTGATAAAATGTTAATCATAATATTACCAATATTTTTTCAGTTGGCCACTTTTTGATATCTCTCATAGCAACCGAGATAATTGAGCTCAAAGTGGGCAAGTATGGTGGTGAAGCAATTAGCCGACAGCACGATCGAGTTTAAGCTTAATTATCTCGGCTCCTATGAGGGATATCGAAATTTTGATAACTGATAAAATTCTTATCATAACATTTCCTTTATTTTATCAGTTGGCAAATTTTGGATATCTTGCATCAGAATCGAGATGATTGACCTCGAAGTTCTAGAGCCCATAGTGACAAAGACTAACTTTTGGACTTCTTTTTGTCGCCTTTTGATTTCATGACGGATTCGCTCGGAAGTTCGCGGATTTCAGACTCTGGAAAATAGGAATTTATGGATTTTTTTAACTATGCAGAGGAAAATATCATAAGAAGGAAACGCTGTGAATTGGATTCCAAGCAAAATGGAAATACAAGTGGTAAGCTGAGTAGAGGCAGAGAAAAAGAGAAATGCGTGAATTCGTGAGCGTGAGCGTGAGCGACGGCGCCGAGGATAGAAAGGAGATAATGGAGAGTGGGAGAGATGCAGAAGATGTGAAGAAATCGAGAAAGGACGAATTGGGCATAGAGGAAAACATCAAGAGTAGGAGCTAAAGGAAATGGAAGGCAAGCTTTGAAAAGGGTTGTGGCTTTTAAGTTACTTCTGGGATAGGATGTCACCAAAACTAACCATCTCCAGAACTTTCAGAACATCTCTCTTCCTTCTCTTCTCCATCCTGAATCTTCATGAATGGTCTGATTTTTTCGATGAATCGCCGATCCCATTCATTAATACGGCTTTCTATAGCGTCCTTCAACAACTTGTCAAGTTGGGACACTTTCTGAATGACTGGAGCATCTTCCATCAACTCAAACGCCTTCTCCACACGACGATAAATGTACTTCTGAATTCCAGGAACACCATAGGTATGCTGTAGATTGATTCCTTCCTGCGTCTTGGTGCTCATGACCAATCCAATGCAACGGGGCAATGGGTTAAATGGGCAAATGGCGGGCTTGAAAACATCGATACCCGGAAGAACGACTTCCAAGAATTCATGAGAAAATCGATGGAAGACGTATGATCCGTATTCTCCGGTGTCTTTGTGTTTGGCAAGAATGATCATCGCATTTGGCAGTGCTTCATGGAGTTCACGGTGTAGTGGGATCAGATCGGATTCCATTAGCGGGGAGTCTTCTAAAGAAAGACTGGTAAAGAGATTTTGGAAGCCAAGTGGTTTTTGGACTTCTGGAAAAGAGGGAACTTCTTGTTTTTCAGGTTCTATAAATCAGATTTTTAAACTTCCGCCCGTAGGGAGACATCCTCTACCCTGTATAGCGGATCCCGCAAGGCCATTCGAACCTCTAAGTTTGAGCTCCTATATCTCGGTTCTTGTAAAAGATATCAAAAAGTGGTCAACTGATGAAATGTTTATCAAAATGTCAGCAATGTTTTGTCAGTTGACACATTTTTGATATATTTTATAGGAAACGAGATAATCGGTTTAAAGTGCGCGCGGCTCGGTTGGGGTTGCGCAATGTCAGCTTATCGCGTCACTACCTTACTTGCCCTTCTAGCTCAATAATCTCAATTTCTGCAAGAGATAACAAAAACCTGACAACTGATAACCGTTGATAATAATATGATAAACATTTTGTCAATTGACAGTTGTTTGATATCTGTTAAAGGGAATGAGATAATTGAGGTCAGAGTGTGCACGTATGGTGGTGACGAAATCAGCCGACAGCGTGCGGCGCGCGCATTTAAGCCTATTTATCTTAGTTCCTATCAAAGATACTGTAAATCTGTCAACTTACAAAATATTTATCATAACATCAGCAACATTTTATTGGTTGAAACAGTTTTGATATCTTTCACATGAACCGAGATAAATTGGCTTAAAGTCGACAGCTTGGGTGGCCTTCTATTAGGGTGTTCATGATCTTTTCTGTAAGCTTATGTCTCTCTATTTTAAGCTTATGTTTATCCACTTTTTGATCTTATTTCCATCTTTTTTTTGTTTGCCAAATATGTCATCTAACAACCGTTGCTATGAGTGAAAATACTCTTCACACCCTGCCTTCTCTCCAATGTGTGAGTAGAAGATGCAAGCGGATTCTACACGGGGTCAGCGAATCTCTCAGAGAGACGCAGAGTTTCTACTCTTTTCTTCTGATTCTCTAGGCAAAAGATGAGAGAATGGCATCCTGCCTAGAACACAGCAAGACCTAGCGAGTCATGTGTTCAGCAGTCTCTCTCTTTTTGCGCTCTCTTGATCTTTAGTACTCCCTCACCCCTAATTTTTTGAGGGGTCACTGGTGACCGTGTAGAAAAAGGACCTGTTGTTGGAAATGATTTATGAGGAGATTCAGAAGACGTGTCATGCCAGACTTAGAAGGACAGAGTCTGATGGATAGGGCTCATATTTTTTGGACATTGAGATAACATTGACTCAAAGACATTTCCAAAAAACAGAAGTCACAAATTATGATGGGGTAATTGGTTGGGAGGATATTTTTGTTTTTTCGGTTCATTCCAGCCATTTTCAGCCCTAAAAAAATTTAAAATTTGGTTTTAAGACACGTTCTCTGTAGAACTCAACTTCAAGCCTATTGTCCACTGTACAGAAAAATTCAAACTAGTTTTTATGGGTTGATATTATATATTTTGAAAGTTAAGACACTTTTAAAATAAAAAATGTACATTTGGTTCGCACCCACCCTGCATGGTGACTAACTTCGGTCAAAAAATGAAAATTTTTCTCGATGGAGATAATGATTGGATTCAACCTAGAATAAATTATTCTTCCGATTCTGAACATTTTTTGTGTTGAAACAAAAATTCTAACTCGTTTCCTTTAAGCTGAAAATTTTCATTTTTGATCCGATTTTGCAAAAAATGACTGTAAATCCGTCGTCGTGAAAAATTTTAACATTACTGCAAAAAAGATAAAATCAGATTCAAAACCAGCTTAAAAAATGACACTGGAAAATGTTTCGGTGAGTCCGCATATCCTGGGTATAAGACCAGTTTTAGGCCAAAAAGTGCGAAAAAATGAGCTTTCACCATGTGGGGGAGTACATGGCACCTAAATTTCGCCCAAATTGACCCTCTCCAATTTTGATGAAATTTGGACCAGATGTAGTATTTTTAATGGTTAGTATTCTGACAAGTTGCAAATTTTTAATGGTTAGTTTCTGGCAAAGTTTCAAAATTCGATCTTACCGTCTTCGTGCATTTTTTGCAGGTCTTGGTTTTTCACTGAAAATGGACTTGGAAGCAATTTTTGCCGCTTTTTTGGTGCTTCTAGAAATGCACGAAGACGGTGCGATCGAATTTTGAAACTTTGCCAGAATACTACCCCTCAAAAATACTACATCTGGTCCAAATTTCATCAAAATTGGAGAGGGTCGATTTTGGGCGAAATTTAGGTGCCATGTACTCCCCCACATGGTGAAAGCTCATTTTTTCGCACTTTTTGGCCTAAAACTGGTTTCATACCCAGGATATGCAAACTCACCAAAACATTTTCCAGTGTCATTTTTTAAGCTGGTTTTGAATCTGATTTTATCTTTTTTGCAGTAATGTTAAAATTTTTCACGACGACGGATTTTCAGTCATTTTTTGCAAAATCGGATCAAAAATGAAAATTTTCAGCTTAAAGGAAACGAGTTAGAATTTTTGTTTCAACACAAAAAATGTTCAGAATCGGAAGAATAATTTATTCTAGGTTGAATCCAATCATTATCTCCATCGAGAAAAATTTTCATTTTTTGACCGAAGTTAGTCACCATGCAGGGTGGGTGCGAACCAAATGTACATTTTTTATTTTAAAAGTGTCTTAACTTTCAAAATATATAATATCAACCCATAAAAACTAGTTTGAATTTTTCTGTACAGTGGACAATAGGCTTGAAGTTGAGTTCTACAGAGAACGTGTCTTAAAACCAAATTTTAAATTTTTTAGGGCTGAAAATGGCTGGAATGAACCGAAAAAACAAATCAAAGCTAGCTTAAATAACTAAAAGTGACCTAAAATTTATCGAAAACAGTAAGCTTGTGCAAAAAAAACTATAAATGTAGACCTATATTATTTTGATAAAATCTGAAATTTCCAGAATAGTTGAGTCAGCTTGTTTGCAATTTTTCACTAATATTGACTACAGTATTCCCTCCAATAGAAGCCCACCCAAACCGTCAACTTTGAGCTCAATTATCTCGGGTCCTATGAGAGATATTTGAAAACTGTCCACTACAAAAATATTGGTGATATTATGATAAACGATTCATCAGTTGACCACTTTTTGATACCTTTCAGAAGAATTTTGATAATTGAGCTCAAAGAGTGCGAGTATGCTGACGCAATCAGACGGCAGCGCGCAGCGCTGACCGAACTTTGAGCTCAATTATCTCGGTGAATATGAGAAATATTGAAAATATGTCTACTGATAAAATATGTGTGATATTATGATTTAAAATTTATCAGTCGAGATTGTTTTGATTTCTTTTAAAGGAACTGATATAGGCTCAAAGTTGATGACAATTTCCAACCTGTTTGTGAATTCTCAACTTAAACCCTCCTTGTCTCTCCCACCAGATGTTTTCTCTAATCCCAAGCCTTCTTCCCGATCTTAACGAACCTTTCTCAACAACAGCTGGTCTTGTGGTCAACGCGTTGATCTCCGACGCAGCAATTATAACATAGGTTTCCTTGTTGATATCCCACTGCATCTTCTGCACACGTCCTTCACTGTTCATCCGAATTAGAAACGGCTTCTTGGAGCTTGGCGAGCACGCCATGATTATGTTCCTATTTTCATTGTCATCCTCATCCAGTTTGCAATCCAGACAACGGATCTCGCAGAAACTATTAGTTTCATGCATAAAATGATACTGAAGAACTTGTTTCAAAACATGGTTGTAGGCGAAAAGGATATTTTGCTGATTGTGGGGACACCAGGCGGCTTGCCGGGGTGTTAGGTCACTGTCCATTTGAGTGGCAATACAATCCTGACATTTCACTGGGAAGAATCTCTTCTGAATTGCGTTGAACGAATAGTTCTCGAAATCTCCACTGGGATACTTGACAACAGTCACTTGTTGAAGGGTCTCCAGACAGTAGACGGTTTTGAATACCAAGTCGGCTGGCATGATGCTAGAATTATTTAAGATATTTTTTAGGTTCGGATGAGAGGTTAGAAAATAAGAATCAAGAAATGAGGGTCAACAATCGCACTATATTGACTCAAGCGAGTTTATTTTTTGCGCGATGTATGTGACGCCATCGGGGTTCGTTTGATGACATTAAACAGCTGAGAACGGAGAAAAAAAGAAGATAGAAAGGATAAGACATCATAAGAGTTTTATAAAACTGCAAAAACTTAAGAACATATTCAGATAAATGGAATTACTCTAAAATCAAACATATCGTATTTGCTCTAATAGAAGGCTACCCAATACTTGAACTTTGAGCTCAATTATCTCTGTGTTCTATAAGAGATATCAAAAATGTGTCAACTGACAAAATATTAGTGATAATATGATAAACAATTTATCAGTTGACAAATGTTTGATGTCTCTTGTAGGAATCGAGATAATTGAGCTAAAAGTGAGCAAGAATGGTGGTGACGCGAGCAGCCGACATGAACTGCGCACAATTTCAGCCCAATTATCTTTAGCCCAATTGTTAGTTTCTGTGAGAGATAGCAAAAACTTGTTAATTGATAAAATGTTTATCATAGTATCACCAACATTTTATCAGTTAACAAAATGTTGATATCTTTCACAGGAACCGAGATGATTGAGCTCAACGCGTGCAAGCATGGTTACGCAATCAGCCGACAGCGCACAGGGCCAATTATCTCTGCTTATATGGGAGGTTTCAAAAATCTGTCAACTGCTAAAACGTTCATCATATTATCAGCAACATTTTATTAGTTAAAAAATTTGTGATACCTCTCACAGGAACCGAGACAATTGAGATCGAAGTTCAAGCATTGGGTGGGCTTCTATGGGAGCAACTACTGATACTTCCGACTACGGTACCTAGCATTGTATGGTTTTTATCGTTAATTTTGTAGGTTTCAAAAATTGAACATCTCATACTAGTACTGGAACGTCACCTATACAAAATCAAGAAGAAAAAAAGGCAGATTCGTCGAATGCGAATGGTGTCTTTGGGAGCGCCGTCCCGCGGCGGACCTTCCAAAAGAGGGAAAAAGACGCAGAGAAATGGATGCCAAGATGCCGAGATGGAAATATAACTTGTAAGCTAGATAAAGCCAGAGAAAAAGAGAAATGAGCGTGAGCGGTGGCGCGGAGACTGCAAGGAAGCTAATGGAAAGTGGGAGAGATGCAGAGAAATTGGAAGAGGAGAAAAAACGAAAAAAAAAAATTGGGCATAAAGGAAACAGTCCTAACTTTGAGTCACTTTATCTCGGTAACTGTTAAAGTTATGGAAAAACTATCAACTAGTAAAATGTTTATCATAATATCAGAAATATTTTATCTGTTGATAGATTTTCAATATATTTTATAGGAACCGAGATAATTGGGCTCCAACATCGCGTCGGCGCCGCGCGCTGACGACTGATCGAGTCACCACCATACGTGAACACTTTGAGCTCAATTATCTTGGTCCCTGTTGAAGAAGCTGACTGTTTGGGTAGCGTTCTATAATATTAGAGTGTTTACAGTAGCTGATCTTGATTCATACTAAAATCTTCATTTCTCAAAAAATCTAATCTAAAATAAAGTTCACACTCCCTCGCTCTTCTCCGTCGGCGTCGCCGTCTTCTTTCTCTGAAAGATGCTCAACATCGAGAAACCAGTTGGAGCGTCCACAGAAGACGACGACGTCGTCTGCTGATGCTTCTTTTTCTTCTTGCCACCAGTGGAAATATTCGAGCACGTGGAATTGGATTGACTTTTGGATGCATTCTGCACACGATTGAAGCTTGTCATTCGGGCACGAACTGGCTTCTTAGTTTTGCGTCTGAAATTCAAGTTCTTGAAATTTTCTACAGTAATCCAAGCTAAATCTTACATTCCCTCTTCATCGGTATTCAAGAGTGACTTTTTCTGCTGCAATGGAACTTCCCCGAAATTGGGTGTGACAACGGGGTGGGACATGTGAGGGAGAATATTGATGACCTGATTCTGATTCTTGGATCCTTCTAGCTCCACTTTTGTCACTTTCCCGCCACCAGGAAGTTCAAAGTAGCTATTGGACATGGGTGCTTGCTCAAAACCATCAAGATTGGGAAGCTCACGAACCACTTCCAACATCGTGACACGTTCTTGTTCGGTGCCTGCACAGATACGGTCTGTGACATACTTCACCACCGCCGCTGCTACTCCTTTAGCCTCAAATGGCATCCGATATCCCTCCTGAACCTTCGGCAACACCTCAGCCACTTTCATCCCTGGATACGGTTCTGTCCCATCATGATACACCTCCCAGCACATGATTCCATACGCGAAGACGTCGGTTTTAGGAGTATAAAATCCAGTACGTGGCACTTCTGGAGCCAGCCATCTGATTGGAACTTTTTTATGGGGATTCAATCGATAACTGGATCCTTCTCGAGACAATCCAAAGTCGGATATTTTGACCTGTCCACCGCCATAAAGACAATTTCTAGACGCAATATCTCTATGGATGATATTGAGATAATGAAGGTATTCTAGTCCCAGAGCAGCTTGAAGAATCATATCGTTCTTCTTTGAAATAGGCAAATTGCCAATGTTCTTTTTCAGGTAAGAATCAAGGGCCCCGTTTTCAGCCTGCAAAAAAAATGTTGAACTACAAACTACAATCCACAATTCCTCACCAATTCCATAATAACCATCAATGGTTCTTGACCAGCAGCCACTCCATAAAAAGTAACAACATTGGGATGTTTGAATTTTCTCATCAGCCTAGCTTCATGCATGATTTCCTTGATTTGCTCCTTCGTCAACGCCTCCAGCTTTGCCAATTTTATAGCAGCCTTTTTGACCGTATTCCCAATACGGATCTCGCCCAATTGTACCTCTCCGAATGCTCCTTCTCCTAGCTTCTTGAGTAGGGTAACATCGGAATGTTGCTTTTCCCATGGCTCTCGGCCGATCGGACGGATTAGGACTGATTCTTGGCACCCGATGGCCACTGGTTCCTTCGTTCGATGGTGGTAGTTCAGAAGATCAGGAATCGTCGCAAACCACTTTGCATCCACAGCAAACTTGTTCTCGTACTCTCGAATCACGTAGTGACGGATCTAAGGATCAGATTTCAGAATATTCAACACCAAACAAGAACTCACATCATCAGCGACTCCAACATAAACGGAAAGCACAAACTTCCTCGGTTCTCCAACTTTCGGATCCGTGAATCTCACCAAAAAATCACCCCGCTGGGTCAACAACACTTTCATATCCTCTCTGGGCAACAATCCATGGTACCATGGTTCATTGGCAAGCGTTTGTTCATGGGTACGTGGCTGACTCATTGCTCTGAAAATCGAGGATCGAAGAGGATTTTTCTGAAAACTTACTTACAATTCACCTGAAACGTTCTGCCGATATCAATGGGATTTTCGATTCGGTTGATTTTGAGAACTGATTTCTTATATGGGGAGGCGGTTGGTTTGATAATATCATGAGGAGAAAAAATGGAGCACTTTTTTCGGACGCGAAACATTTTTAACGTAAGAGCAAGGCTGTGCCACGGCCAACACTTTGAATAGGGTACTTCTGGCTTAGGTAGGGAAGGCCGGCCTATTTTGAAAACGGTCTAACAGAGCCTCAAAAACGGATAAAAATGGTCCGACGCGGCTCAAAATAGGTCTAAAGCGGCTCGAAAATAATGGTTTTAAAACAGCCAAAAAGCCGCTCAAAACGGTTCAAAAATGGTCCAGAAACTGTTTTAAAACAAATCAAAACGGCTAAAAAACAGTCCAAAGACGGTTCAAAAAATGATTCAAAAACAGATCAAACACGTTCAAAAAAACGGCTCAAAAACGGCTCAAAAACGACTCAAGAACGGACCAATACATATAACTTGAAAACGGCTCAAAAGCGGACCAAAACGACTCAAAGGCGGTCCACAAACCCACAGTATCTAAAATCCGAAAGTTGAACATTTTTAGATTTCTAGATTCTTGAAGACAGCCTTCGGTAAGAGCTTAATGCAAATTGAGTCAGAATTTTTTCCAAAGAAGTAGACAATGAACTTTTTATTTAGAATAGTTGAACCCAAATACATTTTAACAAATTGATTTTATTGCTTGATACAGGTCAATGAATCCAGTGAGAGTTCCATATCAATTGGTATGAAGAGTCCCTCTCTGATCCATTGTCCGTCTTGACAAAAGGCAGGCGTAACGGTTGGATTTGGGTAGGACTGAAAAATTAAAAACAATTAAAGACCATAAACTAAATAATTGAAATACTCTTGGATCGAATTTGATGGTACTGGTACTGATATTGAAACTGGCCACTTTGAAATCATCTGGACAGACAACTCGGATTTCATCACACTCAGCAGATCCGTAGGTCACAACTGGAGCCTGAATTGTGGCTGAACTGAATTCAGCATACACATCTGGATGCTCCTTCTGGAGCCAGGCAGCGTCGAACGTTTGGCGTCTCGCGCAGCCGCATTCTCAAAAGAAATATACCTAGTCAACTTTGTACTCCAATATCTCCTTTTCTGTGAATGATATCAAAAAATGGACAACTGACAAAATGTTTATCATAATATCAAATACATTTTGTCAGTTGAGCACTTTTTGATACCATTCACAGGAATCGAGATAAATTGACTCAAGAGGCATTACCATTCAGAAGAGGATCCTTGCACGATTGAGCAGCAAAAATCATTGGCAAAATAACCAGGAAAATGAGAGTTGACATTGTTAGTTTTCTGCCTCTGCTACCAGTTCTCCCGCTTATATTCATTCTAAAGTTCTCACATTTGGGTGCAAATTATGCAGTTATTCAAATGAGACAACTGGCAAATGATAATTAGAACAACAGTGTACCGGATATATTGAGGGATTGAGGGAATTGATGGATATATTTATTTTTGTGAAGAAAGAGTTTTAAGAAAGAGGAAAAGGGTTTTGTGGTTTTAGAAACATACAAAAATAATCTTGTTTTCCGTTGTTTTATGCATTGTTTGAGAAAAATTTTTTTAAGATTGTTTTTTTTCCAAAATTTCAGATAGCATCATGGTTCAGTTAGATTTCCCAATAGTGAGCAGGAAAATTGTTGATATAAATTTCTGAATTTCTAAATTTATGAAACTTATTATCTGAAAAAAACTGAAACAGATTAGATCATCAAAATGAAATATTTTTTTCGAATAAAAAACGACTATGAAAAGATAAGCCGGAAATGTCTACGGTGGTTTGAAATGGTTCATAAACGATTCAAAAACACCAAAAAACAGTTTAAAAATTGCCCTGAAACTGCTCAAAAACGGATCAAATGAGCTTGAAATCGGCTCAAAAACGGACCGAAACAGATCAAAAGCGGCTCAAAAACAGTCCGAAAACGGCTAAAATATGATTCAAAAATAGATCAAAACGACTCAAAAATGATTCAAGAACGGCTCAAAAATAATCCAAAGATGGTTCAGATCAAAACGGCTCAAAACTTTTTAGCAAAGGTTCAAAAACAGTTCTGAACGACTCAAAACGGATCAAAATTGATCCTAAAACGGTCCTAAAACGTCAAGAAACGGCTTAAAAACTGCTCAAAATCGGCTCAAAAACGGTCCAAAAACCGACGAAAATGGCTCTAAACGGTTCAAAAACGGCTCAAATAGTCAAATGCAGATTAAAAACAGCTCAAAGCTCAAAGGTCCCAAAAAAAGCGGATCAAAAAGGGTCCGAAAACAGCTCACCAGTTCGAAAACGGATTAAAAACTAACCAAGCAAAATAGCTGAAAAACGACTCAAAAAATGAACCAAAAACTGTTCAAAAAAGGCTCGAAAACGGACCGAAAATCGAATATTAGAAATTTTTTAGATTTCGGGAGAGTCTGGTTTTCTGAGGTCCCGGAATTCTAATTTCAAAATCACAAGAGATTTTAATTCTTAGATTTTCAGATTATTCGGTCAAAAAGTCTCTCTCCCGTTAGATTTTTCAAAACAAAAACTACAAAACAAAGAAGTCCAAATTACTTTATTCCTTTAACAAAATCATCTTGAAAGTGCCTCATAGCGAAAAACTTTATTCAAATCTTTTTCGAAAATCAATCACAAAAACAATCACAAAATCATTTAGTGAAAGAAGTAGTCGACGTTCCACTGGGAGACACAAAATGGATTTCAGTTGGGAACACTCGAATTTCAGTCTTCTCTCCATCATCCTCAGATCTCAACGTATGTTTCTTCCAACTGGCCAATGCTCCTGATCCACTGTGAAACTTGGTTCCCTCTACCAATTTAGTTGTCTTCTTTCCGTTAACTGTGGCTGAAATAAGAAGTGTCATCCACAGTAATCCTCCCTAGCAAACTCACTAGTTTCCTCATTGAGTTGAATTCCTGAAACTTTCCAATTGTCGACTCCAGTTGTGAATGCTCCAGTGTTATACTCCACATTGTCAAAAAACGTTTTCTTCTCATCCGGTTTGTAATAAACGTCTTCCTTTTTGTCGATGGGCCATCCGGTGTATTCATGCTCAACAGTGAATTTGAAATGACTTCCAGTTCGATTGTCCAAAACGATTTCAGCTGCACATCTGGTGGCACGTGGTGGTGATGGATCGGATTGCTCAGAACTCATTCTCAGAAGTCGTCAAGAGGGAGGTTCCTGATCTTTTCCTAGAACGATGCCCCATTTTAAACTAGTGGAAAATGGGAGGAGCCTCTGTTGTTCAACTTTTGATAAGGGCAAATTGTCGGTGATCTTTGCCTTTCTTGTCCAGTTGTTTATTTCTGGTTTGGTGATGATAACGAACGAGTGTCAACGAAATGAGAACAAGAAAAAAAATGAAGTTTGAAGAAAGATCAGTAGGGAGAACAGTGCAGTTGATCAGGGCTATTACAGGTTTACATTAATTAACATTGATTTCAAAGCTGAAACGGGTTGGAGAATCGGTTGGCTTAGTGACGCTAAGAACATAAGCCAATCTGTGTGGATCAAAGGGGTCCATATAATCTGAAACGTTTGAGAAATTTACCTGAAGCATACACATGAAGTTTTCTGGAATTATTTCTGAAATCCCACCTCTAATGTTTGCTACAGTCGTTTCCTAATCTGAATCAAATCTTGGCCGCGGCCGACCGTATTAGGTTGCCATGGACCAATAAGTCCGTTCTTCCGAAAATACGCTCAACAATCCAGAAACCGCTATGCCGCCTTATCCTACCTATCCCAGAAGTATGCGAATCAAAGAGCAGCTATCGGTCTCGGCACATCCTTGACTTTGACATTTGAAGTTTGCGCCAGGCCCATATACCGTAAAACATGTGGGCCCTCCAACTGTACCTAGAAGGACCGGCCCTACTACTTCAGGTTTTACTGTATCCATTTCCTTTTGACGTTTTCTTACAAATCTAGAAGTCTCCTCTCCAAATCAGATATCCTTCTAACCCAACATTCCATGTTCCGAAGGTTATTATTCTGAACCAAACTTCAAATTCAAACAAGTTCTCAAACGACACTTTTTTTAGTTCGCCTCGTGATCAGTTTTGATAACGAATGTTCTCTTGACGTTGAAACTGCAGGCTCTCTTTTTTCTCGAAAAAGCGAAGATCAGAACTTTTGTCTTATCGGCACGAGTTCTGTTTAAACAACACAAAGATTCTATAATCTCCGCCCACGTCTTCATCCATTTAAAAGGAGTCTCCGAGTCGAGAGGATACCGAAAAGATGTCGACCGACGATCCACCACCACCACAAGCCAAGACGTGCAGTGCCTACATTGACGTCGAGAACAAGTCGAGTCATATGTTCAAATTTCAAGTACTCCATCAGTACACTGGAGACGATGTCGATGATTCTGGATGGCATTTGATGAAACCAAATGATAAGAAGTATGTGATGAAGGTGAACTATCGTGTTGGAATCTTCACGACTGGAACGGATAACTGGAAGGTTCATGGAAAGAAGGTCGTTGAGATTACTGGTAAGAATAGATTTTCTTAAAATCAATCAAATATTTTTTTGCAGAAAATGGAGAAAAGAAGATTGTCGACGGAGAGGACTGGCGTAGTGGGACTGGTGTGGCTGTTGACTGGAAGAAGCACACTTTAAGATCCGAAGATAATGAGGAAACCACCACTATCAAGGTCTTCGAAACTGAAGTTCAATTTGTTTCGCCGAGTGGTGTATCAACAACAAGCTTCTACAGGCATGACTAGTCGTAAATGTCAAGATTATTTTTTGAAACAGTCACATTTTCTTTTTTTTTTAATCAATAAATGCATTTTTATCCTCATTCTGATTTCTGGGTCGCTGGGAATTCGAAAAAATTTTAACTTTGAGATGTTTCAAGATTTCTAAAAAATCTAATGTTCGGTATTCCAATTTATAGGAATTGCTGAGTCTTCAATTCCCAGAAACATTTTCTATAATACAACGTGCAAGACTGATATAACGTTTAGCTCACTGTACTACAGTACACTACCGATTATATCCTCTGAACTTTTACCTTCCGTCTCAAAAAAATAATTTCGTTGACACGAAAACCAACAAAACGTTCGTTATCAATTTATCACCAAACCACAAACTAAAACAAAGATCATCGAAACTTTTTTTATCTTATCAGAATTTTACCTCCTAATCAGTTGTCTCCGCCCTCTCACCAATCAGCTGGCGCATACAAAAGAGTCAAAATACCATTTTCTGGAATATGTTTTTGTATTTTCTCAGCCAAAATAGTAGTCCCAAGGAAATTTCAGCGCTTTCTCAATTGGGTCACTCTACAGTAACCCATCTAATACAATAACCCATCTAATAGAATTACCTCCCTAACTTTTAACTTTGAGCCAGTTCATCTCGGTTCCTGTGAGAGATCACAAAAAGTCGTCAACTGACAAAATATTTCTGATTTTATAATAAACATTTTGTTAAGTGTCCACTTTTTGATATCTTTTACAGGAAATGAGATATAGGAGCTCAAAGTTACCAGCACTCCACAGGTAGACGCGGCACCTAAAACAGCGGGGTCACAACTGCAACTCCAAGTTCAACCCCACGAAACTAACGTTTTCCATGAATCCTTTAAGGTCTCGTTATAACGAGTCTTTAATGAGTGTTTTTGAAAAATACAACAGATTTATTCGTATCCAACTATAGTCAAAAAGACATCGAGTAAATCAATGGCGTTGTTGTGGATTAGCAGAAAATGGGAGAATATCCTGTCCAAGTGTGTTGAATGTAGTCGTCGATCTTCCACTTGGAGAAATGAACTGAACCTCCGTTTGATACACTTTGATTATCGTCTCCTGTCCATCATCCTCTGATCTCAAAGTGTGCTTCTTCCACGATGCAAAGGCTCCATGCCCACTGGCATACGGTAGTCCATCAATGAAGAATTTTCCAGAGATCATTTCAGTGAATTTGCTCTCCGGTGACACCTCAATGAGACGAGTTCCATGAACCTTCCAGTTGTCGACTCCAGTTGTGAAGAATCCAGTGTTGTAGTAGACTTGGTCGAATACAGTAATCTTGTCATCCGGCTTGAAGAGGATATATCCAGAATTGTTGGTTTGCTCGCCGGTGTATTCATGGAGAACTTGGAACTTGAAATGGGAACCAGTGCAATTCTCCAGAACGATTTTGGCCCAACGGCGGGTTGATTGAGGTGGCTCAGCGGATGGCGTGGAGGACATCTGAAAGTTTTGAGTGATTACTAATCACTGATTAGGCAAGGGACAAAAAACTAAACTGATGATTTAGATCCATTCCGGGGTTCTTTTATACTGGTTTCTCTCTCTCTCTCTCTCTCTTGATCAGCCCATTTCGTTTAGCCTTTGGTCTAAATTTTGCCAACTCGAATTTCTTATCATTTTGAAATTTGATAAGTTCCCTCCTTTGCCTCCTATTCTAACCTGTTCTCTAACCACAGTTTATGTGTTCTGTTTTATCAGCCAAACCACAAATGTTGGATGGAATTCAAGAAAGATCATTGGAAAAGAAAATCGAGTAAAGGTTATGAATAGGCTCCGCCCATCAGGATCCTATAAAAAGGTCGATAGGTGAGGAGACTTCAGTTTTTGACTTCCATCATGACTGAAATATCTGCCCAGCCACCCCAATCCACACGTCGTTGGGCGAAAATCATTCTGGAGAACAAGACAGGATCAACGTTTCGAATGCAAGTACTCCATGAGTACACTGGAGAACAGACCGATGATTCTGGATGGCACTCCTTTGGTCCGGATGAGAAGAAAACCATGTTCGAGCAGGTTTACTATAACACTGGATTCTTTACGACTGGAGTGGACAACTGGAAGGTTCATGGAAGTGAAATGATTTTGTATGAAGGTAGACTCTTTTCCAAAATTTGAAAAAAAAATTCGTTATTGAAATTTCAGGAACCGATGGAAAAGGGATCCCCATCATGGGCAAAGTGTGGATCGATGGTGTTCCTTGGAGAAGTTGGCATGGATTATTTGCTCAGTGGAAGAAGCACACATTGAGAGCAGAGGATGATGGACAGGAGACAATTATTCGGGTTTACAAAACAGAAGTTCAGTTTATATCGCCAAGTGGAAGGTCGGTGACACCTTGGTATAGGATCGGAGATGACGCTGGGAAGGTTTAGGAGGAGACATTGATTTTCTGAATGTATGGTTGCATGAACTAATGGAATTGTTTTTTTTTAAATGTGTTCGTTTATGAAGAATGTTTTATAGAATTGATATTCATCATAATTTATCGTTTTGCATGTTTGATTATAAAAAAATCTGTGAAGCTTCTTAGATCTGCAATTACCATATTTCCTCAAATAGAAACTCACTCTATATGTGCACTTTGATCTCAATTATCTCGGTTCCTATAAGAGATGTCAAAAATCTGTCAAATGATAAAATATTTACCATAATATCACCAATATTTTATCAGTTGACAAATCTGTGATATCTCTCAAAGGAAGCGAGATACGTAAGCTCAAAGTGCACATGTAGTCATAGTTGGAAAAGATAGAATACAAAGCTTCCACAAAACAAAACGTTGATTTAAAAAAAAAACTGCCAAAATAAACTTTTTGAAACAATTTCAAACTTGAACCAAGTTACACGGATTTGACGGTCGATGGCCTAGAAATTCAAAACTAGGCCACATCTTTAAATGGCTGTAACTAGCTTCGAAATGAAGATTTTTAAAATCTAAAAATTGATACGAGTTTCTCAAAATACAAAATATGAATAAATAAATCACACAGTAAAAATATTGAAAATCAAATGGTGACCCTTTAAACGGAGGTAGAAGAAAACAAGCCAGCTGTTGGGAGCACCGTAGGCACTGCCAATCAGTATGGCATCTCCAAAAACACTTTATTCACAATACTTGATACTATACAGTGTGGAATTTTTCTACACACACGATACAAAAAGGGAGGAACAACTTTTTTTGATCGTTTCACATCGACATCAATGGGCGGCAGTGGCGGTGCTGACTCCCTGAGCACTAGACGTCGTGGCAGTGCTCATTGTCGAGCTGCGACTCATCTTCTCCTTCGATCCTTTCTTTCCAAACTTTTTACCAATTTTCGTCATCATCTGTAGATAGAAAGTAATAAGAAATTGATAAATAGGGTAGAGCATCGAGTAAGTGTTGAGTACAGCGAGTAATACCAAACCTTCTCTTTGCTCTTCTTCGCTTTGCTCTGCACAGAACTCACTCCACTCTTTCCTGGATCTCCTCCCTGTGCCTTCACGAAATTCTTCATCCATTTCACAATCTCCTTCATTGGAGCACGCTCTTCGGGTTTTGCGGGCCAGCACTTGCTCTGAAAAAAAAAATCAAAAGTTCAGGAATTCCTAAATTCAAAATATAGAGAATTTAAAAAATTAAATGTTACTGAATTTCAAAAATCAGAAATTCAAAAATTGGAAATTCGAAAATTCAAACCTACCGTAATGTAGGCTGCAAACCCAGCATTGACTTCAGCACTGAACGTCATACGGTATCCCTTCATCACATTCATCGCCACCTCAATAACCTTCATCCCTGGATACGGTTCCTTTCCATCTTCCGTAATCTCCCAAGCCATGATTCCAAATGCGAAGACGTCAGTTTTCGGAGTATACAAACCCCCGGAAATGGTCTCTGGAGGCAACCAACGGATCGGAACCTTCTTCTTCAGATCCATCACGTACTTATCACCCTCACGACTCAAACCAAAATCCGCAATCTTAACCTGACCACCACCATACAGACAGTTACGAGCCGCCACGTCACGATGCATCAGATTCTGCTCATGACAGTAGGCGATACCGCACGCCGCTTGAAGAATCAACTCGTACTTTTTGACCATTGGAAACTTTTGTTTAGTGAGAGCAGAATCCAAAGCTCCACCATCAGCTAGCTCCATGATGACGTAGAGAGGTTCAGCACCAGCAGCCACACCATAGAACTTGACGACGTTGATGTGCTGGAAATGATTTTTATGAAGAATTCAGATTTCTTGAACCCTACATCAAGATTTCTCATCAATCTCGCCTCCCTCATGATCTCCTTAATTTGCTCCTTATTCATTGATTCCAGCTTGGCAGTCTTCACAGCCACTGGCACTGGTTGTCCACTTGCATCCAGCACTTTCAGTAGTTTTCCCTTCCAAACTTCTCCAAATGCTCCTTCTCCCAATTTCTTCGTCAACTCCACGTCTTCATGATTCAACTCCCACTTTTGACGCTCCACAGCATGCTTGATCACTACTTTCACTGATTTATTTTGAGCAAAGAGCGGCTCTTTAGTGGCAACATAGTGATTGACCAGTTCGATGATTGTGTCGAATCCACGTTGGTCGACAAACACTTTGTGGTTTTCAGACTCACGAATCACAAAGTGATTCGGCTGTAAAAGTATACAGTTTTTGTGTTTGTTCTGTTTCTCAATGTTTTTTTTCCGGAACGTTTTTTCAAATACCGTAAAAGCAGTAATACAACGCTACCTGTAATAGAAGATCCCCTCTAATACAACGCCACCCTCAAAGGGTGCTTCCAGGTACCAAGACAAAGTGCTTACGTTCAATTAACAGAGTAGCAGTGTAATCTAGTACCTTTTTTTCATTTCGCACCTTGTTAATCAAGTGAAAACCAATTTTTGTTGCCTTGCATCATCCCAAAACACCCCTCCGAGAAGTAGAACGCTATATTACAGGTTTTAAGGTATTTTCTGCCCCGCTTTTTTCGATGGAATGCAGGCACAAAACCGTAACACGACAGTTCGATTCGAAGTCTTCGTGTCGAGAATAACGCATTTTTACTACGGTATTTGAATGTTAGAGTTCGAGCGTTTTCTTTTGTTTTTATCCAACTTTGAACCTTTTCAGTCATTTTAGTCATTTTTGACCCATTTATTGCTATTTTTGACTATTTGTAAGCTATTTTTGACCTTTTCAATAGTTTTTAGATCATTTTTTGGTCCATTCTTTGGCTAATTTAAGCCTGTTTTAACCGATTTTTGCTTCAGCCTTTTTTTCACCATTCACAATTTATTTTCAGTCATTTTTAAAGCGATTTTTTGACCTTTTTTTGAGCTTCTTTTAGAGCCGAAAATTTAACTGGCGAATCGTACGGCTTTGCACTTGCATTCCATCGGAAAAAGCACCACAAAAATAAGCCCGAATCTAAAACTCACCCCAGTTTGCCCATTTCCAACCGCCGACAAAATGAATTGTCTCGGCTGCCCTTTGACTGGCTCCGACGTACGAATAAGAAACTCTCCTGGCTTGTGCAACATCTCCTTGATATCATCTCGTGGCAACAGCCCATGATAGTAACCCTGGTGCAGAAGACCCTTGTCCACCATTATTGATTCAATCGCTTTTACCGACAAACTGTCTTCGTTCACAGTTTATGGTTTCAAAATTATTTTCGTTGACAGTTTGGCAGAAAGTTTTGATTGGAGTGTTGTGTGGTGGTGAATTGGGAGCTATGGCAGAAAGTGATACTGACTTTTGTTGGCGATTTTACTCGGGATTTATAGGAAATCCCAGGGAAAAAAATGTGGCATGCTACAACGGGGATTTTTGAAAATTCTGAATTATTGGCCGTGAAATCCTTATCACACTAGGTGAACCTAATCAGTCAAACGTTCCTGATCACTGATAAAACTGATAACAAAAAAATATAAAACTCCTTGAATGATGATAAAGATGCAATAAAACACAAGAAAACAGTGTCAAACACTAGACAGCTAACAGAAGAAAAATGATAATACATGAAAGAATTTCTATTTTACAAGAGGTTTAATGGCGTTCTTATAGAAGCAGATTGATAGCGCGGAGCCGAAGAGAATCCATCCGATGTGCTCCAAATCGACAGAGTAGAGCAGGGATTGGAGGAGAGATCTGGAAAATAAAATGTTAGAGAGCCCTTCTATTACAGGTGTTAAGGTATATAAATCTTACTTTTTGTTAATGTTTTGAACTTTTTCCTCCTTCTGAACAACACGTTTCAGCTCATCCATAACAATCGAAGTTCCCTCAGTAACAAAGGGCTCCGGTTCTCGCATGAACATACTACCCCGTCTCTCCTGCATATCTGACATGGACTGCTCATTGAGCATCAAATGGAAAGCATCATTCAAACTCGCCATTTCAACGACTCTTCCCTCCTGCTCTTTATAAATCCTTCCAGACGACAATTGATAGAACCTTTCGGATAGCTCCTTGACTCTGACCACAATTAGGAACCGATTTTCTTCTTTTTCTCCAATAACCGGAACAAATAGCACATCGATACTCGTGGTGAGCTCCGAGACGTCTCGTTTCATGGGAGATACTCCGGTTAGAAGTTTTGGAGCGATCTGAATCAAAATTAACTGATTTTTGTAATAATTCACTTTAAAATAACCTTCACAAGCGGCGGTTGAAACTCTCCAGCTACCGCTCTAGTCAATGCCATTCGAAAAGTGACTCTATCGACAGCAGACATCTCGACACCTGTGACAGTGTTGTAGGCGTCCACACCGATACAAATCATTAGATAATGCTTGGAATTTAAGGCTGCACAAATCGCCGCTTGCAGTTCGAACGTCGACATCATCTCGTAGTGCTCTTGATCGAAAAGGAGAGTCCAGATTCCTCGGATTTCAGGAAAATTGGATCGATAATCGAAATATTTTGGCATCTGCCCATGGTACATTTCTAGAAATGTCTCTGTAATCGTTGAGACCTCTTCCAACTCTCCAGCATCCTCGACTTCGTCATTCTCCTCATCCTTGGTTTTCACCTCTTCGAATATCTTCTCCGGCATTTTTCCAGTCACCAAATTGTAGCTGGGACCTGTTGTTACTCTGAAAAATCGCTGATTTTCAGATTTTTTAGCTTTTTTTACTTACCGCCCGTATCGAAAACTGTCTTGAGTGGAATCATACAGCTCATCGTCTCGGAACACAATTTTGTCGAAGATGTCGCCTTCCGATTGGGTTTTCCAAGAATTTTGAGACTGAAACAATTGAAATTTTAGAAAAAATGTCCCATTTTTCGATAAAACCCACTTCTTCAACTAGCATTTGAAACGAACTGTTTGCCAGCTTTGTTGGTGTCGGAGGGGCGATAGAGAAGAATTGTTCCGTCACGAGAGTGTCTTCCATAGCTGAAAATATATTCGATTTGCAAAAAACCTTTTTTATTCACTGAAAGCTCTTTTTTTCTGCAAAAAAAAATAGCGAAAAAACAACAAAAAGACGGATTTTTTAAAGGAACATTACTCGGAGAAGCAATTGACTCTCGCAACGCTTACAGTAACCCGCGCCAAAAATTTAGGAGGGAGGATGCGCTTTCTCTGTTTTTTTTTTCGTCATTTTTTTCTCAGATTGACCTAATTTTCTGTTGATTCTTTGCTGCCGATTAGACCTAAATTTAATTTTAAAAATTCTGGAATTTTTGAGATTCAGTTTCCGGCACTGGCGGTAACAATTTGAGTTAATGGCGCGGAATTTCATAAGTTTTCTTCTCGATCATCATTCGAGAGCCTTCTTGCTTTCAGTCCCATTTGTTCTCGCTGTTTTTTGTCCGATTCCCCGTTAATTTCCCATTAATTTTCCTTCAATTTTCTTTTCAAAATCCCTTTTTTTTCAGGCGATGGGGCCAAAACTAGCCACCATCTCGCTAGTATTACTAACATTTTGTAAGTTTACGCTTCTGCACCTGCTTTCAAATAGTTATCTTCTTTAGTCACGGACAGTTTGCAATCCCAGTACTCATCAACATCAGAATGCCCGCCATATTACAATGGAAGCATCGCAGGAAGCTCTTGCAGTCGAGAGGTAGCGCTCTTAATCAACTAGATTCCTGTAACTCGGTGTTTTTTTCAGTATTCGATATGTGTTAATGGAATCCGACAAGCAGCGACGTGTAGCGATGGCTACGTTTTCTACGAGGATGGATGCGTTCCCATCGAGGACTCTCCAGAATGCCAACTGGCTGACGACACCGAAGAAGAGCCAGACGATAGTTTTGACTGTTCATCGAAACAGGACGGACTTTACTCGATCGGCTGCGTGAACCAGTTTGTCAACTGCGTATCAGGACAAGCCTATCAGATGTACTGTCCGGATGATTTGGTTTTCCACGGAACGACTCAAGAATGCCAGGAGTCTTGCGATGACGTCGAGGGGGACGCCGCAACGGCTTCTCCAGTTGTGTACAGAAACGAAGACGATGATGAGGGTTACGAGGAGGGATCTGGCGAGACTGAAGGATACTACGAGCCTGAGGTAACCACCGAGGAGCCAATTGACTTTGATTGCAATGGTCTGGAGAACGGAAACTACGCCGATGGGTGCTCCGATGTCTTCTACACCTGCAACAACGGCGTAGTGTTCAGAAGATACTGTCCACAAGGAACCGTTTTCAATCCCAGTCAACGTAAGAAACTATAATTAATTTGTGGGAATCATTGTTCTTATTTTCAGAAACTTGTGATTACGATTGCACTGAGGCAGTTACCACTACTACTCAAGCCTACGTGTCAACTACTGATGCTGATGTTCCATCGACCACCACTTCAGAGTACACAACTACTCCACAAGACGATGAGCCAGAGTACACCACATCGCCAGGTTTCGATGATGTCACAACTACTCAAGCACCAATCGTTACTGCTCCCACTACCACCACTCAGGCTCCAATCGTCTGCCACGAAGGACAAATCACTAGCTTTGGGATGTGCTCATCACGTTTCAACCGTTGCCAGAACAACTCGGTCCGCTCGAAGCAGTGTCCAGTCAACACACTTTTTGAGTCAGCTCTCGTTTTGTGCGTTTTCGATCTTCCACAGTGCCAGCCAGTCACCTATCCTTCTAACCCAACCTACAACACCTACGGAGAATTTCCATCCGATACCATTGTCAGTCCATTTGATGAGAATGTTCGTCTGAAGCCAAAATTCGACAGACGGCCAAAGTACCACTATGGACCATACAGACAGCCAGGATATGGTAACCAGGGATACGGAAACACACTTATTGAGAATCCATTCTTCGTTCCACGTCACCATCCTTATCGTCATGTAGGAGATGTTCACAGAGGAAGAGGACACCGTCGTGGGTATTACAGACGTAAGTTTGAATCTGAGTCATTCTGATTATTCACTAACAATTTTAGCAACAATCGATTCTCCATTCTCTACTGCTTTGCGTGGACGTGCGGCTCTTGATGACCAATTCAAGGATTACCGTCGCGCTAAAATGGGAAAGCTTCGGTATGGAGAAGCCAGAAAGGTTGAGGGCAACAAGCGTTTCATCCTTGACGACGAGTTCGAAGGACCAAAGGCCAGATTTGTTCAGTCCGATATTCAGAGAATCTTCCCAGAAGATCAGCACTCGAAGAGAAAGTTGGGACCACGTGAAGACCCAGATGGCTACAAGGATGACAAGAACTTTGATCCAAAGGACTTGTTCGGATCTACCGAGAGAAGAAAGCGTTCTGTCTCGTATGGAACTCAACAATCCGGATACGGACAACAGAACACTCTAACCACCGCTCGTCAAGCTCAAGTCAACAAAGATTGCCAGCCATACACAACCCCAACATTCCTCACGTTCGGAGATTGCTTCGATCAGTTCATTTACTGTTCTGGCGATGGTGTTAACAGAATGGCTGCTTGTCCGATTGGAGAGACATTCAACAAGGCTCTTCGCGCTTGCTCGGAAACATGTGGAGTCGTTACTCCAGTTGTGACTTCTACTGTTGGAACTCCCACTTCTGACGATTCGTCTTGGTCTGCCACTACCACTGGAAGCTCGGATGACACTTTCACAACTCAAGCTCCTTCCACTTACGAGTCTTACACTACAACTCAGTCATGGAACGATCAACCAGCCACTACAACTCAATCGTGGAACGATCAACCAGCTACGACGACGGCTTCCACTCCTGTTGGAGATCGTTGCTCTTCTGTGCCATCTGGTCTATTCTCTCTCGGATGCTCTCAAAAGTACATTCAATGCTCGAATGGTGCCGCTATCGTTCGTCGATGCGGTGGATCATTGTACTTCAACCAACCCCAACAACAGTGTAGTTTCAGAGACGAAGTAACAGAGTGTAAGTTTACGAGATCAGGTCATTGTGACTAACTTTTTTCCAGGCGGAGTGCAAGCAACCACTACTTACTCCCCAATAGTTATTGCGCCAGCCGAAGACCAAACAACCGATTCATATGGATCACCATCTGACGATACTCCATCTACCACTCGTGCTCCAGTTGGAGATCGTTGCGCATATGTTTCTTCCGGACTCTTTGCCATGGGTTGCTCTCAAAAGTACATTCAGTGCTCGAACGGTGCTGCTATCGTTAGACAGTGCTCTGCTAACTTGTACTTCAATCAGGCCACAGAGACATGTACCTTCCAAGATGTGATTCCAGAATGTGAGTGGGAGATTCCTGAACATCGGCAAGATTATATTTCAGGTGAGTCTGGTTTCTCGTCAACCAGTGCACCAGGACAGGATGACCAAACCATCGGATACGGATTGTCGGACGATCAACCATCCACAACTTCTGAGTATGGATCTTCCACTACCTCTGGCTATAGATCTCCATACAACCCATCAGAGGACATTCAATCCACTACATCCGGGTACAACTATGAACCATCAGATGATTCATCTTCAACCACCACTTTTGGATATAAGACCTCCACTCAGCCCGCTGAAGATCAGCCAGCTACATATGCTCCTTCTATTGCTCCATACCGTCCATCGGTTTCGGAAGACGATCAAAATAAGCCAGAAGACGCTTGTACTGGATTGTCTGACGGAACTCATGGCCAAGGTTGCTCTTCATCCTTCATTGTCTGCTCCTACGGACGTCTTGTCAACTCTATCACGTGCCCATTGGGACAAGGCTATGATCCATCGATTCAGAACTGTCGCACTTTCAGCCAAATCCCATCCCAAGCTTGTGATCAAGAGGAGACTACCACAGGTATTGTAACTAATCAGAGAGCAATTCTAAATATATATTTTACAGATGCTGGACTCGTGCGACCACTTCCTTATGTCACCTTGGAAGATGTTCTCTCCACCACCACCCAAACCAGTACCACAAATGTTTATGATGACGATCACTCCTACGAGACTGCTCCATCTGATGATTCCGCAACGACTGCAGCATACGGAGAAGAGACGCCAGGATCTGATGCACCAGCTCAAGACGAAACGACTGTTGTAGTTGTCACTGACTTTTCCAACCGCGCTGATGACGACAGTGAGGAAGAGGAAGACGCCGGATACGAACAAAAGTGCACACCTGGATCCCGTGCTTCCACCGGTTTCTGTGTCAAGAACTACTTGGAATGCACTACCACCGGCTACGCTGAGAAGTCTTGCAGAGTTGGAAAGCTTTTCGATTCCAATTCGAACAGATGTGTTGCCAGAATCGCTTGTGGAAAGGAGGCTATTCGTGATGCCATTAAGGATGTAAGTCATCCAAGTATAGTATGTTTTAGTATGCCTATGTTTTCCAGATCATCGCCACAACTCCAGCTACAACAAAGAAGGTTGATGGCAGATGTGCTCATGTCGAAGGAGAAGGTGTTTTCGCTTTGGGAGCATGCAGTAGCAACTACGTTCGCTGCACTTATGGTGCTGCCAAACTTGAGAACTGCCCTGGAAAGCAAGTCTTCTCCCACACCCAATCAACCTGTATTTTCCGTGAAGCTGCTACTGAGTGCAGTACTCCACAGAATGCACCTGTCAAGAGCTATTACAACAACAACGAACAATCGGCTTACTGTGACGGAAAGTCGGATGGTCTCTACGGAAATAAGAAGGACTGCTCCGCAATTCTTCAGGTATAATTTGGAACTTAACTTCATTTTCTTAATTTGTTTCATTTCAGTGCTTCGGAGGAGAGCTGTTCGAGCATGCATCTTGCCCATCAAATCTCGCTTTCAACGAGTTGACAGGCAAATGCGATTACCCACAGAAGGTCAGCGGATGCGAGAATCACGGAAGAACAGAGGGAGTGTGCTCCGAGCACGGAGCCTTCATCGCCGACGTCACCAACTGCTCAGTATTCTATCGCTGTGTGTGGGGACGTAAAGTCGTGATGAGATGCCCGTCAGGCACCGTCTTCAATCCAGCACTGTCCGTTTGCGATTGGCCGAGCGCCGTTCCCTCCTGTGGTGCCGCTCCACCAGCCGGCGACGACAGCTCCTACGGTGCTTCTTCCTCGTATAACGATGATAACTCGGGATATTGATAAGTTGTTCTAAACACCCCATCCCACAAACTAATCTAATCTTATCTATGTACTGACTTGATTGCATTCCGATCCCCACCACAGGATCTAGACCCCCAATTACTAACTTTTCATGTTGTCATAATAATCTGATTTATTTGCATGCTCAACGATACCCTGAAGTTTTAAATTTTGTTAAATAAATCGGCGAGCACCCCACGCACCCAAATCAGTAGATTCCCATCAATAACCAGGTTCTTTTCTTATCAAAAAGGTATCAACGGCAATAACCAGTATTCTCCAGATGACCCCCTCCACCCTTTTCTTTGATATTCCGGTTCTGAAACCCGTTTTTTGCGTTCTCGTTCTTACTCTCGTCTTTTTTGACCCCCAACACAAAAGTTTCCAGTCTTCGTCCCTTCGAAATGTAGTAGTCGTTTCGGTGGGCGAAAGTTTCGACGTCTTTTTCGACACGGCGTCAGATAATAATGCATGCGTTGTGTAGTCATTGTCGGCGGTGGCTGAATTGAGGGGAGAAGGTACTGTAGCAATCATCGAGACAACAGACATCAGAATATTGAACAGAATTTCGGAAAGGAGAAGAAGAAGATACACACCGCCCATCCCGATCGTCATTCCTGCGCGCAAAACTTTCACTTTTGTCTCTTTCGGGCCTCTCTGATTTTTCAGTGTTGTTTTCGAAATCGCTTCATTTCGATCAATCGACCATTTCAGAAGAGAGAAACGATTTCGAAAGAAAAAAAGATGGTGAAAAAAAGGTGGCGAAGTCTACAGTATACTCCTCCTCCCTGAATTCTCGATTACTCAGTGGAAAACGAAAAGAAAAAAGGGAAAAAAACAACAGGGTATTCAGTAAACTTTTGAAAATCAGATACAGATGACGTGGATTCAGAAAATCTGAAATTTTTAGAATTTGATAAAAATGTTCTTTGAATTTCCAGAATTTCACATTTCTCAGCTCAATGCGCTTAAGGAATAACATTTTGATTATTCTTCTCCGGCGGCGATTAACCAAAAATTTTATTTAAAGGCGCATCGTCTGTCCAGCAGCGAAAAATGCGAATTTCTTTGAATAAGTGCATGCGCCTTTTAATACAGTACCTTGTAATAAATGTAGTTTTCATCATACTTGTAACGGGCCGGGCCGGGCTTTTTCCGGAATTTCGGAGGCCCGGCCCGGCGGGCCCGTCATTTCACTAGTTTCGAAATTTTCAAAAAACACATAAGGGGGGACTCTTATGTGATTTTTTTCGACCAAAAAATTTTTTTTCGATCTTTTTTGAGCAGACAGACAAACAATCCGAAATACGAAAAAAAAATGGAAAAAATTATATTGAGAGCTCAAAATTTGGCTCAAAAATACAGAATTTTTGACACCGGGCCGG